CCAAAGGACAACCCCTTACCTGCCGTCGGAGTGTCTTAAAAACTACCCTTAGTACGAAAATAATAGAAAAAAATTGGAAAAACACATTTCGAGAAACTGTAACGCTCTGAAACTTGATTGGGACGATAACTAGAACCATTTCGAACATTCCCACCAAAGGACAACCCTTTACCTGCCGTCGGAGTGTGTTAAAAACTACCCTTAGTACGAAAATAATAGAAAAAAATTGGAAAAACACATTTCGAGAAACTGTAACGCTCTGAAACTTGATTGGGACGATAACTAGAACCATTTCGAACATTCCCACCAAAGGACAACCCCTTACCTGCCGTCAGAGTGTGTTAAAAACTACCCTTAGTACGAAAATAATAGAAAAAAATTGGAAAAACACATTTCGAGAAACTGTAACGCACTGAAACTTGATTGGGACGATAACTAGAACCATTTCGAACATTCCCACCAAAGGACAACCCCTTACCTGCCGTCAGAGTGTGTTAAAAACTACCCTTAGTACGAAAATAATAGAAAAAAATTGGAAAAACACATTTCGAGAAACTGTAACGCTCTGAAACTTGATTGGGACGATAACTAGAACCATTTCGAACATTCCCACCAAAGGACAACCCCTTACCTGCCGTCGGAGTGTCTTAAAAACTACCCTTAGTACGAAAATAATAGAAAAAAATTGGAAAAACACATTTCGAGAAACTGTAACGCTCTGAAACTTGATTGGGACGATAACTAGAACCATTTCGAACATTCCCACCAAAGGACAACCCTTTACCTGCCGTCGGAGTGTCTTAAAAACTACCCTTAGTACGAAAATAATAGAAAAAAATTGGAAAAACACATTTCGAGAAACTGTAACGCTCTGAAACTTGATTGGGACGATAACTAGAACCATTTCGAACATTCCCACCAAAAGACAACCCCTTACCTGCCGTCAGAGGGTCTTAAAAACTACCCTTAGTACGAAAATAATAGAAAAAAATTGGAAAAAACACATTTCGAGAAACTGTAACGCTCTGAAACTTGATTGGGACGATAACTAGAACCATTTCGAATATTCCCACCAAAGGACAACCCCTTACCTGCCGTCGGAGTGTCTTAAAAACTACCCTTAGTACGAAAATAATAGAAAAAAATTGGAAAAACACATTTCGAGAAACTGTAACGCTCTGAAACTTGATTGGGACGATAACTAGAACCATTTCGAACATTCCCACCAAAGGACAACCCCTTACCTGCCGTCAGAGTGTGTTAAAAACTACCCTTAGTACGAAAATAATAGAAAAAAATTGGAAAAACACATTTCGAGAAACTGTAACGCTCTGAAACTTGATTGGGACGATAACTAGAACCAATTCGAACATTCCCACCAAAGGACAACCCCTTACCTGCCGTCGGAGTGTCTTAAAAACTACCCTTAGTACGAAAATAATAGAAAAAAATTGGAAAAAACACATTTCGAGAAACTGTAACGCTCTGAAACTTGATTGGGACGATAACTAGAACCAATTCGAACATTCCCACCAAAGGACAACCCCTTACCTGCCGTCGGAGTGTCTTAAAAACTACCCTTAGTACGAAAATAATAGAAAAAAATTGGAAAAACACATTTCGAGAAACTGTAACGCTCTGAAACTTGATTGGGACGATAACTAGAACCATTTCGAACATTCCCACCAAAGGACAACCCTTTACCTGCCGTCGGAGTGTCTTAAAAACTACCCTTAGTACGAAAATAATAGAAAAAAATTGGAAAAACACATTTCGAGAAACTGTAACGCTCTGAAACTTGATTGGGACGATAACTAGAACCATTTCGAACATTCCCACCAAAGGACAACCCCTTACCTGCCGTCGGAGTGTCTTAAAAACTACCCTTAGTACGAAAATAATAGAAAAAAATTGGAAAAAACACATTTCGAGAAACTGTAACGCTCTGAAACTTGATTGGGACGATAACTAGAACCATTTCGAACATTCCCACCAAAGGACAACCCTTTACCTGCCGTCGGAGTGTCTTAAAAACTACCCTTAGTACGAAAATAATAGAAAAAAATTGGAAAAACACATTTCGAGAAACTGTAACGCTCTGAAACTTGATTGGGACGATAACTAGAACCATTTCGAACATTCCCACCAAAAGACAACCCCTTACCTGCCGTCAGAGTGTCTTAAAAACTACCCTTAGTACGAAAATAATAGAAAAAAATTGGAAAAACACATTTCGAGAAACTGTAACGCTCTGAAACTTGATTGGGACGATAACTAGAACCATTTCGAATATTCCCACCAAAGGACAACCCCTTACCTGCCGTCGGAGTGTCTTAAAAACTACCCTTAGTACGAAAATAATAGAAAAAAATTGGAAAAACACATTTCGAGAAACTGTAACGCTCTGAAACTTGATTGGGACGATAACTAGAACCATTTCGAACATTCCCACCAAAGGACAACCCCTTACCTGCCGTCAGAGTGTGTTAAAAACTACCCTTAGTACGAAAATAATAGAAAAAAATTGGAAAAACACATTTCGAGAAACTGTAACGCTCTGAAACTTGATTGGGACGATAACTAGAACCAATTCGAACATTCCCACCAAAGGACAACCCCTTACCTGCCGTCGGAGTGTCTTAAAAACTACCCTTAGTACGAAAATAATAGAAAAAAATTGGAAAAACACATTTCGAGAAACTGTAACGTTCTGAAACTTGATTGGGACGATAACTAGAACCATTTCGAACATTCCCACCAAAGGACAACCCCTTACCTGCCGTCAGAGTGTGTTAAAAACTACCCTTAGTACGAAAATAATAGAAAAAAATTGGAAAAACACATTTCGAGAAACTGTAACGCTCTGAAACTTGATTGGGACGATAACTAGAACCATTTCGAACATTCCCACCAAAGGACAACCCCTTACCTGCCGTCGGAGTGTCTTAAAAACTACCCTTAGTACGAAAATAATAGAAAAAAATTGGAAAAACACATTTCGAGAAACTGTAACGCTCTGAAACTTGATTGGGACGATAACTAGAACCATTTCGAACATTCCCACCAAAGGACAACCCCTTACCTGCCGTCGGAGTGTCTTAAAAACTACCCTTAGCATGAAAATAATAGAAAAAAAATGTTTTCTATCATTTTCTTACTAAGGGTAGTTTTCAACACACTCCGACGGCAGGTAAGGGGTTGTCCTTTGGTGGGAATGATAGAAATGGTTCTGATGATCGTCCCACTGAGTTTGATGGTGTTACACTCTCCCGAAATGAGCTTTTCCAATTATTTTAATAATAAGGGTTGATCCCAGCCTGACGGCAATGAGGGGTTGTTCTTCGAACTAGACGTACTTGAGGGCTATGTTAAAGACTATTCTAAATTTCAGGGTGTTATATTTTATTTTAGAAAAGTTGTTTTGTAGATATTAATGTTCTACTTGATGTTTTATTAGGGGTAGTTTTTTGTTTTGTTTTTCTGTTGTACTTTGCCCGAGGGTATATAATAATAATGTACACAAAATTTGTAAATCAACCATTAAAAAAAAAAAAAGAGCTGCCAAAAAATGGCTGCTAACTTCACAATTTTGGCTGCTACAAATGGCTGCTAACTTCACATTTTTGGCTGCTGCAAAAAGGCTGCTAACTTCACACCGGTTAAGAAATATTATACAATTATTGTAGGGCGCACACAGAGTAACTTAGGGCCAGCCAATGACATTACAGCATAACGCGAGGCATAACATTAAGTGTTTCATAAAATTTTGGAAAAACTAGCGATGTCTTCTTCAAAGTCCTTAGGCCCGGTTTTTTCATCTTCAGATAAACTTGCTAATAACAATCTGCAAGATCATAAGGCAATTTTTCTGTCATATCAACTTCGATAAATTTATTGCAGGAATCTTTCAAATCCAATTGGATATTAGTATATTTCCTCTTCAGGTGGAATAATGATTCCTCGCGTGTTTTCTTAAGCCATAGTATCATCAAGGTTTTCAACTTAGTTTTCAAGTTTATATATTACAATTGCGTTAACTTCAACATATGATGTGTCATCTATGTAGGTATGTCTTGGTCTTTGATTAGTGGCAAATCTTAATTAACGCAGTAATTTTTATCAACAGTAATTGCTTATATGACAAATATCATTGAGAACGTCATTTAGAGCTGCATTTACACATGATTCTATTTTTGAGCGCTGCCAATAACTTTTCAGGTCTATTCGAACAAAAAATCAGTCCAAAACATTCTTAAAAAAAGGTCAAGGAAAGGGCTAGGACGTAAATTTTAGGGGCCTAGTTTAGATTGAAAGGACCCTAAAAGGGATAAGTTGGCAACACTGTATATTTGTTTGACTTACAGAGATAATCACAACTTAAAATAATGGTAGGGACGCGGAATATTAGAATTTTGGAGAAATACACTCAAGAATACATAAGCAAAGAAATACAAATGAATAGATAAGAATATGTAGGGCATACATCAGAATACATTGGATTACATGAGGCTTGTATCGAGTGATTGTCTATTTTTTGCACCCACACCGAGTCCCTGTACCCACACCTATCTCACTCATTTGAAGAGGTTACAGTAACAGTAATATCATCAAAAGTATTGGGCCTTGTTTTGAGAAACTATGGGTATTTTTCTGTTGACACTGTTAGAGGAATTTCTTGCTCATTAGTAAGGTCAACACTAAAGTATGCCTCAATAGTCTACATATCAGAATACTCATGTTTAAACAGTGGAAAAACTTATAAATCATAGTCTGAAGAAAAAAGGAACCTTTTCTGGATTAATTTAGGCAGACTTAAGAAGAGTTTGACTAGGTTGTAAGTTAGTTTCAAGATTATTGATTTAATGAGTGTTCTGCATGTAGGTAGCAGTCGGATCTATTTTTACCTCAATGATTTTTGTATAACAAGTTTGTCAATTTTTAACTATTTATGGAGTTTTCCTGTGAACAAATAAATACCTTAATAAAATAATTTTTTCTAGTTGTTGTGGTGCTGGAACTGCAGCGGACACAGAAATGACCACTCAAATGGTTGCTTCTCAACTAGAACTTCACCGTCTCTACACTAACCGTGTCGTACGAGTAGCTACAGCCAATCAGATGCTTAAACAATACTTATTCCGTTATCAAGGCTACATTGGAGCAGCCTTAGTCCTTGGAGGCGTTGACTCAACAGGACCCAATTTGTATTGCATCTACCCTCACGGTTCAACAGATAAACTCCCTTATACGACCATGGGATCTGGTTCTTTAGCTGCGATGGCTGTCTTTGAAAGCCGCTGGAAGCCTGATCTTGAAGAGGCCGAAGGTATTAAATTGGTAAGAGATGCCATTGCTGCCGGTATTTTCAATGATTTGGGTTCCGGATCCAACGTTGATGTTTGTGTTATCAAGAAAGGCAGCGTGGATTACAAAAGGACTTATGATGAGGCCAATATTAAAGGCCAGAAGCAGAATTCTTATAAATATCCTAGAGGTACGAATTTTGTTTGTTTTTTATTTGAATTGGATGGTAATGTATTTTTTTTTACAGGTGTTACTGATGTATTGTCCACCAAAGTAGTGGATATTGAAGAAGTTTCAGTGAGAGTTATTGGAGCTCCAGAAGATATGGAAATTGCTTGAATTTTTTTATATTTTTAATTAAGTTTTCCTATGTGTTTATTTAAAGGGTAATACATGTTCAATTTTCCTAGGAAAATATTGTTTTTATTAATCATAAATGTGAGGTGGATTTGTTCTGTGGTTCAAAAACAAACTGCAGACATTACAGAATTGTAGAATTGATTTTTCTTTTCAATGCTCTAGGATTTTCATTTTTTTTCATCTAGTGCAGAAGAACAACAAATTCAAGAACATAAAGAAACTATTCAAACTGCATTGCAAAAATTATCTAGAGATTTGAAGTTTTGGTATATCTGCAAAGGTATTGAAGATTGAAGCTATATTGCAACTACATAATATTGGTTATTAAAGAGTTGTGGAGGATTTTAATTGGTCCTAATTTGAGCTTCAAGATTCGGGATTGAAATTAACAAAATTGTGAGGCATAATGTGTTTTACCAGTAGAACTATTTGGAGATGTGAATAAGTGGAGAAAACATAATCACCCAAAAACGTAATAAAAAATATATTACTATAAAAAAAAAATGTATAAAAAAATAATATATTCTAGTGGGCAGTATAAGACGAGTATAAAATTGTATATAAATAATATAAATATATATAGCAGATCTGAAAAACAGCCTAAGCAAAAGCAGAAACTTAATTCTTATGCACTATAAAATCCCAGGAATCCTTCCACCTTAACCCTAATATATCACTTGTGCTCAAAGCTACATTTCCATAGCTGAAAACACTAAATCTTTTAAAAACGTATATTACGCCGAGTATTATAGATAAACTAGAAATAATCAATAAATTAGCCAGAAATTTGATTCTTAAAATATTATTTAACAGTGTATAGACATGCTCAATAGTAGCTGCCAATAAAAGTGTTTTAAAGGCAAAAGCTGGAAGATAGTGATGTAAAAATAATGTTCTTTCAACAAAGAAATATGGTAAATAATGGAATAAGTAGCCTAAAAACAACACTTGGCCCATAAGTTGGAATTTTTCCCAATTTTCCTGGTCCAGATCAAAACATTGTCTTCTGCGCCTCAAAAGGTAGAAAACCAGCAAATTGAAATACAAGAGTATTCCAAAAGTGGCTAAATACCATATGGCAATGTTGCCCATTAAATGAATTTGAGCCTAAAAATGCAAGTAGTTATTATTCTAATAATTAAATTGAAAAGTTCTTACATTGCTCTCAGATGATACCCAATAAGCAATTCCTCGGCCCATAAGAGGCCATTCCGTTGGCACAGAACTGTACATATGATTTTGAACACTTTCCGAAGAAGAAAACATCATTTTATAGTGAAGTTCAAAAAACTTTTCCCAGAACGATAATGAAGTAGCTGCTGTTGGTATCATTTCAGCTGTCACTAGCTCTCGTTCACGCTCTTTTTGATCTTCAGCTGCAAAAACACAATTAGTATTTTGATTTTTTCAAAATTCAACCTACAAACATTTTGTATAACGATGTTCCTCAACATTCCAAACAGTATCATCTTGGTTTAAGACTCTATCAGCTGCAACTTCATGCTGATGGAACCCCCAATCAGGCAGTTGCCTGCCAGTAAATTTTAACGCAGCATTCGTGTCTACGTGAATCAGCCTTACTTGAGACTGTATTGTGTGCCAGTTTTCCCCAATTTGATCCTTGTTAATAATATCAACTTTCCATAAGTTTTGCGCGGCCATTGAAATGTTATAGTCAATATAACAAGTGACTTCTTGGCATTGTGGAGACACTGGAGCTGCTACATCATGAGAATTCAACGCTCTACTTGTAATACCTAACAAGAAATTGTATTTCAATTTTTTTGGGAAAAAAAAAATGGTAAATCGTACCATGAACTAGCTGAATCACGTCTCCATGTTTTATAGCATCTACAGGCTGTTCAACAACCAAATCATTTTTATTAGGCCTTTTAACTATCCACCAATTATTTACATCCTTAAAAGAATAACAAGTAACTTGCTGTTGGTGACTCGATCCCCTTTTGTCCTGGTATCTTATGGGGTAAACTGCATTGTGAGAGTGTAACCAACAGGTGCGGCCATGAGTGTGCCTATAAAATTAACTTGATATAAAACATTCATTAAAAGTTTCAAGTTACCTTAAAGTTATTTGGGATCCATGGGAGACCACCAATGGTTGTCCTTTAGTGATGCTAGCGAGTCCACCATCCAATGAAGCTTGGAAAGCACTAGTCATAATGCTATCGTGTGGCCCAGCTTTATACAATACATTTAAATGTATGTAAAATATGGAAACATAGACAAAAATAGCGACAGAGGCGGCAACAAGGGTTTGCGTAACAAACCTAGTAACTAAAGATATGTCTTTTGAAGATTTGTTTGATAGAACTTTCCAAAAATCGCCAAGAATAATTGCTATGGCTAATAGGCAAGAATACAATCCAACATATTTGATACATAGAGAGCAAGTTAAGGAAATTGTAGCAAAAACAAGCCAAAAAAACCAACGAACACTGTAGGGAGTCTTATAATACTTTCTAAACTTTAAAATACATAAAATACCAAATAAGGTAAAAAACATCAGCATCGATTCCATTAAAATAAATCTGCTTTGTGTCAACAAGGCATTGTCAAACAAAAACAATGCTGCTGCAAATATAGACGTCCACTCGGTAAAACCCATTTCTAGCATTAGGAGATATGCTACAGGGATTATAAGACTACCAAAAAAGGCTGGTAAAAAACGCAAAGCCACCAAAGGCACCGATTCAGTGAACGGGCTTCCAATACGGTCGAATTTAAATTTACCATCAAAACCTGCTAGGTATGCAGCTAGGGCTATTAACTGTTTGCCTAGAGGCGGATGAGAGTCAAAGAAAAAGGTGTTTTTCATGTAAAGAGAGACATATTTTCCATAGTGGAGTTCGTCGAATCTGTAAAAGAAAGGTTAAGTTGGTGTAAAATTTTACTGAAGTCTATTTAAAAATGGTTGGATAGCAGGGCCGCCTTACACTATTAATACAATAAATGTTTGTTCATAAAAGATTGTTTTGGGGTAAATTTGATTTTCCTCATTCTTTATGTTTTTCAGGGTGCTGAAGTGAACACCAAAACAAGCTCTCAAACTCAGACCATTTGGTGAGAACACATTTTCTACTCATGTTTAAACACTTTTTGGCTGGAAATGCTTCTAATTCCAATAGGCATTGTGTTGCAAAGCTTAGGAGCTAAGCCAGAGAGCCAAAACATCTTAAATTTAAGTCCCTATTACTATTGGGAACTATAGGGTGTTTGTTAGTCTTATTTCTTGTACCATATTGGTGCTTTACATACTTTCTAAAATTGGGTTTTCCATGAATCCAAGACATACAGAGAGCGAACATTTAGGATTTCGTCTAAGTGAGCATTTGAGTATAACAATTGGGTAGAAAATCGTTACTTCTTTTTAAACATTATTTGAGCTCTGATGATTATAAACATTGATAAGCAGAGTCAAACCCAGATTATCTCTTGGAATATAGAATTTATGTATCAATTTTCGAATATTGCCAGTTAGTCTAAATACATGTAGGTCCCATTTAAAGTCCATATCAATAAGTCACCCCACAGGTATAATCATTCATGTTATCTACAAGGAATGGAGAAAGAATCAATACTACCCCAAAACTTTCCTGACAAAAATACTATTTATCGCACAATATTGATATTTGGTCAGCATTTGCACACATGAGAAATACTGAATTTTTTATCTGGATAAGATAAACTCCAGAATTTCACAGAATAATCTTCAATTTTATATTTTTCGGTTCTAGTACGCTTTCCGGACACACGATTTTTACAACTTTTTTAATTTTATCAAATAGAGGGCTCTCAATATAGTATTTTAGGAAAGAAAAAAATGTGGAATATCTAGCCAATTTTGAGAAAAAACGGACTTTTTTCAGTGTAATCAAAATAAATTAAAAAGCAGCATTGTTTTTCATTTGCTCAATAATTATTACCCAATTTATTACCTATGTAGTGCAAATTTGAGCACAGAATATTGTATTGTATTGAGGGAAATTTTTTTGGGTTATTTTCTCGAACTGCTATAGCGATATTAAGCTGATAAGGATAGATATTATTCATTGATCTGTGTCAAAGGTTGAGAGGCGATTTCAAAAAAATAAATAAATAGGTAAATATAAAAAAATTGATCTATCTATCTCAGTACTAGTTCTTTTTTAATGTACCGGTTGTGCCGCCAACATTTTGGGTACCCGGAAAGCGACTGTTGTCCAAATATATCGCTTTTTTAGAGACATTCTAAGTTGGAAACTGCTCCAGAATCCGGGTATTTTTCTTTTTCAGTAAGAAATAAAAAGTTAATTCAAATATATATTTTAGGAGGAATTGGACATGTAGTCCAAATTGACGAAAGTGTAATAACTAGAAGGAAATACCACAGAGAGAGTCTGGTGCAACAAAAATGGGTAATTGGAATTTTTGATACCATGACCAAAAAGGGATATGTCCCCAATAGGTCAGCGGCAACATTAATTCCAATTATCTGAAACATTGTTGCACCAGGGTCCGAAATCTGGATTGATGAGTGGAGAGGGTATAATATTCTTCAATATCATGGGTATATACATCATACGGTTAACCATAGTTGATATTTTGGTGATCCTGTTAAGTACTGATGTTTGTACCAATTATGTTGTAGGGTACTGGTCCCAATTAAAAGGGTTCTTGCGAAAATTGTGTTTCATGAGTTCACTTTTTTTGCTCGAATATATTGACCAATTTTTGTGGAATTTTTTTTATGGTCGGCGATCAAGGGAACGCATTACGCATCTAATTAGTCAAATAGCGGAACGTTATAGAACCTTATAAATATTTATTTTTTGTTAATATTTTTGTATGTTTTTGTTGTGTGTTTATTTTGAAATTGTTTTACTAAATAGTAGGTACCTAATAAATATATTTTACGAAATAGTCCAGAGAAATATAGAAAAAAAAAATAAATAGGTATAACACTGTTTAACAATTTAAAATTGAAATTTTCAATTAATTTTTTTTTTCAGAAAATTGGCTGAATATTCCGCATTTTTTTCTTTTGGAAAATACTATATCAATCTGTTTTTACTAGGTATTTGTCTCCTATTAATTTTTACATATTACTGTCTCAAATTTCTTTAATTTAAAAAAAAGAGAATAAAAAATACAATGAGTGATGAAATAGTTATACTAAACGAATTAGAAAACGATGAAGTTGATCTTGATTTAATTAGGGAGAAACGTTACGATGTCAATGAGTTAAAAACACAAATGCAGGGTTTCTCATCGAAAAATAAATTGCTGAACATTGTTCATTTAAATATTAGAAGTATTAGGAAGAATTTTGAAAATCTTTTAACTTTTATAGAAACATTTAGCTTAGATAAACTAGATATCATTGTGTTAAGTGAAACACGACATATACAAGAAATAAAAAATTTTAGTATTCCAGGTTTTGTAGCTAACTATAATAATAGTTCAATTAACATCTGTGATGGATTGATAGTATATATAAAGGATAGCATTCAGTTTGAAATAGAGCACACAACCCTCGCAACCTCCAAAGTTACGATCACAAAGCTCACCTTTGCAGCGAACAATGAGCATTAGCATTGTTCGCTGATGGCCTGTTATAGGTCTCCAAGCACATCAGATCATTTGTTCATAAACGATCTTGACGCCTACCTGAATGAAATTCCTAAAACAGAGGGTATCAGTATTTTAGTAGGCGATATGAACCTCGATATTCTAAATAAAGCCAATATTATGAGTGTCAGATATGTTAGCATGCTTCTCTTTTATGGTTTTACATCAGTTATTAATTCATACACCAGAGTAACACCAGATAGTAGATCGTGCATTGATCACATGTTTGTACGTAAAACTGGCCTGCTGGAAGATATTGAATATAATCCTTGTGTCTTGGAGACTTATTTCACAGACCATTACCCTATATATCTGGGCATTTATTCCAACCAAAATCTTAACCCAAATAGTACGGAGCAAAACGAAGTACATTACACAATTTTCGAAAAAGAAAAATTTATAGAAATAATTAAAAATCAAACTTGGCAGGATGTATATCAAATCAGAGATGCAAGCCTAGCTTACCAAAAATTTATTGACATTCAAACCTCCACAAAAAATAAATGCACATTGCACAAAAGTTACATAAAAAAATATAAAAAAATTAAGCCTTGGATTACAAATGGCCTGATTAGTTCAATCAGGACCAGGGACCAAATGAAAAGGAAATTACTAAAGCAAAAAAATAATAATAAACTGAGAATTGAATATAAAGCCTTTAGAAATTATTTACAAAAATTAATTACTGCTTCTAAAAACAACTACTACACAAATAAATTACAAGACTCTAAAAAGGACATTAAAAAAATATATAAAATTTTAGCAGACGCATCAAATGAACCTAAGCTTAAGTCTAACCAAGATATGCTTATCAAGGACTTGAATAACAAGGATTTTGCTGATGACAAAGCAATGGCCGACTACTGTAATCGGTATTTTTTCTGAAATAGGCATAAGTATGGCGAACAAAATTCCAAACAATACAGCAATCTTAAACGAAAAATATCCTACCTTTCTAAATTCTATGGCCTTAAGCCCTATTACAAAAAATGAATTAATAATACACATTGGCTCTCTAAAGAGTAGCAGTGCTCCAGGGAGAGATGGAATAACTTCCAAAATGGTGAAACTGTGTCATCAGTATATTGCTGATCCACTTCTATATATTCTTAATCTTATTTTTGCTACCAATGAAATACCTGAAGACCTTAAAACATCTTTCATTACCCCAATTTTTAAGAAAGGATCTAAAAGTGACATATCTACTTATAGACCCATTAGCTGTTTAAGGTGTTTAACCTTTGGCAAACTTTTTGAAAAGTGTTTGAAAGAGAGGTTATATGGTTACTTAATCAAGAATAAAATACTCAGTCATAAACAATTTGGTTTCCAAAAAAAGAGCACAAATGATGCTTTATATAAACTTATTGAACATATTAAATATGGACTGGACCAGGGAAATAAATGCATTGGAGTCTTCATGGACCTTGCAAAGGCCTTTGACACTGTGCCCCATTCTGGATTGCTTGATATACTTGAGCGATATGGGATTCGGGGTACAGTGTTGGAGCTTTTCAATAATTATCTTCAGGGTAGAAGGCAATCAGTGAAAATAAGAAATTCCATTAGTGAGCCCAGTACTGTGCAAATTGGAGTGCCTCAGGGTACAGTGCTTGGGCCCCTTCTTTTTATCTTATACATAAATTCACTTCTGTCTTTAGACATAAAAGGTTTAGCCCTATCATACGCAGATGACATGATTCTCATTTTTGAGGACGATAGATGGAATTCAGTCAAAACAAAAGTTTCAGATGGCATGACTATTGTGAAGAGGTGGCTGGACAAACATAAATTGTCTTTGAATATTGCAAAAACTGTGTATGTGGCTTTTTCTCTGACAGATGCCAACAGACCGATCTTCAATGAAATAACCATTGATCTTCAATCAAATTTTACTATAAAAGAGGTCAAATGCACAAAACATCTTGGGATAATTGTAGATAAAAATCTGAAATGGACCCCACACAAACAAAATTTAACAAATAAAATCAAAAGTCTGATCCACAAATTTTATCTAATAAGAAATATCTTGAGTAAAGAATCTTTAATAATTATATATCAATCCCTTGTCGAATCTTTATTGTGTTATGGAATAGTGGTCTGGGGTGGACTCTACAATAACGCACTAGAAACTCTGAACACCATACAGAATTATATCCTGAAAATCATATTTAAAAAGGACAGGTTGTTTCCCACCTCACTCCTATATAATAACAAAATTCCTGGCAAAATTCTTAATGTCAGATCTTTGTACTTTCATGCTAGTTGTGTGTTCTGTTTTAAACTGAAGGAAAAGGGTTATGTGGATCACCAATATAAAACTAGGCAGATGATTAACAGACACCTTACTGTCCCATTTCGTAAGTTTGATAGAAATCAAAGATGTAACTCTGTGTTAGGGCCAAAGATTTTCAATAGACTGCCTCGTTCCATTCGTGAGGCAAGGAATAGAAAAGCTTTCTCATTGCATTGCAAACAGTTCATTCATGAAAATTATGAAACTTTGAATGATCTTTTGTAGTTGAAAATGTGGTTGGGGCTGTTATTTGTTATCTTTTTTTGTTTGTTTATTTTTTTTTCATATTTATATTTAGTATAGAATGTTGAAGAACAGCTAATTATTATTTATAATGTAAATTGATTCTCTGCTAGAAAATTATCTTAAAGTTGTAACCAATATTACCAGGGTACCCTGGTGGATTTTGCCAGGGTACCCTGTATTATGTATTTACTTTGATTATGGAAGTACAGTATTTGAATAGCAGATATGATAAGTTTACTGACTATTTAATATGAACTTTATTTTCACATACTCTGACATAATGACATACAACAATTAACTGGTAAAGGTGAACAATATAATTTAGTGCATAGTGGACACTACAAATCCTCCCTGGCAAATTTAAAGATTCAGTTTTTCTGGTTGTTTTCTCGTTCTAATACTTCTTCGCAATGTCTCAGCATTTTCTGGTATCTGATTGGGTTTGGTTTTTGATTGGTAAAAAGTTTCAATGTTTTGATCAGTACTTTCCACCGGAAAAGTCTCTTGGTCGGAGGATTTGTATTGTTTGGTAAAAATAATTTAGCTTTATAATTTGAAATTTTTCCAAGACCTGGTTTAAAAACTTCTGGAAAATTATTTTTAAGTTCTTCTATAATTTTTAATTTCAAGAAATCTGGGATATTTTCATTTTGTAATTGACAAATTTCAGGTAAATCGACTTTAATTTTCTGCATCCATTCTCTCCCGAAAATAGGTTCAACTTTCCCTGGTAAAATATATAAATTTAGTAATTCAATTTGATTATTTAATTCAACCTGGAAAATTGAATAGCCGATAGGTCGAATTATTTCTCCAGTGTAAGTTCTTAAAGGTAAATTTGTTTTTTGCAATGTTTTTTTTGAAAATTTTGTGTTAAACAAATCTTGTGAAATCGATGAAACTGCAGCGCCTGTATCATATTCAAATTTAATGGATTCTCCATCTAATTGAAGATTTAAAAGAATTTTGCCTGGTTTTTTATAAGCCTCAGGTAAGCAATTATTATCTAGTACGTTCATAAAAAATAATTCTTCATGCTGAAAGTTGTTTTCCATTTCCTCTGGTTCTTCTTCCACTTGATGAACATTTTCTCTCCTAGGAGTTCCCCTGCATGCCTTAAACATGTGACCATATTTTAGACATCCTGTACACTTTGAATTTTTGTGCTTGCATGTATTTACCAAATGTTGTGGATCACCGCATCTGTAGCACTTTCGTTGAAAATTTAACAAATTCGAAGGAGATATGTTTTTTTGTTGTTGTTCAGGTTTAAATGAAAATTTTTTAATTTGATTTTGAAAAGAAGTACTCGCACATGTTTGTAAAGAATGTATTTCTCTGGAATCTTTTTGTGCTAATTCCATAGTTAGTGCTGTATCAACGCAGTTTTTAAATTTATTATCTGGTTCTTTAAGTTGAATTAGTCTTTCAATTAAATTAGAATTTCGCAGACCACTAATGAACTGAAGACGTAAATGGGCATCAGACGTCGAAGCTTTGCAAGCATCACAGACAAACTTACAATTTGTCGTCATCTTTTTTAATTCAGTTACGTAATTTGCAATAGTTTCCCCTTCTTGTTGGACACGTTTTGTAAAACGGTTTTGCTCTGCGATTATACTTGAAGAAGGATCAAGATGGTTTTGTAAAAGAGAAACCAAAGTCGTATAATCTTTAGATTTAGGATCATCGGGACATGTTAAAGAGTGAATAAGTTGTAGCGTTTTGGTACCCATCGTGTGAAGTAACCATTCTTTCTTTTTAGTATCAATATAGTCTGCGGAACCAGTGAAGTTCTTCATGGAAAAAAAATTGTCTAACCTTTTTATGAACATCTCCCAACTTTCATTTTCTTCTGAGAATGGATCTATTGAAATGGATTCTTGAGTAATTGGAGTAGTATTTTGATTAACTTGTAGAGTCTTTGTAAGTGCAGCCATCAAAGTATTAAATTGTTCAGCATTCATTGTAAAAGGGTTTATTCGTCCTCGGCGCCAATTTATTATGTATTTACTTTGATTATGGAAGTACAGTATTTGAATAGCAGATATGATAAGTTTACTGACTATTTAATATGAACTTTATTTTCACATACTCTGACATAATGACATACAACAATTAACTGGTAAAGGTGAACAATATAATTTAGTGCATAGTGGACACTACACCCTGGTGGATGCTCTGCACCTAGGTGTACTGTATTTTCAAATTGACAACTAAATTAAATTAAATGAAATTATTTACTATGTAATAGATTGTATTGAAATTTGTATTTAATATTTAATAATAATAATAATAAAGGACCCTCTATTTATTAAAATTGAAAAAATGCCAAAAATCGTGTGTCCGGAAGGCATACCGGACCCTATTTTTCTAATAATAAAAGGAGATTAATTTTAGTTTTTAAAAAAGGCATTAATTATACATTAGCCAAAAAGAATTAAGTTGCAGACAAATCTAATAAAGAATAAGATTCCAAAGAAACTCTGAACAAGTTTCTCGCGAGGTTTCTCGCTATCTCGCTGCTGGCTTTTTTTTAACAAACAGATTGTAAATTCTATTATTGAATATTTTCATTGGGCGGCCCTCGTTAGAAGTTAGAAAAGACTTGATCCGTACTTACACAATATTCCTTGGTTGTCCTAAATTATACATTCTTGTAGCTATTGCACCTAAAAACAACATTATGGCCACAACGTCAATTTCTACATTTATTTTGAATACATTTCTAAAATTATTTGTATTTTTAATTAATACATTTGCTTGTTCTTTATTTTGTTCATTGTTTTGTGGTTGTTCTTGATTGTTGGTTTTGTGTTGTACTCGGTGTTCTACTTCCTCACATATTTTGGTTGTTTCAGAGAAACTTTGAGATTCGTGATGTTTCTGTTTAGTCTTTCTATTTCTCATAGTTTCCATTTTCTATTTTTTTTTGTAATATTTACTTTTGAAATTTGATTTTAGTTAGCATTTTCAGGCCACAACTATTTACTCACTAGGTTAAAATTTTTAATAAACCGGATTTTACCGCGATGACATTAGTATTACAGTTTGAGTTTGTATTTACCCAATCAAATAGTTTAGTTTAAAGACAACATAATTTAAAAATAATTAACATTTTTTTCCAACATTTTCAAATTTCACTTTTTTTTCTTGTTTACGTACACACGTAAACGTCATTGTCGCCTGTCACGACAAAAATTGAAAAGCATGGTGGTCAAAAGCCTTATTGTCAGATTTCAATATTCAAACTATAAATATGGCGATTTCCATTTGTCGAACCAGTACAAAAAAAAATATATCCTTATCCTTTACATGTTACATGCTTTTAGAAAAAGATGCGGATACACTCAGTGCGCACTGATTAACAAATGAAAATCGCCAATAGATTCAAACATTCTCAGTAATTGAGGCCATATTGAGGCTAACTTCAAAACAGTCACGAATAGAAGAGGCCTGTTCGGAAACGCTAATCCCAATTAACCGGATCACCAGCTGATTAACTTTGTCTTTTTTCAATCATGTTCATTGAAGAAAGACAGAAAACAAACAACTGGTGATCGGTTTAATCATTTCAGCGTTTCCGAAAAGCCCTATTCATTCAAGGAGCTATTCATTGACACTTGACACGACAGGACGATGACTGAGTTGATGACATTTGAAAAATTTATTTTCCGGACCGTCACGTTTCTGCCCGGCGGAGATACTTCTCGTTTTTTGATTTGAGAGTGTCTTTGATTAATTGAAAACTCAAAATGACCGATTCCAAGTAAGTAAACCTCCATTACGCATGTTTCCAGTTAATTTTGCCAACATTTTTATATATTTTCCCAAATTTTCGATACTCTTAATTTGATTAGAAAAATCCCTATAACTGACCGCCATGTTGGTGATCGATTCTAGAATTTTCGTGGGGCTTTAGTAAATAATGATTTTAGACCACAAGGGGCCCTCGGAATTTTGGAATAATCATTTGAATTTTATGCAATATACCCTAAAATCGCTACATTTAACACTATACCTATGTACCTAATCAGAAATCAATTTTGTTTTTAACCTCACTTTTTGCTCTTTTTATGCAGATTACCACCACCCCCTGTAATGTGGGCTCAAAGGTCTCCCATGGTATTCCTAACTGTTAACTTAGAAGATGTGAAAAATCCTGATATCAAGTGAGTATTTGGTTTTGTTTTGCCGTTGTTAAAGAGTACAGGCATAGATTAACACAAGGATTAACATTTAACGATTTGACCTCAAGAGTCCATGAGACAAATTAAAAACTATCTTAAAAAAACAATGAAATTGTCACGCATTTTTAAATATTTATCAGAATCAGGCCTAAAAAACACCTAAGACTATATAGTCGAGAATATAGTCCTTGACAAGTTTTGATAGAATCCATACTATCAACCTTATGATTCTATTCTAAGCATTAAGGTACCTCCTACCTACTTGATTTATTATTATTATTATTATTTCCACGCTCAAAGAAGGTTCTAAGATTAAGGCGCTGTAAACGTTCTTGATATCAGAGATGCTTGAGCTCTGAAGGGATTTTAGTTACCATTCGCTGAACTTTCTGTAGAATATCTATATCTTTGACATAATAAGGACTCCATACACTTTGCATATATTCTAGTTTTGGTCTTATGTATGTCTTGTAAAGCTTAAGTATCATATCACTAGATAGGTTTTTAAACGACTTTCTTATAAGGTAAATCAAGGTGTTCACTTTTTTGATAGTTGTTTGAGATGTGAATCTCCCATTTGAGGTCTTTTGTGACTATTAAGCCTAGATCTTTCTGTTTTTCAACTGCAGTCACCTCAGTGTTTCCTATAGTATACCTAGAACAGTGCACTTAGATTCGTTTAATGGCATCTGCCATGTTATAGTCCATTGTTTAATTTTATCAAGATCGCTCTGCATTTGTAGGTATTGGTCACTTGCTCTGCAAGTAGAATTTGTGTTGTCTGCAAAGAATGAGGAGTCACATGCAAGATCTGCAGGAAGGTCGCTTATGTATAATATAATCAGCAAAGTTGCAATTACCGAGCCCTGTGGTCTCGCCTGTGGTACTCCAATATGCACCTCGCAACTACTGGAAAGGATATTGCCTATTTTTACTTGAAAGGTCCTTCCTTGGATAAGTTCACTGATAACTCTATGCACATTGCCCCGTATTCCATTATGCTCCGATTTTAGCAGGAGTCTCCTGAAAGGTACCTTATCAAAAGCTTTTTCAAAATCTATATAGACACTTGTTAAATGGTGTATTACTGTCATACATTTGAGTCCATTTGTTGAATCTTTCTAGCAGGTTGGTGAATGTTGATCTTCCTTCCATATTTCTGGAATAGAAGCTCTTTTCATTATAGAGTTTAGAATAGTGGCTATAGGACTAGAGATCGTTTTGGAGCAGTTTTTCAGAAAGAGGGATGGAATTTCATCAGGACCAGGACTAGACTCCGCCTTTAGAGAAGAAATGGTTATTTCTAATTTTCCTGGGGTGGATTCTATATTACTTATCTTTGCAGCGATGCGTAATTCAGGTTAAAAAGTTGGTAGGTTGTTATCTTCTCAAGTGAGGACTTTCTGGAACTGGTCTGCAAAGCAATTGGCAATTTCACTCTCATCGTAAATAGTCTGATTCGTGTTAGTGTTTCTGAGCGCAAAATTTTGGAGAGGAGTTTAGTGAATGTTTTATATAGGAGTAAAATTTCTTAACAGGAGCTTGCAATAAATTCTGTTCATATTCTTGCCTAGCCTGGTTTAAGATCTGCTTCGTTATATTATTTTGTTGTTTGTAATGATCATAATCTGTGTTTGTTTTTGTCCTTTTATACTTATCCCACAGTTTTCGTTTGATGTTGATTTGCTTAAAAACTTTCCAGTTAAGCCAAGGTTTCTTTGGATTGACATGCTTAGGTTTCAAGGGTACATATAGCTCAATAGTTTTCGTCACTAAACTTATTAACTGTGTTGCATCAATTTGACATGTGCAGGCATCTACCTGTTCAGTTATGGACTTGTTAATTTCATCATAATTTGCTTTCCAGAAATTTCTTTTATAGATCTTTTTAGTTGACTTAGAAGCCAGTTGAATCTGTGTTTTAGTTGTTTTCACTACATGATCACTACGCCCTATTGGTGGGGGTTGCTGTATACTGAATATTGAGCTTTTGTCATTAACCAGCAATAGATCTAGTAATGAAATTTCATTATTTCTGTATCCTGTAGGGAACGTTATTACCTGATGCGCGTTAGTGATTTGATAGCTGTTAAAGAAATCTTCTGACCATTGATTGTGAGGGTAGACTGTAAGTTTATTCCAGTTGATCTCTGTGTAATTGAAGTCTCCAAAAAGAAATGTTGGAATTTTTTACTCCAAGGCCTTTGCTACTGTGGCGGTAAATTCTTTGTTTTGATCTGGTGTTGTTGACAATTTGGGATGATATATGCAAGCCGTTACAAAGGTAAAAGTGCTGATTGTAATTTCCAACCAAACTGCTTCTATTGTGTGTTCTATTTTGTAGAAGGTGCTATTTGTTGCTTGTCTATTACAGGTCAAAATTGCCTATTCATTGTCAAATATTCAACTGCAACTCCTATAAATATGCTAGTGTCCTAGTAAATTTATAACATAAAAATTTCAGATTTACAAAAAACACAGTATATTTCCATGGAACCGGCGGCGTTGACAAAAAGGAATACGAAGTCACAATCCCCCTGAACAAAGAAATCGACCCTGAAAAAAGTCGAAGCTTCAACAGGGGAAGGTGTATTGAAATCCTGTTAGCCAAAGTATGTTTCAACAAGTTTGACTTAAGCCAATTAAACTAAAATAATTTTTCTCCCCAGGCTAATCCAGAAGAACCTTACTGGCCTGCACTGACCTCGGACAAAAAGAAACATCATTGGTTGAAGTGCGACTTCAATAAATGGCATGATGAAGACGATTCTGGAGACGAAGGTTTAGGCGGCATGGGCGGAGGTGGAGATTTTGAGGAAATGATGAGGCAAATGGGTGGTCTGGGCGGTGCTGGAGGTGGTAAACCCAGTTTCGATGATCTAGATGAAGGAGGGGATTCAGACGACGAACCCATCCCTGATTTAGAGTAATTTTTCAATTATTTTAGGAAGCTTTTCTAAATTTTTTTTTTAATTTAACCTAAGTTATTGTTGTAATTTTTCTCCTGGTAGTGGATTGAAGTTGTTTTTGAAGAAACTTAAAATTGTATATACTGATCGCATTAGTGTTGTATCTTCAATAATTATTCTAATCTTAGCAAAAAAAAAAATTGTGTTTTTGAGTGATTGCGCTGATAATTGAACAGTTACAAATCTCCGATAACTGCACTGGTATGTGAGGTTTTTAGTTACACCGGTTGGTTGAATATTGTACGATACAATAATTGCGTGTATATTATTGTAAGTTTTGAACCAAATTTGTAAGTAAAATGATACTAAAAGAAATGAGTTTTGAAGTTTTATTTTAAAGTATATTTCTTTGGAAATAAAGTTCTGCATTTAAGCTAATCCTACACTATCCTCATCTCTCTCTATTGCCACTAATTTCCTATGAAGTTTGAGTTCACTGATAAAAAGCATTCGTTCAAAATCAGAAGAAACTTAACTTTATAAACCTAACCTCAATATCCACCTTCGATTTTTTTTCTGTGAGGTTGAAAAAAGTGAAAGGGTGCCCCTTTACCAATTTTTTATCGTTTTACCTCCAGCGTGGCACTAAATGCAACTATATGGAATCTTACGTCATCTAATTGGAATAAAATTTGTCAACAATCCAGTCTTCAAGAGCTTCCCCAGTGTTTTAAAGCGTAAAATATCAGTGGTTTCATATCTAAGTGAAAAATACGACCAAAAGAAAGATTGGGGCAAGAACAAACAACACAGAAGCGTCAAGTTGAAGTGGATTTTCGACACAATGGGTGATCCACAGATCGAACAGATTCTGGCTCCTTTAAGGGCAAATGTAAAAGAACAGGTACAAATTATTCACTTTATATTCTATCCTGTATAGTATAAGTAAACTTTTAGGGTGACTTAGTTCGTAAACTGAAAGCTGATGGAGCCCCAGATCTTGATGTTAAAAAAGCAGTTGCCGAGCTCAAAGCCCGTAAAAAAATCCTAGAAGATAAAGAACTAGCCTTAGCCCCAAATGCTACTTTTGATAGATCTAAAATGGAAGATTTACTTAAAAGAAGATTTTTTTTCGACCAATCTTTTGCCATTTACGGAGGAATAACAGGACAATTTGATTTTGGGCCTATGGGCTGTGCCTTTAAGTCAAACCTGTTGCAAGCATGGAGGCAATTCTTTGTGCTAGAAGAGCAAATGTTGGAAGTTGATTGCTCAATATTAACACCGGAACCTGTTTTGAAAGCTTCTGGACATGTGGATAGATTTGCTGATTTGATGGTTAAAGATATTAAAACTGGAGAATGTTTTAGGTTGGATCATTTTATTAAAGCTCATTTGGAGAAAATTGCAGCCGACAAAAAAACTAGTGCTGAAACTAAAGAGGAATGTGCGGATATTGTTATTAAGGTAAGACAAATTTGTCCTTTTCCTCATCGCCATTGATAATGCCCACCACCACAGTTCTAAGATCACCTTGTAATACAACCATAAGTCCATTAACTTTAAAGGCATTAGGTACCAGCTATGAAAGCTTTCATTCTTTAATACTGATAGCCTTTTGCATCAACTGTTTCAAGGCAGCGTTAATGCTAAGTAGAGGGGAGATTTGATAGAGATATGTGAAACCTTGAACATCAAGAGAAATACTTATTATTATGGCTTTCTTTAAATGGTTGAGGTGAATAGCCATGAAGGTATATAGGTACAGAATCATTGACTTCATTAATAAAACAGATGTTGAATGCGTTTATGCAAACGAATAAAATATTTGCTAAAAATGACTTCAGAATAATAATTACAAAGATCAAATTTCTAGATGTTCAAAGCCACTGATAAGATTGGACCAAAAACAAAGCAGCCCTTAATAATAATTCATCATCGATTTTCCTTTTCAGTTGGATGGTATGACCAAAGCCGAAATGGCTGCTGTAATGAAAAAATTCAACATGAAAAGTCCTCTAACAGGAAACGATTTAACTGACCCAATCGAATTCAACTTAATGTTTGGTACGCAAATCGGACCTTCAGGGTTAATCAAAGGTTTCCTTCGTCCAGAAACCGCTCAAGGAATTTTTGTCAATTTCAAGAGACTTTTAGAATTCAACCAGGGCAAACTCCCATTTGCCGCAGCCCAAATCGGTAATGCATTCCGTAATGAAATTTCTCCTAGATCTGGCCTGATACGAGTACGAGAGTTTACCATGGCGGAAATTGAGCATTTTTGTGACCCCAATGACAAAAACCACCCAAAGTTTGACAAAATCAAAAACGTAGAACTTCTTATGTATTCAGCTTGTAATCAAATGGACGGTAAAGCTGCCGAAAGGAAATCCATAGGAGAAGCAGTTGCAAGTGGTTTGGTGGCAAACGAAACGTTGGGTTACTTCATGGCAAGAATTCAACAATTTTTAGTAAAATGTGGTGTAGACCCTCCAAGATTAAGATTCAGACAGCATATGTCAAATGAAATGGCTCATTACGCTTGTGATTGTTGGGATGCTGAATGTTTAACAAGTTATGGTTGGGTTGAATGTGTTGGTTGTGCTGATAGGTCAGCCTACGACTTGACTCAACACACTCAGGCAACAGGAGTGAGGTTAGCAGCAGAGAAAAAATTAGAAAACCCCAAAATTATCGATGTAGTAGAAGCAGCCCCAAATAAAGGAACTCTTGGAAAATACTTTAAAAAAGATGCCAAAACTATTACTGATGCTTTGGCGGCTTTGAGTTTGAATGAAGTTGCAGCTTTAGAAAAAGATTTAGAGGGTGATGGGTATGAACTTGAAGTTGGTGGGCAAAAATTCACTGTAACAAAAGAGCATGTTGCAGTGAAACGTTATCAAAAAACTATGCATGTTGAAGAAATTATTCCTAGTGTAATTGAACCATCTTTTGGTGTAGGAAGAGTCATGTATGCTATTTTTGAGCACAATTTCAAACAAAGAGAAAATGACGAACAAAGAACTTATTTGTCATTGCCAGCTACTGTTGCTCCTCTAAAATGCAGCATTTTACCTTTGAGTGGAAATACTGAGTTTATACCCTTTATTAGAGAATTATGTAAGGCATTTCAAATGTAAATTTTTTTTTTAGTTAATTTGAGTTATTTTTAGCCGCTGAACTAACTAAAGTAGATGTATCTCATAAAATAGATGACAGCTCAGGCTCCATTGGTCGTAGATACGCTCGTACAGATGAAATAGCTATTCCATATGGTATAACTATTGATTTTGATACCTTAAAAGAACCCCACAGTATCACTTTACGTGAAAGAGATTCAATGGCTCAAGTCAGAATACCTGTAAGTATTTTTAATTTGTTTATAGGGAAATATTATGTAATTTTTTTTACAGCTAAGCGATATTGCCACAGTTCTTCACAATTTGTCTTACAGTAAGCAAAGTTGGATGGACATTGAAAGCAAATATCCCAAGTTCGAACAGCAGGAGAGTAAAGGAAATTAATTAAGATCTAAATGGCATTTTTTTTTTAATTTCAAAGCATTTAAATTATGTTAAGAGATAATTAACCCTAATCACTTAGCTTTGTATTAATATTTATGAAAATAAATGAAAAGAAACTTAATTGTTTAGCAATTCCTAGACAAGTCATTTCAAAAATTCATAAACATATTTCTATAATGTGTCTATTGAAAACTGTATGAGAAGAGCAAGTCACCTGAAATCTGGTAAAACAGAAATTTAAGGGAGGAAAGAAGTTAGCTTTAGAGACTTTTACAATTTAGAAAAGACAAGTGATATGATTTTGCAACAGTATACAAAGCCCAATAATAAGCAATACATAAAAACTATAGCTTCAGCAAAAATATTCAAAGGCCTAAAGAAATATGCATCATTGTACTATGCAATCTAAGTATGTAGTTTTGATGGCTGATGAGGGCATATTGTTTACACTGCACACAGCTGAGAGAATCTATGGAATCCTGAGAGATGATGTTTGCTTAAAGCTTTTGTGTGCGGCTTTTTTTATCTAAAACAACTTGGTGACTTTATCTATTCATTGATGAAGAAAAAATCGAAGAGATGAATATTATAGGTAGGTAATACAATAATATTTTATTGTTTAATATTATGTAGGTATAGCAAATGTTAGAAATTATCCATCCAAAGTCGTGGTGTATCCACCCTTCTCAATATTCGAAAAAATCATTTCGATTTCGTGTAATAATTCACGTTTTACTGCGTCAGGAACGAGAGCCCTCGCCTTCGGAGTTATAACTTCAATCAGATGGTCCACAGAGGGGACATTCTGGTTATTTTCAGTTATAGCTTCGCGACAAGCTAGTTTCACTCGGTCCTTCCAACCGCTCTCAATGAGACGGGTTTCAATCAATTCTGTTACCCTAGAACAAGAACATTGTAGACTTGAGTTTTGGAGATATAGAATGCATTAATTTACCTTTCTAAGCCATTGTTTACGTCCAGATGCATGCTAACTCTTCCATTAGCGTTTTCAGGCTTCCCAGACATATTTCTGAACTTTTAATTTTTGAGTTAAACTTAGGTGTTTATAATAATAAGGTGTAATAGGGTTATTGAATTTATACCCAAACAAAAATACAAAATTTGACGAGTGACAAAAGGTCTGTTTTGCAGAACCACAAACCTCTATGCCACAAACCAGTCAGAGTGAATTTCATTGGTTGAAACTAGTTTCCCCTCGTTTTTATAAGGCAAACAAGCTTTAAACTAAAAATTTACCATAATAATTTACATCCATTCAACAATATAAATAAAATAGTTTTGGGTTTTGGGACTAGGAGCGTTTCAAAAAAAAAGGCAAGATTTTCAAAACACTGAAGCGCGCAAAATCCTATGAAACAAGCCATAGATACTTGCCTCCTGATTGGTCGAAACCTCACGTCTCGTCTCGCTACCTCCTTCTCCTTCTACTAATTGAATCCATTTGGATTGATTGGACTCGTCGCCATTTTTGTGCTGTCGTGTTGTGCGACATACGTTTGCCCTAAAATTGTGAACCAAGACAGACGTTTTTCTTTTTCCACCTCAAAAATGGACTTGAGCGCTTATTTGGCGGCCCCTCTGCAACTCGACAAAGTGTGCAGGGCTTGCCTGATGGTAAAAGGGAACATGAGGCCCCTTTTCGGGGCTTGTCTTGACGAAATGCTGGCGAGCTTCACGGGGATCCAGGTAAAATTTCTCCATTTCTATTTTCGTTTTCGAGGTCGGTCAGACAAAGAGGGAGATAGAATGGCAGGTCGATAAATGAAAAGTTGACAAACCGCACCAAATTTTGTTCTTGAACAATTAATTTCTAGCGGCTTTTTAACGATTCATTTTAATTATAAAAAGTAGGAACTCCCATTAAATAATGACGGGAATTACTCGCATCTCACCTATGACGCCTCTTCTGAAATTATCACTGTATCCACTTTTCATATGGGGTCATTTGGGATTCAATCTTTGGACAATATTTTTGATAATTATTTGAACCTATTGGTTTCGTGAACGTGACGTCACTAAATTGACACTGGAGGTAAGTGATGTCAGCTGTCAGCGATAGTGATTCACCAACATGGCTGCCATTACCAAAAACGAGGCCGATATGCAATCTTTAGTAGGGTGTATCATCCTTGGATTTGATGTTTGACGTACAAGATGGCGCCGAGGCATAAACTTGACGTCCATAAGAGACTGTGTATTCTCTAAAGTGTTTTTATCAGTTTGAGAAGGTTTTTTTGTAAATTTTTCTATTATTTGGCGTTGCTGTGGTTTATGTAATTTATGTTTTTGGCATTCATTTGCCTCTGAACCACTTTATATTTGTCATAAATGTCGAGATTGGCAAGGCATGTTCAAGGTGCCATTTATATATTTATTATAAAGTGAACTACAGTGTTTAGTGAGTTTTTGTCATCACAGAGTATGTATGTAGCACTTATATTCAAGCCTTTTTCCCTACTACCCAGATATATTATTGGTCAATAAATATTCCAAGTTTTTCGGTTTTAAGTTTTAACTACGAACATCAAAGGAAATTGAAATAAATTAAAATTCATCAAATTAAACTCTGAAACATGTAGAAATAACACACATTTATATGGAGGCAATGTTTAACCTCAATGATTTATTTATATTCGGGCCTCATCGCCATCTTGAATTATCAGCTGATTGGCTGATTCGAATCCAAGGATGAAGGATGATACACACTACTACTACAGGATAGCCTATCCTCATAAGGCCTATGTGGAACAAATCCCCCTTTCCCCTACCCCCCTAAATCACAAGTTGTGACGTAGGCTAGGCAGCATGTTATTTCTTGCCTTGATGTAGGCTGTTTAAACAGCTGACCACTTAGTTATGACGTCAGAAATGGTTACACACCAATATGGCGGCGATGACTAAAAACGAGGAAAATGAGGCCGATAAGCGATCCTGTAGGTGTGTATCATCCTTGATTCGAATCGCCTAATATGAGCTGCTTACGGTAACAATAGATCTAGGATAAGTTTGATCAGTATCAGCTGTTCCAGGATTAGTAAACTATCTCGGAGCAGCTACAGTGACTCATCTATTACCACAGTGGCGACAATTGCCGTCCTCTTTTTGATTGGTTCTTCAAAATCCTATATATTCATATGGATAACGCCGCCATTTCTTGCCCAACCTCTTGCTACTTTTAAATGTGATTATATAGGATTGAAATGGACATTCATCATAAAAAATTGAAAACAACGTATCCGATGACTATAATTAGGCACATCAAATACGTTGTTTTCAATTTTTTTATGATAGATGTCCATTTAAATCCTAGCAACTAGGAGGTTGGGCACAAAATGGCGGCGGGACCTCTATCGCCACTGTATGTAAAGGTTTATTTAGCCACTGTAGGTGGAGCTAGTTTAGTTTCCGAACGGATGGATCCGTAGATGAAGCTTGCCAAATGGCACAAGCCTCATCGCCATCTTGAATTATCAGCTGATTCGAATAAGCACTACTTCTACAGGATAGCCCATCCTCATAAGCCTGTGTGGAACAAATTCCCTCCTCCCCTGTTACAACCAATGTTAGGAACTGTCAAACTGGACTTGGATAAAGCCAGGCTGACACGGTCCAAGTGTACTTGGATCGTATTAATCGTTAATCCAAATCAAGTTGGATAGTGGTCCTATGACATGGCTGCCAACTAACTTAGTCCAAGTTCACTTGAACCGTGTCAACCTGGCTTAACAGTTAATACGATCCAAGTACCATGCAAGTGAGGAGCGCGCAGCGTCCAAGTGAACTTGATCCTTGCACTGTATCATCCTGAGAGGTTTTAGCAGTAAATGTTTACTGGAATATTACACAAAACACAATTGAATAACTATTTCTTTAACAGATGTTCAATTTGCCATTAAGATAAAACTCCCTAAAATTTCAAATACCACAGGGTTATTCAAATGCAACAACTAATAATTTCTACATAGAGCTGCACTGGTTTGCATGTTTGCAGTTCACTTATTTGGCTATTAGACTAAAATTTTGGCGTTTGGCTCCATGTAACACTATATAGAAAAAGGGCAATAATTTTTTAGTGAAGGTGAAAATAGGTTGAATGATGAGACTTTAACTAAACCATGAATCTATGGATATAGAAACACACGTGCCGACGAATTCATGCAAATTATAACACATTGCAGAGGTTTGGTTCTTACTTCTTACCATAAATTCGTCAAGAACAACTTAAATTCTCATGTTAACATGTAATGTAATCATTAAATTATTTTTCAGATTTCTCAAAATGATGGATTTCCCAGGCACATGTGCGTTCAATGCGTTCTACAATGCAGCAGAGCATACACTTTCAAGCAGCTCTACGAAAAATCCAATGCCATTCTCCGACAATTTGTCAGTAAAGAGTTTCAAGACAACTTGAAAAAGTATCAAGAACAAGAAAAATCTAGAAACCAAGCAAAAAAAGAGTTGGAAGAACAATTAAAATTCAGATCGCCTTCTCCAGTGAGAATTATGTTGGAAGAACCGAAAATTCTAGAAAATGAATGTGTTAGCTTCGAAACTGTTGTGACATCGCAGGGGCATTTTATGCAAAAAACTGAAATCGATGACGAATTTTATGCTGTAGTTGAAACAGTAGAGGAAATTGGAGATGACGAAGGGTCATTAGGAGATATGTCGAACGAGGAAAAAAATTATAAAATTGATTTGGCCACATTGAATGCTATGACTTCACCAGAACCTCCTGTAACTAAACAAAAAAAATCTTCAAAATATAGTTGTCCAAAATGTGACGCGCAATTTCCACTGAGAGTCGACTTGAAAATTCACATGATGATTCATCCAAAGGATTTAAATTATATTTGCAATACATGTAATAAAGCGTTTGCTGAAGCCAGAATTTTAAGACGTCATCAAAAGATTCATTTGGAACATAAACCTCATCAATGTGACCAGTGCCCAATGTCCTTTTCTGAAAGCTCGAACTTGAGCAAACACAAAAAAAAGCACACAGGAGAACTGAGAAACATAAAAGGTAAACCCTATTTATGTTCAGTGTGTGGACGAGCGTTCAAGTGGTCCTCCAGTTTACACAAACACATGAAATATCATACGGGACATAAATTGCTCAATTGTAATTATTGTCCTAAGCAATATGTGGAAGCTAGAAGCTTGAAAATTCATATGAGGTCACATACTGGCGAGAGACCATACGTTTGCAATATTTGTAATAAAAGTTTTACGCAGACTTGTAATTTGGAGAAACATATCCGGGTACATACTGGAGAGAAACCTTACACTTGCCCTGTGTGCAATAAAGGGTAAGAATTTTATGAAACTTAAATTAGTTTAGTGGAGAATAAATAATTCAAGCGGAGTTATTTCAAACTTTATATTTGTTCTATGTTAACGTTCACATTTTAAAGTTGAGAAATTGATAAAATGGACACTTTTTATTCGAGACAATTTTGTCAGCTACTCTTGATATGAGCAATGAGCCAGTTGTGAAAATTTGAAGACCTTTTGTTGGGGCTACAAACTGATCTATACTTCTTGTGATGAATAGATGTAGCATATGAATTATTCATAGGCTAATTGGCAATGTGGTGCATGGGTCTTAAACAAATTAAAATCAGTTTAGTTGTCTCTGTCAGCCAAGGGGCAAACCGAGGGGCAAACCACCTAGGAATTCTTTGCCAAAAATGTGGGGAATTTAGAGGAATTTGTGGGAAATTTAGAGGAATTTCTGAGGAATTTGAAGGATAACTCATCCGAATTTATGGGAATTTGGAGGATTTTATGGGTAATTTGGGAGAATTTGTGAGTAATTTATGAGGAATTTAAAGGAAATTGTCAAATTTAAAAAATTCAAAAGAATAATGAATACAGTTTTTGTAGGCTGATTTCCAAGATTTTTCATGTTGTTATTTTCCACTGAAAAAATTTGAAATTTTGGGAAAATGAGCTTCTCACCTTGCTCTCTACACCCAAAAAGTTTCAAAATTTTCCCTTCACTAGGTTTCCAGGAAAACTTTGAAATGTGTGAGACTGTATTTTCAACTTATTCAGTTTTTGTAGGTTGATTTCCAAGATTTTTCATGTTGCTGTTTTCTACTGGAAAAATTTGAAATTTTAGGAAAATGAGCTTTTCACCTTCATCTTTACATGCAAAAATAAGTTTCAAAATTTTCCCTTCACTAGTTTTCCAGGAAAACTTTGAAATGTGTGCGACTGTATTTTGAACTCATTCAGTTTTTGTAGGTTGATTTCCAAGATTTTTCATGTTGCTTTTTCCACTGAAAAAATTTGAAATTTTGGGAGAATGAGCTTCTTACCTGCTTCTTTACATGCAAAAAGTTTCAAAATTTTCCCTTCACTAGTTTTCCAGGAAAACTTTGAAATGTGTGAGACCGAGTGTGCGACTGTATTTTCAACTAATTTAGTTTATGTAGGTTGATTTCCAAGATTTTTCATGTTGTTATTTTCCACTGGAAACATTTGAAATTTTGGGAAAATGAACTTCTCACCTTCCTCTTCACATGCAAAAAGTTTCAAATTTCTCTCTTCACTAGTTTTCCAGGATAACTTTGAAATGTGTGAGACTGTATTTTCAACTTATTCAGTTTTTGTAGGTTGATTTCCAAGATTTTTCATATTGCTCTTTTCCACTGAAAAAATTTGAAATTTTGGGAGAATGAGCTTCTTACCTTCTTCTTTACATGCAAAAAGTTTCAAAATTTTCCCTTTACTAGTTTTCCGGGAAAACTTTGAAATGTGTGAGACTGTATTTTCAACTAATTCAATTTTTGTAGGTTACCTACCTATTGATTTCCAAAATTTTTCATGTTGCTGTTTTCCACTGGAAAAATTTGAAATTTTGAGAAAATGAGCTTCTTAGCTTCCTCTTTACATGCAAAAAGTTTTAAATTTTCCCTTTCACTTTTTTTAGGAAAACTTTGAAATAAGTGATACTGTATTTTTAATTAATTCAGTTATTGTAGGTTGATTTCCAAGATTCCTCATGTTGTAATTTTCAACTTGAAAAATTTGAAATTTTGGAAAAATAAGCTTCTCACCTTCCTCTTTACATGCGAAAAGTTTCAAAATTTTCCCTTCACTAGTTTTCCAGGAAAACTTTGAAATGTGTGAGACCGAGTGTGAGACTGTATTTTCAACTAATTCAGTTTATGTAGGTTGATTTCCAAGATTTTTCATGTTGTTATTTTCCACTGGAAAAATTTGAGATTTTGGGAAAATGAACTTCTCACCTTCCTCTTCACATGCAAAAAGTTTCAAATTTCTCTCTTCACTAGTTTTCCAGGAAAACTTTGAAATGTGTGAGACTGTATTTTCAACTAATTCAGTTTTTGTAGGTTGATTTCCAAGATTTTTCATGTTGCCGCTTTCCACTGGAAAAATTTGAAGTGTTGGGAAAATGAGCTTCTCAGCTTCTTCTTTACATGCAAAAAGTTTTAAATTTCCTTCTCACTTTTCTCAGGAAAACTTTGAAATAAGTGAGACTGTATTTTCAATTAATTCAGTTATTTTATTTAGGTTGATTTCCAAGATTTTTCATGTTGCTGTTTTCCACTGAAAAAATTTGAAATTTTGGGAAAATGAGCTTCTTACCTTCTTGTTTACATGCAAAAAGTTTCAAAATTTTCCCTCTACTATTTTTCCAGGAAAACTTTGAAATGCGTGAGACTGTATTTTCAACTAATTCAGTTTTTGTAGGTTGATTTCCAAGATTTTTCATGTAGTTATTTTTCACTAGAAAAATTTGAAACTTTGGGAAAATAAACTTCTAACCTTCCTCTTTACATGCAAACATTTTCAAAATTTTCCCTTCCCTAGTTTTCCGGGAAAACTTTGAAATATGTGAGACTGTATTTCCAATTAACTCAGTTATTGTAGGTTGATTTCCAAGATTCCTCATGTTGTAATTTTCTACTTGAAAAATTTGAAATTTTTGGAAAATAAGCTTCTCACCTTCCTCTTACCATGCAAAAAGTTTCAAAATTTTCCCTTCACTAGTTTTCCAGGAAAACTTTGAAATGTGTGAGACCGAGTGTGCGACTGTATTTTCAACTAATTTAGTTTATGTAGGTTGATTTCCAAGATTTTTCATGTTGTTATTTTCCACTGGAAAAATTTGAGATTTTGGGAAAATGAACTTCTCACCTTCCTCTTCACATGCAAAAAGTTTCAAATTTCTCTCTTCACTAGTTTTCCAGGAAAACTTTGAAATGTGTGAGACTGTATTTTCAACTAATTCAGTTTTTGTAGGTTGATTTCCAAGATTTTTCATGTAGTTATTTTTCACTAGAAAAATTTGAAACTTTGGGAAAATAAACTTCTAACCTTCCTCTTTACATGCAAACATTTTCAAAATTTTCCCTTCCCTAGTTTTCCGGGAAAACTTTGAAATATGTGAGACTGTATTTCCAATTAACTCAGTTATTGTAGGTTGATTTCCAAGATTCCTCATGTTGTAATTTTCTACTTGAAAAATTTGAAATTTTTGGAAAATAAGCTTCTCACCTTCCTCTTACCATGCAAAAAGTTTCAAAATTTTCCCTTCACTAGTTTTCCAGGAAAACTTTGAAATGTGTGAGACCGAGTGTGCGACTGTATTTTCAACTAATTTAGTTTATGTAGGTTGATTTCCAAGATTTTTCATGTTGTTATTTTCCACTGGAAAAATTTGAGATTTTGGGAAAATGAACTTCTCACCTTCCTCTTCACATGCAAAAAGTTTCAAATTTCTCTCTTCACTAGTTTTCCAGGAAAACTTTGAAATGTGTGAGACTGTATTTTCAACTAATTCAGTTTTTGTAGGTTGATTTCCAAGATTTTTCATGTTGCCGCTTTCCACTGGAAAAATTTGAAGTGTTGGGAAAATGAGCTTCTCAGCTTCTTCTTTACATGCAAAAAGTTTTAAATTTCCTTCTCACTTTTCTCAGGAAAACTTTGAAATAAGTGAGACTGTATTTTCAATTAATTCAGTTATTTTAGGTTGATTTCCAAGATTTTTCATGTTGCTGTTTTCCACTGAAAAAATTTGAAATTTTGGGAAAATGAGCTACTTACCTTCTTGTTTACATGCAAAAAGTTTCAAAATTTTCCCTCTACTATTTTTCCAGGAAAACTTTGAAATGTGTGAGACTGTATTTTCAACTAATTCAGTTTTTGTAGGTTGATTTCCAAGATTTTTCATGTAGTTATTTTTCACTAGAAAAATTTGAAACTTTGGGAAAATAAACTTCTAACCTTCCTCTTTACATGCAAACATTTTCAAAATTTTCCCTTCCCTAGTTTTCCGGGAAAACTTTGAAATATGTGAGACTGTATTTCCAATTAACTCAGTTATTGTAGGTTGATTTTCAAGATTCCTCATGTTGTAATTTTCTACTGGAAAAATTTGAAATTCTGAGAAAATGAGCTTCTCACCTTCCTCTTTAGATGTAAAAGGTTTCAAAATTTGTCCTTCACTAGTTTTCCAGGAAAACTTTGAAATGTGTGAGACTGTATTTTCAATTAATTCAGTTATGGTAGATTGATTTTCAAGATTCCTCATGTAATTTTTTACTGGAAAAATTTGAAATTCTGGGAAAATGAGCTTCTCACCTTCCTCTTTACATGCAAGAAGTTTTAAAATTTTCCCTTCACTAGTTTTCCAGGACATCTTTGAAATGTGTGAGACTGTATTTTCAACTAATTCAGTTTTTGTAGGTTGATTTCCAAAATATTTCATGTTGCAATTTTCCACTGAAAAAATTTGAAATTTTGGGAAAATGAGCTTACCTTCTTCTTTACATGCAAAAAGTTTCAAAATTTTCCCCTACTAGTTTTCCAGGAAAACTTTTGAAATGTGTGAGACTCTTTTTCAACTAATTCAGTTTTTGTAGGTTGATTTGCAAGATTTTTCATGTTGCCGTTTTCCATTGGAAAAATTTGAAATTTTGGGAAAATGAGCTGCTCACCTTCTTTTTAAACTTTGTCTTTACATACAAAAAGTTTCAAAATTTTCCCTTTTTTTAAAGGAATTTGTGGGGTATTTGGAGAAGTTTGTGGTGTGGTATTTGGAGAAAATTTGTAATGGGATATCTGGAGGAATTTGGAGGAATTTTTAGGAATTTTGAGGAATTGTTTGCACCAATTCTGGGATGGTGGTTTATTCCTTGCTGTCAGCCTTCAGATACTTCATCTATTAGCCCTGTATCAAATATAGAACTGACGATTTGAGTTGGAACAAACTGGATTCATCACTCATAAGCATATTAACAAGAATTAGATTTTCAGCTACTTAACATTTATGTTTCTTTTTCTCAGATTTAGCCAATCTGGATATGTGAGTATACACATGCGCACACATACTGGCGATCGTCCCTACGTCTGTCGAACATGCGATAGAGCATTTTCAGGCTCCAATACTTTGAATTTGCATCAGAGAACTCACACCGGTGAAAAGCCTTACAACTGTGAAATTTGTGGTAAAAACTTCAGCCGACAGGAAACATTAACTGTTCACATTAGGTAAATTGAATGCAATATGTTGATTATAGAAATTATAGTATAAAAATATAGAGGGTATGCACAAGTTGGAGGTAAATCAAATCAAACGAGCTTTATTGTCAGAAGAAAGGCAAATTTTCACGTATTACAAGGCCATAGTCTTGATATAGGTATCTGCTTACAGTTTTTGACAACATTTTCATGATTGATTACCAATTAAATACCCAAATAGATTGGCGCTGACTGACTTCATGAACAGACTGAGTTTGTCTTAATATTCTTTACCTTCAGCATCTTCGAAAAAGTTATTGAATATGCAAATCCAACAAATCTGTATGTACATGGCAACATTGCTAGAGATCGTATATTCAGGACTTGCCTGTACCTTGATTTTCAAAAATGTCAATTTTTTCCCCATTTCAAATTGCCCCTTCTTTATATAGCTTACAACTAGATAACATGTAATACTTCTATCACTATTTTGTTATTTATTCAGTATTTTCAAAAATAGTCTGATTTACTTACAGTAGGTACCTAAATGAGTTATGCATAGAGATATATCTCTATCATGTTTACTTTTTCCTTATATTTAAGTTATTTCTTATTTAATATTCTTAATTGGACTTGATGCGTGAATTCGTCAGTTGTTCGAGCAAACCTTCTATATAATAATGACTATACCATGCTAATATTGAATTTTGTAGAACTCATACAGGTGATAGGCCTCACGTTTGCAACATTTGTCATAGAGGCTTTACATCTTCAGGACAACTTTCAGGCCACATGAAGACGCACACAGGAGAAAAACCACACGCTTGTAAAGTTTGCGACAGAAAGTAAGTATCTGTTGTTTAAATTTTAGTTATAATAACAAAAAAATTGTTTTAATCCAGATTCTCAGGATCAAGTAGCTTAAAAGTTCATATGAAGTACCACCAACCGATTCAGAAAAAGGAAGAAGTCGTTCAAGCGGTACAATACACCTGTAAACTGTGCAATAAAAATTTCGAGGATGATACTGCATTTAATACACATATTTTGGATGTGCATGACATTCAGGCAGCTACTATTCAAATAAAGGGGGATGATTTGGAAAACTTTACTGAGATTATGTAAGAAACTTATAAACTAGGCTGTTCACACTATCAAGCTTGTACTGTATTTGTTTATCTACGACTATTTATTTAGTAGCTATCGAGGGATAAACCACCTTGAAAAATTTGCACACTAGAATTCCAGTTTTATTGGAATCCTATTGAAATCCCACACAATCCTACGGGAATCTGATGGTATTACTCAAAAAATTCTATGGAATTTCTTGTGGATTTTTTATATTATAAAACTCTGGACAAAAAAGCCTTGTTTTTCAGTTCAGCTGCAACTACATAGGTACAAGCCAAAAACATCGACTTATCAAGCAAACTACTAAGAAATTCCATTGAAATCCTACTGGAATCTACGGAATCCACTGAAATCCCACAGAATTCTACTGAAATTCCACGTAATTCTGCTGGAATCCAATGATATCCTACCGTAATCCAATGGTATCCTACTGGAATTCCTAGAGGATATCCATGGCATTTCTTGTGTATTTTCAGAATTATTTTGAACGCTAGCAAGCAAAGACACTGGAGAAAAAAAGTCTTGTTTTTCAGTCTAGCCACTATACATTAGTGCAAACTAAAAATATCGACTCGTCAAGTAAACTAAGGAATCCCATTGGAATCTCACTGAATTTCCATGAAATCCTACTGTTCCTACACTATTATAAAGTGGTTTACTCGGCGGTATCTATTACATTTTTAATGCTGATCGGTGACTATGCCATTAAGAGCCAAATTATGCACCGACTGGTATGTGTTTGGCAAATTTATCCTGCTGGGTAAAACTAAAAATTGAATTCAAGCAGGATAAATTTGTCAATGACGTTACCAGTCGGTCCATGAATTGGCCCTAAATGGAGCCATTGCCGTGTTACTTAAGAGAAAACAATCCATCAATTTTAACATAATTTAATTGTTTTTAGTATTGCTACTCATGAATAAAATGTGCAGTTTTACTCAAACATAATTCATAATAAGTATCATTTACTTACCCATATGTAGTTACCTGGGGCCTGATTCTAGAAACCAAGGAGCAGATTTTCTATGAGAACAAGTGCCCTGGCCTTCTAAGGTCCATACCAAATCTCATATGAGTGACGAAGACAGAAAATTTGTTCTCATGAAAACACTGTTCCCTTGTTTCGAGAATCAGGTTTGTGAATACATTGGCTATTTTCGGGTTCGAAAAAAGGACGGTTCTAGAACGGTTTAAAACAATCGCACAGTTCATCAATCAACAAAATGACAACGGCTCAGCTATCACAAATTTCAATAAACTGGGCTATTGTTTTGAACCGTGCTTTTTTCGAACCCGAAAATAGCTATAGCTTACTATATCCTATTCACAATCCGTAGTCCAAAGGTAAATTTATCACCTTTCCCTATCAAATAGAACTGAAAGGTGATACATTTTACCTTTACCTTTGGACATCGGATTGTGAATAGATAAGTATTAATACTTTTATAATTAATTTTTTTGTTTATTTGCAGTACCAGTGATAATCAGACGATTCAAGTTCAAACAATAAGTCAAATGGAATAAATACATTTATGTTAATAGTTGTATATTATGTAGTAAAGAAAATATGAAGCTTTTTGGCAATATTCAATAGTTTATGGTAAATACTTAATTATTACTACAGCTTTCTGTAATAAATATTATTTTGGTTTTTTTATATTTGACCCTGATAGTAGATACGTACCAAGAACTCAGTTTTTAATAGTGTTAGGATTTTTTAAAACTGAAATTCTATGTTCAGTTCAGTGTTCTTAGGGGCTACCGAAACCCATAAAATATGTATTTTTTAAAAAATGTAAAATAATTATGCTGTTACACGGCACACTTTTTCTGGGTCTACAGTGAAGATGGAATAACTGAGGAAATTAAATACATCGAGGATCAAAAATAAACTGGTAACATATACATACATAACATACATATAAAAAACATGAGAACAGGGGACAACATAGTTGACAAATAGGGCTGATTCCGCAGAAATCACAAACCAGTCAGAGTGAATGTCATTGGTTGAAACTAGTTTTCTGACTGTTTTCAACCAATCAAATTCACTCTGACTGGTTTGTGATTTCTGCAGAAACAGACCTAATGTGTCCACAAACTCAAGACAATGTCCATTTATTGTTTGGAAGATATAAAAAAAAAACTTTTTTACAATAAAATAAATGTTATGAAAAATCAAAAATAAATAATATACAAACATACTTAGGCCCGGTAAATAAACTTACTGGGAACTGTCTACAAGCTAAATTTATCAATCAGACCATCAGGATTATAAATTACGTTTTTATCCATCAGATAGGGATTAATCTGGGCCTTACTCTATCCAATCTGACGGACAAAAACGCAATCCGATAGGCAAACTCATTTAGTAGACAGTTATTAAAAAGTTTATCTGAAAATGAATAAACCGGGCCTCAAACAAATGCATTTTTTATATACAAACATTTTACTCATAACTTTTTGAAAGATATTTATCTAAGATATCAGGCTTGACAAACCAAAGATTGTACAAAGCAGCATTATTCACTAAAATCTTAGGAATACCTTTCTCGGTTTCACTTGGATAAACTAAATTGTTTTTGAGCCGCAGTTTCTCAAAATCCCAACTTAAATAGTTTTCTTCGTTGATGACAAGTACAGGTTGGTCTGGATTCATTTCCAATTCAAGGTCTTCTAAATTGTTAATTATTTTGCAAGTGCTCTCGTAGGTTTTGTACTTTTTCAAATAGGGATTTGTTTGCGGAGAACGCTCTACTTTTATTTTTTTGGATTTTTTTTTATTTAACACACACTTTCTTACCGTTTTTTGTTTTTTCGCTTCTCGCTTTTTTTCTCTCTCTAGTCTTAGTTTTCTGTCTAATAAATTTTCATCATCCTCTGAAGATGACAATTCAGTTTGATTCTCAGATTCCTTTTTAAAATGCTCCTTCCACTTCTTTATCACGTGCAAATTTTTCTTTTGAATAGGAGTTAAATTGTTTCCCTTAGGTTTCTTTATTGTTTTTTTTCTTGCTTTCCTAATCTTTTTTACTTGGGGAATTTCGACAGATTTTGGCAGTAATCCAAACTGTCTACTCAACACTTCAGTCTCTTTATTCATTTTCCTAATTGTATTTTCATAATATTGTACACAGATTCTACTTCGGTTTTGCTCTGCTCTATAAAATCCCAACCTATCGTTGATTGAAAAACCTTCAAGGTCCCTCTTAATGCCCTTTCTGTATTTCCAAAATTGATATTTAGGATCGCATAGGGGATGGTATGTGGGTGGATCAACAGGTGGTTTTGGAACAGGCTGGGGCCGAGGCGTTACAGTGTTTGATTTGTTAAGTACTACAGCCCCTACTCCAGGTACGGTAAGGGTGATTGGGTGTACAGAAGAAGCAATGAAAGGCAATACCTCATCCGGAATTACCAATATTTCTTTACCAGAACCATTCTGCTTATTCAGTACTATCCTATTTGAATTTTTCAAAAAATTTGCGGTTAGGGTTGATGGAGACACTTGTTTAACTATAAGAGGAGTTGGGGGAGGATTTCGACAAGGAATTGACAAAGTTGATTTAGTTGAAGTAATATTTGGCTTTGGAGACAAATTTTGAGCAACAGTTTGTTTCCCTACTAGTCGATTTGCATTAGGGGTGCTAGATGTTTTAGCTGATGCAGTTTTGGGGCTATTATGAAAATATTCTGTTTCTGATGCTGAAGATGTGTCCTCGTCACTTATATTATTTTCTGCTTCCTCTGATTCTACGGTTTCTTCTCCATTGGATCTGGAAGAGGCTGGTTGAGCTAATGTTTGCTTAGTGTCTTCTTCATCTTCGATAAACACCGCTTCTATATTCGGGTTCCCTTCTTGAATAGACCGAAGTTTGTCCAAAATTGTCTTTCTATCATCTTGAGAAGAAGATATTTCTTTCTGGCTTTTAGATGTACATACAAAGCCGTTATCATCTAATATATATTCTCCGTCGCTGAGTTCTACTTCACCCTCGCTCTCGATATTTTTGGAAGAAACGCTCATTTTGGTAGCTTCATTCTGAAAACATTGCAAAAAAAGTTGTTAAGTACTTCTTGTACGTTCAACTGAAAAGTTAGAAGAGTTTTTTACTTACTGGCTAACTGCTCATTACTCAATTAATTATATGGATATCCAAGATTTTTCACATTGGAACTTTTTTCAACAAAAATATGCGTTTTGTTTGGTTTACTTGCTTATGACCACCTCCATTTTTTTTCACCATTCCTTCAGCCTATACAGGGCATTCAGTGGACGTTTATTGTCGAAAGGAGATAGAAGCTAATTTGAAAACGCCTACGACAACTGACGTTGACAAGAATTTTTATTTTTTTTTTTGCTGTTCTGCTCTAGTTCTACTCTGAACTAATCTGAACTGCGATGATCATTTTGTTGTTTTTCTCATTCTAAACTCACTTCAGGCGTTGATTTTTCATGTTATATACTTAATATCAATAAATTAGATTGCAATGCGTTCGGGCAACCCTAAGGCCCGAAGTTTGTTCCAAAGTCAAGGTTGTTTGAATGAGGTTAACTTTGGTCCCAATAGTTCTTTTCATGTGACTCCGGTTTAAACTAACCGGGTTCCGGGTTACAAAACGGTTAGAGAAATGACATACCGTTTTCTAACCCGGTTGAAAAGTGACATGATGGATAACTACAACTCGAATTTGAGCGGTATGTTGCGGTTTGTTAAACCGGAGCCACGTGAAAAGGGTTAATGCTTGGTTCAAACTCCAAACGCTCTGTATGTGTATAGTTCTGTTCCAAGGATAATTACACACAACTAAGGATTGCTTATCGGCATCGTTTCTGATAATCACGGCCATGTTGGTGTATCACCATTGCCAACGTCATAAACTAAGTCGTCAGCTGTTTGGATCAGCGGTCCTAGTTTAGAAATTCTAAACTAGGACCGCTTTTAGTTTATGATAAAAATATCATTTAATTTTGATTAAGATAATAGACAAAAAGGAAGATGCATATGAGATAAAAAAAGAGTTGTTTTAGAATGTTATGTAATGTTGTAAAATCAAGTATGCATAACCAAAAGCCAGCGGAATTATAGCCTGCAGTGCAAAGACTCTACAACCTTCATTAAAATCAACACGATCTACGTCATCACTGGTTTTTTGGCGTGATGAGGGGCTCCAGGTTTGAACTACTTTACCCAGTACACTGCTCTTATGAGGATATAGAGCAGCACTTTCTACTTAAAAGCGTTCGTTTGTGTTATGGCAATGAACTGACGAGCGTTCGTTTGTGAAATGCAGTTTGTACCAAACTGTTTGGTTCATGTTCAACCTATACTTGCTTTCGAGGAGGAGTAAGATGAGGCAGCTTAGAATTAAATGTCGAAATGCCACATACGACGGTTCCCTGTTTCCTCCATCATTCCTTTGTATAAAAAAGTAAAAAAGGCTGGCAGCCTGCAATGTCACAGTCCTCTCCACTATCCTAGCTCATCACTATTGGCCGTTTTTGTTATAAACCGAATTTACGCGACGAGCTACTTCTATGATTTCATGAACACAAACGCTTTCGCGAGAAACTCACGACGTCATGTTGAACCAAGTTCCCCGGAAGCATGCATGGACCAAACTTCTAACCAGCGTTCAAAGTCTTTAAAGATAAAAGTCAAAATGACATTATGTTGGCCACTTGGCCGAGTTCGTTTTTGTCATCTTTTTCGTCGATTTCCTCCGAAATTTTGACAGGCACGTGATTTTAGCTTGAAACTGTCTTATTGAATCACGTGCCTGTCAAAATTTCGGAGCAAATCGACGAAAAAGATGACAAAAACGAACTCGCGGCTAATGTAAAATTGTCAATGCTTTCAAATTTTTTATACAGAAAAGGCTTGTGTTGCCAACATAGTTACTAAATTTTTGACTTGGGATTATCTTTAAAAAAAAAAACAGATTTTACATTCGTCACGAGAATTCGGTTATTGTCATCTTTGGCTGAGTTCGGCTTTTACACTCTGTAATCCCTGAGCGCGCTCGAAACGATAAGATCCTGTTCGTTTTAGCGCTCAGAGTGTTCTCTTTAACGTTGGGCATATGACCGCGAATGATGTTGCGATATCCATGCTCATACCGTTTCGCTCCGTGGAGTGCATAGCCGAACTCAGCCTTGTCGTCGATTTGCTCTGACATTTTGACAGGCACGTGACTGGATCAGACAGTTTCAATGTACAAACTACGTGCCTATCGAAATTTCGGAGCAAATCGACGAAAAAGATGACAAAAACGAACACGGGTCTTGATAAAACAAATTCGATTTCGACATCGTCATCCATTAAGTTTTCAGTTGAGCTGGTGACGCGACAAACCTGAAATATCTTGCGCTCAGTTCAAGTTGGTGCGATACAAACAAACAAACCTATAAAGCCTAGTACTCATAACTGCGAAATTCGCACTTTTTTGACATTGCTTCGACAAATTGACGTTTTATGCGTGAATCATACGTCAAATTGTCGAAATAATGTCAAAAAAGTGCGAATTTCGCAGTTACGAGTACTAGGCTTAACTGTGGTGCAAACAGCCCAAGGATAATACACACTACTACTGCAGGATAGCCTATCCTCATAAGGCTTGTGTGGAACAAATCTGAAGCACCCCACACGGCAAATCACCAGTTGTGACGTAGACAGCATGTCATTTCTTGCCTTGACATAGGCTGTTTGCACTACAGATTATGATTCCGCGGGCTTTTGCTTTATAAATACTTGGTTTTACTACATTACTTAACATTTTAAAACAATTCTTTTTTAGATCTCGTTTTCATCTTCCTTTTTGCCTATTATGTTAATCGAAATTAAATAATATTTTTCATCATAAATTTGAATTCTAAACCATGACCGCTAGGCAAACAGCTGACGACTCATTGTTCGTCGATTTTTATCTGACACTTTCCGTATTAGGAGCGAAGAGGTGAAGCTTATGGCAAAAACAGGTGTGACGTCAGGTGACTATTGGCATTCTAATGTAGGTAGCCACCAGCTCACATTTTTTTGGAGTATCAGATTAAAATCGACAGACTTTAGTTATGACGTCGGAAATGGTGACACACCAGTAGGCGGCGGTTACTAAAAACGAGGCCAATAAACAATCCTCAAGCCTTAGTACTAATAACCGCAAATTGCAGATTTTTATTTTTCGGATTTTTTTCAATTCATCGATTATTTAGCCTATCCAAAACATGTGAGTTGTGACTTTGACAAGCAAACAAAGGGTTTGCGCCTCTTGGCGGACATTTTAATTTAATAGTGACATTTTAATTTAATAGCTGATTTACCCAAAATAGCGAAAAATAACAAGACCTCTCAGTCGGGTGTCCCACTTTTTATTAGGTAGGTAATCCAAACCACGTGACACTCAAGATGGCGTGGCCGCCACACATGGGCCGAAAAATAAACAAAAATATCTAATTTCTGCCCGATTTAATAGTTTAGGTACCTAGTCAACAAATATTTTATTGAATAATCAAAATCAAAGTTGCAAGCAAAACTCTAAGCAAAATAATTTAAAACACGCATAAAAACATATTCAAAACAAACTTGCTTGGCCGCCACGCCATATTGAATTTTCCTACTTGACAGATGGATTGGACTGTCTATGATCACGACAGGAGTGCGTTTAGAAATGGAGTGTGAAGGTAGACTAGTTGTTTGTCAGAGTGTTCTGACGTCATCACTTGGAGTGTACTCGGGGTGCGCCTTTTCTGAACGTAATTGGGGTGTTGCGCCAAATGTCAACGTCAAACCCGGTAAAAACCGCGGGACGTTTTTCACGTCAACTCTCGATTTCTGAACGATTCCAGCGTAACGCTTCGAGTAAGCACCTGTTAATTTATGAATGGTTTAGAGTGACTCTAGGGTCACTCTGACACCCAGAGTGCTATTTCTAAACGCAACCCTTATATTCGGGGGAGCACCGGCGTCCGGGTGCTCCTAGAACACTCCACACTGTCAGTGACCTGTCATACTCCATGCGCTTTGCACTCGAACGCTTGAAACCGAGCGGGTCAAACCGTAGCCGGAGTACTTGGAGTTACTCGGGAACGCTCAAAGGGTGGCACCAGAAAGCAGCTTAAGCAATCCAATCCATCTGTCAAAACGAAAAATTCAATATGGCGTGGCGGCCAGCAGGTTTCTTTTGACCATAAGGATTTTTTAGCGACTAACCGTTTGTAACCGTGTTATAAACGGTAACTGAAATTAGGCTTTTTCGGAAATGCGTATGAACACCAGCTATTTGTTTTTGGTCTTTTTCTAAAGAACACGATTGAAAAAAGAGATAGTACATCGACATGGTGATCCGGTTAATGAAATTAACGTTTCCGAAAAGGCCTAATTTCAATTACCGTTTACAACACGGTTACAAACGATTAGTCGCTAAAAAATCCTTTATGTGTTTTCATTATATTTTATTTATTTTGCTTCGAGTTTCGCTTGCAGCTTTGATTTTGATTATTCAATAAAATATTTGTTTACTATTAACTTGGGCAGAAACTAGATATTTTTTTTGTGTTTTTTGGTCCATGCGTGGCCGCCTCGCCATGTTGAATGTCACGTGCTTTGGATTGCCCAAAGAAAAAACTCCGCAAAATAAAAATCCGCTATTCGCGGTTATGAGTAACTAGGCTTAGTAGTGTGTATTATCCTTGCAAACTAACTACGTCAAGGCGAGAAACGGAATGACATTGGAGAAACGACATGATGTTTACGTCACAAATGGTGATTTAGCGTGGTGGGGGCTTCATATTTGTTCTACACAGGTCTTATGAGGATAAGCTATCCTGTAGTAGTAGTGTGTATTATCCTTGGTTTGGTTCAATAAAAAAAAGGAGAGACAAACGTAAATCAACATAACTCTAATGTTTCTTTCTTATTTGTTTACTTTTATCTTTTGTTATGATATCTTTGTGATATCTTGATTTCATCTGTTCTGTTGTAATTTTACAATTTTCTGAAAATTCTTCCAAAGTGAAAAAATAACAAAGAACAATATGGTCTATATTCACTTCCCAGCAAATTTCACTGAAGAAGAGCTAATGCTCCAAGCAAAATACGCTAAATTGAAGAAGAAGAAAAAAGCATTGACAGCCCTGAAAGCCCCGAAACCCGAGCCCGAAAAACCTGCTACGCCTAAACGACCAACGGAAGCGAGAGATGCCAGAGAAGTAGCTAAAAAATTGATAAAATCCGGTGCCATACAGGCAATAACCAAACAGCAAAAGCAACCCGAGCACGGCTTCAAGAGGCCAAGAGGTTTGGAAAGGAAACTGATATCTGAAAAAACCGTAAGTGGTTATCAACCGTTTTCCGCTATCCAAATGGAAGATGGTCCGGATAATCCAGAAAACAAACCACCAAGAATTAAAAACCTGTACGACAATTTTGAAAATACTCGTGAAAGAGAAGAGAGGAGTGTAGTTGAAAAACCTAAGGACAAACCTGAAAAACCAAGATCTGGCAACACTATTTATGTATCAGGCTACAAAATTACAGAAGAGTTTTTGAAAAAGCACTTCACAACCATTGGAAATATTATCAATATATCCATGGAAATTGAAAAAAATCGGGGATTTATTACTTTTGACAAAACAGATGCAGCTGATAGGGCTATAGCTGAAATGGATGGAAGCATGGTGTCAGGAATACAGCTACAAGTGTCTTTAGCCCGAAGGCAACCCCAAATTGAACCAATTACTGAGTCTACATCATCCGTAGCATGGACTACCTTAGCCTCAACTAACTCACAAAAAGGGAATCACAAGGATAAGAGAGATTTGGTATCATATGATGATATGTTTGACGAGTAGAATAATCTTAAGTAATTTGTAAGGTAAATAAATTATCGCCCAATCTCAATTTTATGCAATTTTTCTAAAACATACAACAAAATATATCCGCCTAGCCTATAAGAAACAAACTTTCAGTCCATCAGCATGGATTCATAGACAGTAGATTGTGTGTCTCTAATCTGGCATTATTGTCTGAAAAAATAAGCACCTCGTTGGATGGACGTGGACTGGTAGACATTGTCTACATGGACTTCCAAAAAAAAATTTGACCACTACGGTTTCTAATCTAAGCTTGAGTCTATTGGAATGTCTGATTGCTTTGTTAGCCTATTGAGATCATGCCTGTTGGATAGGACTCAATAGGTCAATAGATCGCCAGTGTTCAGCCCAAGTTCAGGTGCACCACAAGGTTCGAACTTAGCACCACTGCTGTTTAATATATTTAATAATGACTTTGAGTCATTACACCAATGCAACTGAGTCTATTTAAAGGCGTTTTCTTGAGTACCTCCATTTTAAAACATATTATGGTTTCTATCCCGACAGAGGTTTTGACCATACTGTGTTACTTTTAGAGTTTGATGAGGTGTCTTTAGCTCAGAGAAGAAAGGTCCAAGCTGTCAAGTTTCTATATAACCCCTTGCACAGTAAAATAGACTGTCTAAATCTTATTGAAAGTATTTATTACAGGGTCCCCAGGTTAATGGGTAGGTATAATGCAGACTGCCAGCACCAACATGTTATACAGAAGTCCTTTATATTTTATCTGCAGTGTAGTTGAAGTGCCCGGCGCCTCCACCATGTGTCACGCTTAGGCGAAGCGTTGTTTGTGGTCAGCGGTGCCACCACTTTAACTAAACTTAGCTGCGTTGGTTAAGGGTTTATCCTGAAAAGAGGTTATGGGGGGAAAGTAGGAATTTCACCACTAGTAGTTAATACATCTATTGTTACCCTTTAACCTATGTGGGAGATGATTAAATAGGGTTTACCAAAAGTAGATAGCAGTGAATGCTCTTCCCTGGAGGGCCATCATATAACATTCCCTTGGAATGCCTGTCTTTAAGGAAAGCCCTACGTTATCAAGAATCGATCATTTGTAGCCAAACAGCTCTATGAAAATGTACCCTCAAGGAGCTTAGTTTCCATAGGTCTACATTAGGGGCGTTGAATTGGGCTTCTATAGCATGTCATTCACCTTAGGATCTCAGTCGAACTGTAGGGATCACCCCATTTGTGCTAATGTTCATTTGCTCGGGATCACCCCATTTGTGCTAATGTTCATTTGCTCTACCCACCCGAAGTCGCCTTCGGGCGGGAACGTCGGACGAGCCGAAGTCCGACCGGAGTATGACCCTCATCGAAACGAATGCCAGTTGTTGTAGCGCAAATGGGTGCAGCGTTGCCGTTCCCTCTCCATCTGGCGGGTATTTAAAATAGAAAATAGAATTCTATTTCGATATTTTTCAAGTATTGAGTGCGTGTGGTGTTTTGTTTACTTTAAAAATGGAAAATTTTAACTTTTAATATTTTATTGGTTAAATATTAATTTATTTTAACCTTCCATCGCGAGTTTTATAACATCATTAGTCACGCTGTATCACAGAGATACATATACTAAATCATTGATAAAAAAATTGAACCATCTGATGAATTTCGGTTTTACAATTTCTATGTATTGATTCGGGTACTCAACAATCAAAGATAGAACATTTTCACTGAGAAAGAGATTCCAGAAGTTGAATTCTATTATCGCTATCTTAATGTTTCGAGCGCGCTCGGACTGCTCGGAGTTTACCGAGTGTAAAGCCACTGTGTGCAGAAGCTAGTTTCTGGATAGGAATTAGCAAATAAGCTATCCAAGTGCTCCTAAATAGTCGAAGAAGAACAATCATTCAGATTTTTTTCATTACCAGGAATCACCTTTTCTACATTTAAAATCGATGAAGAAACAAGCACAACCTGAATCGCAAGCATCCCATCGAGGCTTGCGGGTGACGTCACCACTATAAGAGGCTATGCTGCTAATAGTACTAACGTCACTCGCAGGCCTTGCCGACTCGAGAATTGGCGAACGTACGCCTTATAAGGAAAAGCAATCCTATAGTTTATGATTCTTGCTATGCAAGTGTTTCCAAATAGTCAAAGAAAATTTGATCAGTTAATCATTAAACTAAATAGAGATTTTTTCTCATTATTAGGAAATGGAAATTGTTGGCTTCACGTTTAACTAGTTGGTGGTTAAAAGCTAATTTTTTTCTGGATAGGACTTAGGTGCTCAAGTGCTCCTAAATAGTCAAAGAAAAACATGAATTAGTTATATTATTTGAATTATAGATTTTTTTTGTATTATTATAGGGAACTGAACTACTGGCCTTACGTTTACTTGGGGGTGTAAATATTTGCAGCGAAACTGATAACACTGATAACAGTGGCTATAATGTTGTAATAATTGGAATTAGGTGCTATCTTAGTGCTCCTGAATAGTCGAAGAAAAATTTGAACTATCTAAAACTTCAACTTTTTGGGAGCACTTAAATAGCACCAAATTCCAATACAACATTTTAGTCGCAGTTTTCAGATTCGCTGCAATGCAAATACATCCCCAAGTAAATGTAAAGCCAGCAATTCCTTAATGTTTGTGTACTTCAGTTTAATAATTAACTGATTCAAGTTTTTCTTCAAATATTGAGAAGCACTTAAATAGCACTAATTCCTATCCATAAACATTTTAGCTCTGACACACCACCAACTGAACGTGAAGCCAATAATTTGCCAATAATGAAAAAAAACTGTAATTCAGTTAATAATTAACAGATTCAAGTGTTTCTTTGACAATTTAGGAGCACTTAAATAGTAGGTACCTAAATTCAATCCAAAAACATTTCAGCCTTTAACGGTTTAACGGCCAATTTCATGATAGAGAATTAAAAGTTATTTTAGCTAAATAGACTTTTTGGATGGGATTTTTCTACTTCAAATGGACCTTTATATTTAAAGTTTACTTAAAGTTGATTATGAAATTGGCTGTAAGCCTCTAAAACACCCCCAATAAGTAAACGTGAATCCAGGAATTTCCTAATATTGAAAAAAAATCTGTAATTCAGTTAATAATTAACTGATTCAATTTTTTCTTTGACCAGGTATTTAGGAGAACTTTAAAAAGCATATTATCTAAATTCTGATACCAAAGAAAAATTTAAAAAAATATTTTTCACTACAGGGGACTGCTATATTTCATATTAACCTAGCAATCCCTTCGTTTTTTTCCATATGGGACTGCTAGGTTTATTGACCTAATATTCTGGGAAATCAATAAATAATACAACCCCATATGATTTTAAATCTGGGGAGATACTTTGATAGGTATATGTATTATTGACTTTACATTTATAAATAATTTTACACGTCTGTATAAACTCTACAAGGACTCTACGCTTTAATAAATAAGTATATTATATATTTCTAAAATCTTAACTCTACTGTAGACTGTAGTTAATAAAAATAAAGTCCACAATCATTCACTAAATACAAATACATTTTTTAATTTATTTTTATTATTATCAGCTGATTACACCAGATGTTCCGCGCGCCCGCCGCGTACACAAAACCTTCATAAGCTTCAACTACTCTTGCTACTCCTCCGCGATCATGTTAACTGATCCCGATCATAGCCGATCGCGTTCGTGAGTAGACCATTTGCGGATTAGCACAAATGCACAGTAGCACAAATGGAGCCATCTCCATTTGCTCTACCCACCCGAAGTCGCCTTCGGGCGGGAACGTCGGACGAGCCGAAGTCCGACCGGAGTATGACCCTCATCGAAACGAATGCAGTTGTTGTAGCGCAAATGGGTACAGCGTTGCCGTTCCCTCTCCATCTGGCGGGTATTTAAAATAGAAAATAGAATTCTATTTCGATATTTTTCAAGTATTGAGTGGGTGTGGTGTTTTGTTTACTTTAAAAATGGAAAATTTTAACTTTTAATATTTTATTGGTTAAATATTAATTTATTTTAACCTTCCATCGCGAGTTTTATAACATCATTAGTCACGCTGTATCACAGAGATACATATACTAAATCATTGATAAAAAAATTGAACCATCTGATGAATTTCGGTTTTACAATTTCTATGTATTGATTCGGGTACTCAACAATCAAAGATAGAACATTTTCACTGAGAAAGAGATTCCAGAAGTTGAATTCTATTTTCGCTATCTTAATGTTTCGAGCGCGCTCGGACTGCTCGGAGTTTACCGAGTGTAAAGCCACTGTGTGCAGAAGCTAGTTTCTGGATAGGAATTAGCAAATAAGCTATCCAAGTGCTCCTAAATAGTCGAAGAAGAACAGTCATTCAGATTTTTTTCATTACCAGGAATCACCTTTTCTACATTTAAAATCGATGAAGAAACAAGCACAACCTGAATCGCAAGCATCCCATCGAGACTTGCGGGTGACGTCACCACTATAAGAGGCTATGCTGCTAATAGTACTAACGTCACTCGCAGGCCTTGCCGACTCGAGAATTGGCGAACGTACGCCTTATAAGGAAAAGCAATCCTATAGTTTATGATTCTTGCTATGCAAGTGTTTCCAAATAGTCAAAAAAAATTTGATCAGTTAATCATTAAACTAAATAGAGATTTTTTCTCATTATTAGGAAATGGAAATTGTTGGCTTCACGTTTAACTAGTTGGTGGTTAAAAGCTAAATTTTTTCTGGATAGGACTTAGGTGCTCAAGTGCTCCTAAATAGTCAAAGAAAAACATGAATTAGTTATATTATTTGAATTATAGATTTTTTTTGTATTATTATAGGGAACTGAACTACTGGCCTTACGTTTACTTGGGGGTGTAAATATTTGCAGCGAAATTGATAACACTGATAACAGTGGCTATAATGTTGTAATAATTGGAATTAGGTGCTATCTTAGTGCTCCTGAATAGTCGAAGAAAAACTTGAACTATCTAAAACTTCAACTTTTTGGGAGCACTTAAATAGCACCAAATTCCAATACAACATTTTAGTCGCAGTTTTCAGATTCGCTGCAATGCAAATACATCCCCAAGTAAATATAAAGCCAGCAATTCCTTAATGAAAAAAAAATTTGTACTTCAGTTTAATAATTAACTGATTCAAGTTTTTCTTCAAATATTGAGAAGCACTTAAATAGCACTAATTCCTATCCATAAACATTTTAGCTCTGACACACCACCAACTGAACGTGAAGCCAATAATTTGCCAATAATGAAAAAAAACTGTAATTCAGTTAATAATTAACAGATTCAAGTGTTTCTTTGACAATTTAGGAGCACTTAAATAGTAGGTACCTAAATTCAATCCAAAAACATTTCAGCCTTTAACGGTTTAACGGCCAATTTCATAATAGAGAATTAAAAGTTACTTTAGCTAAATAGACTTTTAGGATGGGATTTTTCTACTTCAAATGGACCTTTATATTTAAAGTTTACTTTAAGTTGATTATGAAATTGGCTGTAAGCCTCTAACACACCCCCAATAAGTAAACGTGAATCCAGGAATTTCCTAATATTGAAAAAAAATCTGTAATTCAGTTAATAATTAACTGATTCAATTTTTTCTTTGACCAGGTATTTAGGAGAACTTTAAAAAGCATATTATCTAAATTCTGATACCAAAGAAAAATTTAAAAAAATATTTTTCACTACAGGGGACTGCTATATTTCATATTAACCTAGCAATCCCTTCGTTTTTTTCCATATGGGACTGCTAGGTTTATTGACCTAATATTCTGGGAAATCAATAAATAATACAACCCCATATGATTTTAAATCTGGGGAGATACTTTGATAGGTATATGTATTATTGACTTTACATTTATAAATAATTTTACACGTCTGTATAAACTCTACAAGGACTCTACGCTTTAATAAATAAGTATATTATATATTTCTAAAATCTTAACTCTACTGTAGACTGTAGTTAATAAAAATAAAGTCCACAATCATTCACTAAATACAAATACATTTTTTAATTTATTTTTATTATTATCAGCTGATTACACCAGATGTTCCGCGCGCCCGCCGCGTACACAAAACCTTCATAAGCTTCAACTACTCTTGCTACTCCTCCGCGATCATGTTAACTGATCCCGATCATAGCCGATCGCGTTCGTGAGTAGACCATTTGCGGATTAGCACAAATGCACAGTAGCACAAATGGAGCCATCTCGAACTGTAGCTACTACCGCCTATGGGTACCGCAATATCGCCCAGTGTGGAGGATCCCTAATGCCATTATAGATATAGGGGTATAGAGTGTTCATTTGCTTCTCTTCCTTCAAGCAGATCTCAGCAGCAGATCGGCGTTCACTTGTCCCATAAGCTCATAAATATCAGCTCCTATTTAGCAGATCTTCCTAATTTTTTGATCAGGTAGAGCAAGTACAAATGAACACCCTCATAAATTCATTTGAAAAATAAATAATTGAGTGACAAGCGTAGGTGACAAGCATTCTCATTTAAAAGTCATGGCATATTTTGAAAATACCGATGTTAATAAGTTTTTTGAACCAACAAATGCCTTAGAATTCTCAAATGAAACTTCTTCCGGGCCTGAAGACCTTAGGCACGTATGGGTAGAAAATTCTATTACTTCCGTCGTAAGAATAATTTCTAGTAAGTATCCAAACACAAACATTTAAATTTTGTATCAACATATTATTATTTTCTAGTCCTCCTTCTCAGAATTGGCTTTATTCTAGTCCAAGTCGGATCCATCCCTGTCGAAAATGCCTTCATGATAATTTTCCGTAACATTCTGGAAATTGCCGTGGTAATTTTTTCCTATGGTTTCATGGGCTTTTACCTTTCCTTTGGGAAAAAATCATTTTATGGCATCATCAATTACGACGGCTACATAGGAGACAAAGATGCAGATTTAAGCTCAGCAGCTCTAGGCTTCTCAGCATGTCTTCTAGCAACAGCCATCACCTCAAGCATGTTTATAGCACGACTTCATCAAGTCCCAATGCTTCTGATAGCATTTTTCACTAGCGCATTTTTTTTGCCTGTATTAATGTGCTGGTGCTGGAGCAACCGTGGCTGGATGACCATGGCTACCATTTTAGAGGAAAGAGTTTCTATAAAAGATTTTGGAGGAAATTTAGTTGTGCATGTACCGTCGGCGATAATAGGTCTGATGGGGGCTCTGTTTCTCGGACGAAGAATCATGAAGCTTAAAGACGTGGACAGATTCTCGTTAGGCCATGAATACACTAGCGGAATAGTGACTGGATATTTTTTTGTAATTATTGGCCATATTGGATTCAATTTACCTACAGCTAGCTATGAATCTAGTCACGGCTTAAAAGATTACATTAGCTTAATATCAATTAATAGCTTGATGGCTATGGGAGCTGGAATTTTGGTAGTATCTCTAGTGATACTAATAATTACTAGAGATACTTACAGATATTGGATAATTGTAAAGTGTCTGCAAGGTGGATTAGCTGGTGTGGTAACAGTGAGCGCCGGAATCGATGTTTATTCACCCTCAATTAATTTCGCAATCGCCTGCGTTGGAGGATTTATTTTTTATTTTTTCTCCAACGTTATCCATTTTTCGGCTTTAGAAGATTGCTGCAATGTTCTAGCGGTTTATCTACTATGCGGCTGCTTAGGAGTTCTCATCCCACCCTTATTGGCTAATGGAGAAAACTTAGGCCTCGCAGTACCAATGAGACTCAGACTCGTCCATTTACTATGGCAATTTATTTGCCTCATTATTATTATTTTAATAATTGCCATCTTTTATTTGGCAATATTTACAGTTTTCCACGTGACGAGGATGTTGAAGAATCACTTCGAAAAACTTAATCATCAAAGGGCGAAGGTTTTGTACGGAAGATTACCCTGGAAGAAATATTTTGATAGGATTTTTAAGATCAGCGACAAAAGTAAGGAACTCTCGCCGGGCAGTAATCGATCGCAATTGAATCAGACATTTACGGTTTTGTAATGTTAAGGGTAAAATAATAAAGAGAAATTAATGGATAATAATTTGTTTTGATTTTATGGAGATTTTATGCTACTTTATTGCTGCTAGCGGTGGTGTGAATTTGGATGATAAAGAGTTGTTAGCTGTAGATCTGTTGGGGGTTTTGAATCTTGAATCTTTTTGCTGAATTGATTCATTTGAGTCGTTCGCCAAAAGTGATTCGTTCATTACGAGTGATTCTTAAATGATTCACTTATGAGCTAACTGAGCTTCGCGAAGAACCAACGAACGGTGAAATACCTGACTCAAAGTGAATTGGTTCAGGTCGTGTCTCGTCTCAAAGAATTAACTCGTCTGATTCAGTGAAGTGATTCGTTCGTTTCGAATGAATCGTGAATTAAGGCCGGGACGCGGTAAATACTATCTGTAGTATTACTACAGTTAGAAATGATGAGCAACGCGGTATTTCGTATTACAAAGCCTACTATTTTATAGAGCAGGTCGGTTCTGCATAATAGTAGAAAGTAATTACGCGGCTGGGACACACGTGTCATATACCTCTCCGATTCGACTCCGGTCCCATATTGCCCCAAGAATCGTATCGGTGCGGGATCGGAAAGGGTTGAGCGAGCACACATTTCTACTCGTTTCCGGCTTTTTTCTGATTTCCGGCTCCGACTTTTTACACAAACAAAATCGCGAAAGGTTCTACGATTCAGTCAATGATGGTGCTTTGTGTAGAAGAAGAAGAAGCTAAAGAAAATCAGAAATCTTTTATGGAGAACAGCGTAAAACGCAGATTTTCGGTACATGCTGCTTGGAAAAGAAGATCTGCAGGAGAGTTTTCCGCAGCTGGAAAACGAATAGATTGCATGATCGGATGCAGGAGCGGAGATGGGCACACGTGCCGGAAAGGTGTGAACTACTTTGTTTGAAATGTATTACCAATTCCCTTCTCAGACACTCGTCTGAATGTATGATCGGAAGGATGCATGATAGGTGTATCCCGGCCTTTAAGACAGCTCCCAAAGAGTCCCCCCGTTGCGATAATTAAGCCGGGAACACACCTTCGACACGGTACATCACGTTACGAGCTGGCACGTGCTGTACTAAAAGTGAGGTCGTCAATTTTACGTGTCTTTTTATGGATCTAGATCACACACGCTACACGGTGCGGTATAGCCAACACGGTACGCTGATGTTACATAACACGCGTGTCTCCGCTTAGTCCGCTTGTCGTTAATTGACCTTTTGTTTAGACGCCATATTGCGGTGCGCGAACATAGTTGCCAAAAGTAGAAAAAAAAATTGCTAGCGTACTGTCAACATTAAAAAGAAAAGTTACAATAAATTACATTTGAAATTTAAATTTGCCGCCTATTGCGAATGTTTGGATGCCTGTTTTTGTCGCACTCATTATGTTAAATGGCGGAAATTGCTTCCAACACGTATTCCAATTGATGAACCCTGTGAAGGTAAATATGACAAAATTTTCCAAAACGTCATATGTCAGCGAGCAACAGAAAAAAACAACATTCTCCTTTGTTGCATCTGTCTTTCATGGCTACATTTTTTTGGCAAATATGGCAATGTATGTGCATTCCAGTTTTTGCTATAGTTCATTGGTTTTTGAAAAGAAAAGCCATCAATTTTATCTTGTATTGGACAGAATAGAAATAATAAGGATAGTGAAGATCAATCATTTATAGCGTTTTCCATTTGTCGAACCAGTGCAAAAAAAATGTATCCTTATCCTTACATGTTATATGCTTTTAGAAAAAGATGCGGATAAACTCAGTGCGCACAGATTGACAAATGGAAATCGCCAAAAAATTAATCCTTATCCTTACATGTTACATGCTTTTAGAAAAAGATGCGGATACACTCAGTGCGCACTGATTGACAAATGGAAATCGCCATTAGTTACTTTTGTTTTTAATGTTGACAGCCCGATAGTAATTTTTGTTTTCTTCTTTTGGCAACTATGTTCGCGCACCGCAATATGGCGTCCAAACAAAAGGTCAATTGACCTTTTGTTTAGACGCCATATTGCGGTGCGCGAACATAGTTGCCAAAAGAAGAAAACAAAAATTACTAGCGAGCTGTCAACATTAAAAACAAAAGTAACTAAATGATTGATCCTCACTATCCTTTTTGTTTGTTTACTTTCTCTCTCTGATTCTATAAACAATAAAGTCTAGGACTCATAACCGCGAAATTCGCTCTTTTTTGACATTGCTTCGACAATTTGACGTTTTATGCATGAATCTGCGGAATGAATTAAACGTCAAATTGTCGAAGCAATGTCAAAAAACAGCGAATTTCGCGGTTATGAGTACTAGGCTTGAGAAAGGAAACCGAAGTTTGGTAAAGTGAATAGGTAGATATTTTATTATTTCTATTCTGCCCAATAACAAGTCAAAATTCATGGCTTTTCTTTTCAAAAACATTGGTAATAGGCGGCAAATTTGAATTTTAAATGTAATTTATTCAGTAACTTTTGCTTTTAATGTTGACAGTACGCTAGTGATTTTTTTTTCCTACTTTTGGCAACTATGTTCGCGCACCGCAATATGGCGTCTAAACAAAAAGTCAATTTGTGGAAATCCACACTTTCCTCACATGTGTGCTGGGTATGCAGGCAGTTTTTTTTCAAAATTGTGTACCTACCTAAGCTGGTCTAGTTAGTGTTAGTAATTTGGAAAACAAAAATGGAGGAACTATTGATTGAAAAAGTACGGGGACATAAGTCATTATTTTTCGCCTACCTAATATCTAAAATCTGTTTTTTTTTAAAGATAATTCCCCAAGTCAAAAATTTAGTAACTATGTTGGCAACACAAGCCTTTTCTACATAAAAATTTTGAAAGCCTTGACAATTTTACATTGTATTGCCAACATAATGTCATTTTGACTTTTATCTTTAAAAAAAAAAACGCACTTTAGACTCATATTACCGTTAATCTCATGTAAAATGTGTTTTTTTTTTAAAGATAAAAGTCAAAGTGACATCATGTTGGCAATACAATGTAAAATTGTCAATGCTTTCAAATTTTTTATGTAGAAAAGGCTTGTGTTGCCAACATAGTTACTAAATTTTTGACTTGGGGAATTATCTTTAAAAAAAAAACAGACTTTACCTATAATGTCCTATGATTTGCTTTATTTTCTAATATTTGTGAACATGCCTTTTCGCCCTTTTCTAGTTCTTCTTCCCAATGGAAAGAATCGGTACTGCTGGCACATTGCAATTTTTAACATTATATACGAATATATTTCTCGATATAAATTAAAATTGGCGGAAAAAACCTAGTCAGTGTCGTTACCAAGATTGGGTTGCCTGATGCCTGATAATTAGGGTAACTTGATAACGTATCTCGCTGGGGTGCCGTCTGGAGATTTGCATTATGATGAGGCACCCCAGATGACGTCATAAAGTTATCGGGCAACCTACCTCTCTCAAACAACTTATTGTGTCGGTACAAGAGCAGCTTTCGGGTGCCACTCTTTGAGCGCCCTCGAGTTACTCCAAAGTACTCCAGCTATAGTTTGACCCGTTCGGTTTCAAGCGTTCGAGTGCAAAATGCATGGAGTATGACCAGGGGGCGGATTACGAACTCTCGATTCGAACCGAAACCGCCATGGATTTCGAACGCACTCCATGTGAATGCATAGGAATGCGTTCGAAATCTATGGCGGTGTCGGTTCGAATCGAGAGTTCGTAATCCGCCCCCAGGTCACTGACAGGTGTGAAGTGTTTTAGGAGCACCCGAAAGCGGCTCTGGGGTGCGATTTTCGAAACCATTCGAGTACATTTCGTACACGAAATTTGACCGACAGCAATGTAAATTAAATTAATTAAATGGGGAGCATTCGAAATCGTATCAAATTTCGTATGCGAAAATATTCGAAAATCAGGTATTTTGTGAGCAAAGAGTGTGTTTCTAAAGCTCAAATTTTTATTACACGTCACGGTACGCACCAGCTCGTAATGTGACGTACCGTGTCGAAGAGTCGAAGGTGTGTTCCCGGCTTTACCGAGTTGACTTTTGTTTCGACGCCATATTGCGGTGCGCGAACATAGTTGCCAAAACAAGAAAACCAAAAATTACTAGCGAGCTGTCAACTAGATATTTTATTATTTCTATTAGCCCAATACAAGCTAAAATTGATGGCTTTTCTTTCCAAAAACATTCGTAATAGGCGGCAAATTTAAATTTTAAATGTAATTTTTTCACTAACTTTGGATTTTAAAGTTGACAGAACGCTAATAATTTTTTTTCTACTGTTGGCAACTATGTTCGCGGACCGCAATATGGCGTCCAAACAAAAGGTCAATTTAGGCTATGGTCCGAATACAACCAAACGTTAACCAAAGTAACCGAATCGGTTGACAGTGGTTACTGAAAATTCCGGTTACTTGGGGAACGCAAATATGAAATAAAAAATAATTGACAGAATTTACAGATAAAACCAACAGAACCGACATCCGATAACTATTTTGACATTTGGTTAACCAGATTTCAGAAAACCAACCAAGGTCCAAAAGTAACCACTTTTGCAGGAACCAAAATAATTTGATTCGGACTTTCGGACCGCGAAACTACAACCCTGGTTATATTCGGACCACGCAGCCTTAAATGAAATATAGTTATAATAGTCTCGTTCAGTGAAGTTTCATTAACCACGTTCTTTTTATATTTTTATAAAGTATTACTTATAGCACACAAAAAAAAAATTCAGCTCAATTGGATAAATAATAAAAAAGTTATGATGCTTTGAATATTAAAACATTTTGCCTCAGAAATTTATCGCCGAGAGATGGTATGACGTCATATCTCGGGTCGTGACTCGTGATAGGCTTAAGGCCGTAACACACGGTTTTGCATCCTCCATGTGCCAAACTAAAACTTGTCAAAACAATGCCCGTAATGTCGTAGCTTAGTGATGGGCGTACCAGGTGCATACCAGCACCACCACGACCAACGTAAGAGATGCAGTGACGTCACCGCGTGTTTCAAAACTTTCAAATTTGGAAAGTTTTGATAATTTATTTAAATATGAACAAGGGCTCGGAAAATTATGAAATTTTGCACAACTGCTAAACTCAATACACTCTTTTAGAATATGTAATAAAAAAAATGCTGTACGAGCCTATTCAAAATGGTTGTCAACAATAATTTGTTGCGTTTTACTAATTCATTTAAATGGGCCACTTTCACGTGGCGAAAATATGGCAAATTATATTTTTTGACGCAGATACATTAATGCAACAATAAACAATATTTTGCAAGATTTTAGTCAAATTATTAAATAAATTAATAAATACAAACTAAAAATCACGTGACGTGATTGAAAACGCTCTCTGATTGGCTAGAGCCGATTTTGACGTTTTTGTTGCCACATGTAGAAATGCGAAATTTAAATAAGTTAATAAGGATTATACCTATCCTTTATTTTTTTATAATGTAGTAAAGGACGAAAATAGTTTCTAGCTAGTGAAATGTGTGATGATTTACTAATGAGAAATTTGGCATCCTCGCATTTTTGTTGATTTTCTAGTTTGTGACGTCACAAACCAAGCTCGCGTTTTCGCGCCATTCAAAAATATGCGTTTTTATTCGGAAAAAAAAGTATACAGATAGTATTAGAATGACTGAAAGAATAATTTAAATATGTTTTTGTAAAATATGAAAGTGGCCCATTGATGACCTCCGCCCCTCCGCCCCTCCGCCTATGGTCGTTCGGCAATATCGGCTCCTTGGCAACTAATCATTTGTCAGCTAAGTTCACACCGCTCATCGTATCTTTACTTGCTTACCTAACTTCACAGAACACGCTATTGGACAGAACTAGTTGCTGCTAGGTTAGGTTTAACTTTCAGGTTTATATTTGTTTACCTTTTCTGCTTGTAGACTACGGGACAGACAAAACAAAACTGCTTACGCGAGCCCCAATTTTCAAAAATGGCAACCCTAAAAAAAGACATACAACTCCCAGAAAACCTAGTCAAAAAAATCCTCTTCAAAAAACACATAGATTTCATCAATGAATATGGCAAAGACGAAAACAATTTCGAATATGGAATGACCGATTATCTTCGAGTCTCTGGTATGTATTGGGGGCTCACAGCTTTGGAACTAATGAAAGCACAGCCCGTGCAAAGTAAAGACCACATTATTGCTTATATTAAACAATGCCAGGACCCACAAAGTGGAGGAATCAGTGCTTGTATTGGTCACGATCCCCACATACTTCATACACTCTCTGCCGTCCAAATATTGGCTATGTACGATAAACTTGATGCAATAGACTGCGAAGGGGTTGTGAAGTATGTACAAAGTCTCCAGCAACCTGACGGAAGCTTTTCGGGCGATAAATGGGGTGAAATCGATACGCGTTTCTCTTTTTGTTCTGTTATGACGTTGACTTTGCTTAAAAAAGAGGATGCTGTTGATTTGGACAAAGCAGTGGAATTTGTTCAGAGTTGTAAAAATTTTGATGGTGGATATGGATCAAGGCCTCTTTCAGAGAGCCATGCAGGATTGGTTTATTGTAGTGTAGGATTTTTTTCACTTACAAAGAGGTTTGTATTAATAATTATTAGGTCTGTTTCTGCAGAAATCACAAACCAGTCAGAGTGAATTTCATTGGTTGAAAACAGTCAGAAAACTAGTTTCAACCAATCAATTTCACTCTGACTGGTTTGTGATTTCTGCAGATACAGACCTATTATCAGTAAGTTTTACTATACATTTAATTCAGATTAGATTTGGTGGATAGAGATACTTTGGCTTGGTGGTTGTGTGAAAGGCAACTACCTTCAGGGGGCTTAAATGGTAGGCCAGAAAAATTACCAGACGTTTGCTATTCGTGGTGGGTATTAGCATCTTTGGCTATATTAGGAAGATTACATTGGATTGATGGAGAAGCGCTGAAAAACTTTATTTTTGCTTGCCAAGACACTGAAACTGGTAACAAGAACTTTTTATTGGTTCATAGCTTATTGAAGTAACTTTTTTTTTAAGGTGGTTTTGCAGATAGGCCTGGAGATGTAGCGGATCCATTTCACACAGTATTTGGAATTGCTGCATTATCGCTTTTGGGTCAGGAGAATGTACAGAAAGTAAATCCAACTTATTGTATGCCCCAACATGTCATCAAGCGAATGGGATTAAATCCTGAAATTTTATCGTAGTAACATTCCAATTAATTCTGTATTTATTGCTTATTCATTAAAATTTTAGGGAGTTTCTCTTCTTTTTATTTACAAATTGGTCTGGCCTTAGCTACTAAAATGTTTTCCGACTTTACTCGATTATTTCCGAATGTATCAACCTAACTTTATAAAATTGCAAAAGCATCCAGCATCTTTCTTTTACTGATTAATTTCTTGTTGGTTGCACGTGAAGGTGCCCCTAGTACCAAAGATCGTACCTCGTTTAAATTAAGATTTAAGTGTTATTTATAGTTCTTTTCAACATGACTACTAAAGTTCCTTTCAAAGTTGGTAAGTATATAACATTAATTTTTGTAAACCGCTTTAAATCCTCTCTGAAAAGTCTTATTTTTGATAACTTTTTTGCAAATATGTAATTAGAAAGTATGTTTATTTATAACTTGTTCTGTGTGGTTTTTTATTAAGAGCCCCACTACTACTTTGTACTGTTTTTAGTATATTTTGTATGGCCCACATAGCTTCAAAGCTCAGGGTCTTTAGAATGCAAGTTTCAATATATCTTGTGAAATATATCAATTGAAATAAAGGAATTAAATAAAAATAAAAAAATTAAAACCAGTTAAGAAGCCCTTTTTTTACAATAATTTCATTTTTTTAGCCGATCTTAAATTAGCTGAATGGGGCCGAAAAGACATTGCACTGTCCGAAAACGAAATGCCCGGTTTGATGGCTCTACGCAAAAAGTACGGACCCTCCAAGATTCTAAAAGGGGCGAGAATTTCAGGTTGCCTCCACATGACTATTCAGACTGCTGTGCTAATCGAGACTTTGATCGAATTAGGAGCCGAGGTAAGAATAAGATAGCCCATATCTATAGGTACCTTACTGACTGAAAAACATTTGATGGAGTTATAAATCAGGTTATTAGTTCTAGGCATGTACAATGAGGGGATTATTTTCTATTGAAACAGAACTTTGCAAGGCAATCTCAATTGCTGTTTGATTTAGGTAAATATTTAGCAAAGGATCGTCACAAAGAAATCATGCTTTTCCTTCAGGGACCTTTTTCTTTGATTTCAAAACATTCTTCAATAATCCAGATACTTTTTTGCCTTAAGGGTTTTGTCCAAGAGTGTTGGCGTTGGTGCTGCTATTGGCTTGATATTTTGGGCTTTCTCTGCAAAAGTGGAAAGAATTTTAATTCTTTAGAAGAAATGTATCCGGTACATTTTTCTACAACAGTTTCTCATTGTGTCTGAAATTTGATAGCACCTAGGTCCAAGGAAATTATGAAGGCATACCTACCTAACAGGGAAAGCATTCTATTCACCAAGCGGTAAACCATCCCTCTCCCAAATTTGTCCAAGCAATTCTTAAAATTACCCCCAAATTCCTCTAAATTTCCCACAAATTTTTCCAAATTCCTCCAAACTGCTTGCAAATTCCCTGCAAATGCCTTTCACAAATTCCATAAAAATCCCCAAAATTGTTGTTGATAAGAAATGTATTTTTCTATTTTTATCAGTGTTAAAATCAATAAATTTTTCCAATTTCTCATACATTTTTCCAATTTTCTATAAATTCCTTCATATTCCTCTAAATTCCCCACAAATTCCTCTAAATTCCCCACAAATTTCTCTAAATTCTTCACAGTTTTGGCAAAGTATTCCTAGGTGGTTTGCTCCTCAAAGGTAAACAATCAGAAGGAACTTTTTATTTTTTCCTGAATTTCAATCTTTTCTTCATCCACTTGCAAAATCAATCCAATACTTCAAAAAAAAAATAGTCCAGGAGGCAGTGAAATTGTTTAGCACTTATTTTCCCAGCTGATGTATATTGATTAGTTTGTTCTCTGGGTGATACAAAACAAGAATATTTGAGTTTCACAAAAATTTTCGGATGGGTTCACAAGATCAATGGAAAATACAAGTATAATTATTTTCCTAGTCATAAATATTTCATATTCACTACAATAGAACATAAAGTATATGAAAATAGCAATTTGGCTTATCTCAGGTAGAAAGTGAGTCTGGCTGAAATTTTTTGGATCTTCAATTTTTCACTTGCCACTTGCCAGACGTATTATCCATACTCACAGATTAGCCGGACTATTTTTTTACGTAACTTCAGTAAACTTCTCATTAGTAGATCTATTTTTATCATTGGAAAAAAAGGGCTGTGCATTCGTAAGCTCTAACGCATTTTGCGCCTCAACCCATCGGAAAACCCCCTTTAAAAATATATGAATTTTGCTTAGAATTACTAACACTACAATTCTATCCATGTTGTCTGTCTGGGAAAATAAGTGCCGAAAATCGTTACTGCCTCCTAGACTAAAACGTCCTTCAATGTCATTTTTTGAAGCTTGATTTTTTCCAAAATGACATTGAAACACATTTTACCTTACATCTTTGTTAATTTAAATCCGATCATAACGTAATTAAGCTTGAGATGAAGCTAATTAAATCCTTTACAAATCTGTATTCGGTATTTTCAATGCAGCTTCAACAGTTTTGCAGCTGCAAAACTTTAAAGCCTTTCGACTTTGATTTTTATCAAGGTGGGCGCCTGAAAGCAAATTTTTATTTCTTTTTCTTAATTTTCAATCCTTTCTTCATCCACTTGCAAAATTTCAAGCCAATCCTTCAAACATTTTCCTGAAAGAAAAAAAAAACGTGCTTTAATGATGTTTTTTGGAAGCTTGATTTCTTTCCAAAATAACATTGAACCACATCATACCTCACATCTTTGTTAATTTCAATCCGATCGTAACGTAACTAAACTTAAAATAAAGCCACTTAAATCCTAAATCCTCCACTTAAATCCTCCAAATGACCACTGGGTATTTTCAATGCAAGTCCAATAGTTTTGTGGCTGCAGAGTTTTAAAGCCTTTCGACTTTGATTTGTATCAAGGTGAGCGCGTAAAAGCAAATTTTTATTTCTTTTTCTTAATTTTCAATCCTTTCTTCATCCACTTGCAAAATTTCAAGCCAATCCTTCAAACACTTTCCTAAAAAAAAAAAACGTGCTTTAATGATGTTTTTTGGAAGCTTGATTTCTTTCCAAAATGACATTGAACCACATCATACCTCACATCTTTGTTAATTTCAATCCGATCGTAACGTAACTAAACTTAAAATAAAGCCACTTAAATCCTAAATCCTCCACTTAAATCCTCCAAATGACCACTGGGTATTTTCAATGCACGTCCAATAGTTTTGTGGCTGCAGAGTTTTAAAGCCTTTCGACTTTGATTTGTATCAAGGTGAGCGCGTAAAAGCAAATTTTTATTTCTTTTTCTTAATTTTCAATCCTTTCTTCATCCACTTGCAAAATTTCAAGCCAATCCTTCAAACACTTTCCTAAAAAAAAAAAACGTGCTTTAATGATGTTTTTTGGAAGCTTGATTTCTTTCCAAAATGACATTGAACCACATCATACCTCACATCTTTGTTAATTTCAATCCGATCGTAACGTAACTAAACTTAAAATAAAGCCACTTAAATCCTAAATCCTCCACTTAAATCCTCCAAATGACCACTGGGTATTTTCAATGCAAGTCCAATAGTTTTGTGGCTGCAGAGTTTTAAAGCCTTTCGACTTTGATTTGTATCAAGGTGAGCGCGTAAAAGCAAATTTTTATTTCTTTTTCTTAATTTTCAATCCTTTCTTCATCCACTTGCAAAATTTCAAGCCAATCCTTCAAACGCTTTCCTCAAAAAAAATAAAACTTCGTTCAATTCTGGTTTTTTGAAGCTTGATTTTTTCCAAAGTGACATTGAACCACATTTCACCTCACATCTTTGTTAATTTTAATCCGATTGTAACATAATCAAAGCCAACTAAATCCTCTAGAAATCCTTAGTGAATAATTTCAATTCAACTTGTGAATAGTTTTTAGCTTTTCAATCTTCAAAGTTTTTTCCAAGGTTTTTATACTTTGATTTTCACCAAGGTAAACAAGGTTTATAGAATATACCACCCTCATTTTATGCCATTTTTCTAGAGGCAAAACACAGATTTCCAACGGAAAAAAATGATTCGTTTCTACTTTTTAGGGCCTATTTTTTCATGATGCACAAGAAGGCACAACTACCCAAAGTTTTTGCTCGGTTTCGAGTTGGTTTTTATCAATTCTTCCATTTCATTTTTGACTGAACGAGAGACGGCTCACTCTCGAAATCGCTATACATTTTCATCCAAAATCACGTGAAATTATTTCGAAATCCTTTGGAAATACCGAAATCCATTCGAAATCGCGAAGAGCGAAATCCTCACGAAACCCCAACTGAAATCTCTCTGAAATCCGGAAATACCAACCAAAATCCTTTTGAAATCCCGAAATCTCAATAGATTCATGGAAATCCTTGAAATCCTTAGTGGTACGGCGTTGAAAGTCGAATATCCGAAATCTTTCGAGGTCCCTTAAAAATTGTCGAAATCCCCTGCGATTTCCGAAATTGATATACAAATTGTGGTGAGTGAGCCGCCCCTCGGATTCGCGCCAATTCTTTTTTTGTTACAATTGTTTTATCATTTAATTTAGGTAGGTATTTGTATGAAAAAATAAAAAGTACATTCTTTTTGACGGACCTTCACCAAACTGTTACCTACCATCATCATCAAGATCAAAAGGAAAAATATTGATGAATCAAAAGCTCATCATAAAATTAAAAATAATCAAAGTTCGAGCAAGTTTGCATCACAAAGTAAATATTGTTTTGTAAAGTCACCATTACAAGACAAAAGTGGAAGGCCAACACTGATAACCCGTTACGTTGATGTATCTGTTTATGTGCTAACAAAATTTGAATTCTATACATACATATTTACGAAATTTCACTAGATCATCTTCAATCTGGTTTAAAGTGGATGTTAGCTTTTGAGATTCAATTTTTTTTTCCATTAGGGAAATATTTTAACAAATTGATATTTTAAATGTTAACTAAGAACTTCAAAAGTCAAAAATCATCATAGGTTCATTTCTCAAAAATGTTTTTACCATTTTGAAATTGGTTGTCAATTCAAGGATAATAAAAGTTAGTCACAATTTTTATTTCTTTAAATTACCAATTTGAAGCATATTTGTCCCTGCTGAAAGATGTCAATGGTACCCCATTCAAAATCTTGAGAAAAAGGATAAAATTTTTATCTTTTTTGATTTTTTTTTTGATATTGTCATACTGTCAACCTAGCATCCCATACCAATTTCACAACCAGTTGGAGGCAGATTCTAGAACCCCCTGTGTTAAAAAAATGGTAGTGACTCGAGTAGTGATATTCCATCGAAAATAAATCAAAACCGCCTTACAAGTCTCTTTTATGAAAAAATAAGTATGTTTCAAATTTGGTAACATTCCATTTTATCTCATTAGTTTTATCATAATTTATAAATAATAACAATATTAGCGTGAGCAGTCCCTAATGAACATAGTTGCAGTAAGAGTTAATTTAAAACAGTAAAAATTGTTTTTGTGAAAATGGCATGCGTCCCTCATTCTTAGGTAGTAATCGAGGGTACCTTCACGCATATGGAAAAATTTGGATACAAAATATTTGCGAAATTCTATCGTTTTTACTGAGATGTACAGGGTGGGCATTTTATTAAGGGCCTATGTCTTTTCTCAGAAACTACAGGGTGTACAAAAAAAATATAAATACAAAAGTTTCTTGGTTTTAAGCAATGTTGTCAATTATTTGAGTTTTATTTATACAGGGTGTCCCAAAAGTGCTGCTCTGACTTCAAAACCAGAATTTTAAATGGGACACCTTGTATATTTTTACACTTTTGGAATTCCGGAGAAAAATAAAGGTAACTTTCATAAGGAAAACCCGGCAATAAAAACATTGATATTTCACGCCTGAAAAAATAGCAGAACACTATAATAGTTTCATCAGTAATTCCTAACATAAAAAAGCCATCAATTCACCAGATTCCAAACAGAATATTCACAGACAAACCTCAATTCTCAGCAGTATATCCACCAAGCATACAAATGTTTAGCAATATGATTGTTGACCATTATGTGAATGTGTCATCCAAAATTGTTTAGAAAATTAACATCTGCATCACGTGTTTAGTAAATCAAATATTTGCTTGCCTAGATTTGTTCTAAAGTAAAGGAGATTTAAGGAGATTTTCAACCTTATACAGGGTGTCCGGAATAACTTGAAGTATTTTTTATTTATTTATTTATTTATTTAATATAATACACAACAGAGGAAGCTCCAAATGGTATAACTTATATACTAGGTCTATAATTATAATAATAAACACATGATAAATTAATTAATTATTTGGGGATTTTGGAAACCATTGAAGATACAGGGTGGACCGAATAATCTGTCATCAACTTCTCTGAACTAGGAATAGCAACAGATATACAGGGCAAAAAAGAAAAAAGTGCGTTTTAACCCTGATCCTTTTTTGTATCTTGTTTATTATGAATGATACAATCAAAAATGTCAAAGAAGTTGATGACATATTATTTGTAGGCTCTTGACTGCGCAACTTTTTCCCATTTGGTCCACTCTGTATCTTCAATGGTTTCCAAAATCCAAATGCACTTCAAATTATTCTGGACACCCTGTATATTATCAGTATTTAAATATGTGAAGTTCTCAACTGAATACTTTATAGGAAATGCTCTAACATGATTCGAAATAGTGTTAACACTTTATTCTCGACTTTATTATTATTACTAGTGCTTTGAGTTTTGAACTAGGAATGCGGACTTTCTGGAATGCTCTATCAGTTTAGTAGAAAACACAAAATTGCCAAATAAGTTCTGATATATCGGCCAGTCATATAATTACTATAGCTATCCATTGCTATACCTACAAGGGCCCAGAGTCCAAATTTAACCAAAGCAAAATAATTTTTAAATTTTTTTTTTTTTCAATAAAATCCCCTTAGGCACATCTTCTGAAATATCTTCAAAATGACAAAAAAAAGTTAATTGTGCCCTTTTATGTTTTGATAAACATTATTATTATTTTCAGGTCCAATGGTCCAGTTCAAACATCTTCAGTACGCAAGACCATGCCGCAGCAGCGTTAGCCAAAAAAGGCATTGCCGTTTACGCCTGGAAAGGCGAAACCGACGAGGAATTCCTCTGGTGCATCGAACAAACCCTAGTTTTCCCAAATGGCAAACCGTTCAACCTTATTTTGGACGATGGTGGTGATCTAACCAACCTGGTCCATCAAAAATATCCCGAATACTTGAAAGGATGCAAAGGACTCAGCGAAGAGACCACCACAGGTGTTCATAATTTGTACAAAATGGTTAAAGAAGGAAAATTAACAGTTCCCGCGATAAATGTCAATGATTCAGTAACTAAGAGCAAATTTGACAATTTATATGGTTGTCGTGAATCATTAATAGATGGCATCAAACGCGCCACTGACGTAATGATCGCTGGTAAAGTAGCTGTGGTAGCAGGTTACGGCGATGTAGGCAAAGGTAGCGCCCAATCACTTAGGGCCTTTGGTGCTAGAGTACTTATTACCGAAATCGATCCAATTTGTGCTCTTCAAGCCGCCATGGAAGGCTATGAAGTCACTACAATGGAAGAGGCTAGCAAAGAAGGACAAATTTTCGTTACAACAACAGGAAATAAAGATATAATTAAAAGTCAACATTTATTAAACATGAAAAATGACTCGATTGTCTGTAATATCGGTCATTTCGATTGTGAAGTTGATGTGGCCTGGCTGGAGAAAAATCACAAATCTAAAGTTAACATTAAACCCCAAGTTGATAGATACGAACTTGAAAATGGCAATCACATTATTGTTTTGGCAGAAGGACGTTTGGTTAACTTGGGCTGTGCCACTGGGCATGCTTCATTTGTAATGTCGAATAGCTTTACCAATCAATGCTTGGCTCAGATTGAGCTCTGGACTAAACCTGGAGAATATTCTGTGGGAGTTCATGTGTTGCCTAAATCTTTGGACGAGGAAGTTGCCAGATTACACTTGGATCATTTGGCCGTTAAACTTACGAAACTTTCACCAGAACAGGCGAAGTATATTGGAGTACCACTCAATGGACCCTACAAGCCTGACCATTATAGATACTAAGTTGGAGTCTCGAAATTCTTGAGATGCAAAAATAATTGTATTTTTTTTTGGGTAATTTTGGAAAATGAAAAATAAAAAACTTAAATTGTCCTAAGTTTATTTTAATTTAATAACAATCAGAAATGGCAAAAAAATTCAAATAAGTATTTGTAACTAGTGCAAGAAAACAAACATTGATGGGTTTGTTCCAACCTTCTCCTAAAGACTATATTTTTCCTCAGTATGTTTGATTGAAACGACCCAAATGGCTTCTTTCGACTGGTAATCGAATGAGGCCCTAATTGTTATTTCACAATTTTAAAAAACTACTAAAAATTATCAACTAATAGTCTTTGGGTTTCCTACCACATGTGCGTCTCTCTTATTTCACTTATTATGTGAGCCGCTCTTTGCAATGCCTAAAAAACATATTTTTTTAAAAAATTTATGGTATGAACAAACAGGACGCAGGACAGACCAGGGATAGTGGAAAGTTCAAGGATTTTCCAAGGTTCAATCTACCAGGTTCTTACCTTCAACATATCACCAGCCTCCTTACGTCTCTGGGCAATATGCTCAGACTCATCTAATAATTGATCTGCATTATCAGCCTTATACAAACAAGTTACCAACTCAGATTGTAGATTATCCTTAACAAAATTAACTAGAAAATGCATTATGGCTTTGGGCACCGTATCCTGTATAGATTTCCTCACAATATAAAAATACGATTTGATAAGACGTTCAATAATTTCACAGTCGTGCTCCTCGTTGGCCGATAAGTTCCTATAACTTCGACCATCCACAGGAACCTGAGGCAATAGGTTGACAGGTTTATCGGGGCTTAATACTGATCTTAAATCGTGCTCCGCTTGACTCTCGAAAACTTTATTGGTGTGATTCAAATCATTTTCCTTTAAGCCGTTTTGTTGGGAAGTTAGATTTGATACCCAGGTTGTAGCGTCGTCGTTTAGCTGAGAGTTACTGTTGGATCTTGACTGCAAAAAATTTGGACTTTTGGTAAATTTTTGATGGATGAAATGAAGAGACGATAAAATTATTGATGATTGGATGTGATTTTACGAAAATTACCTCATCCTTTCTGTCTTGTAATGTGAACATATTGGTAAAGAAGGATCTACTACGCCCGTGTCTAATCTGGAATTGGGAGTTAGTTTGGGTTAAAACAAAACAGTATAAAGGACCAAAGCAAGGTTAGAATTAAATTATATTTTTTTGAAGGAAGATTGGTTTCAAATTGGTGAAAGGAATGCAAATTGTGTCAAAAGTAAATTAGAGGCAAAAAACAAACAGGCGAGCGACTTATTAACGGCATCATTGCATAATTCCATTGATAGTTCCTACAATATTGATATAATTTTTATAGCAATGGAAACATTCAAAAAGTATTGAAATTCAGAAAGAATGCGAGCTGCGGGGACCTTAAAACAAACTGTTTAATCATTGATTAGATAGGTAAAAGGCCTCTGATTCCACAGAAATCACAAACGAGTCGGAGCGTTTTTGATTGGTCCAGATCGCCAACAACCAGCTTCCTGACTATTTTCCACCAATGAAATTCGCTCTGACTGGTTTGTAATTTCTGTGAAAACAGACCTATAGCCTTGTGGTGTAGAGGCCTAAAACAAATAAGTTGCAACTGAACTTTTGTTGGTAGAAAAAACTATTTCTGAAAAAAAAAAAAATTAATAGGTTCCCAGTCATCTCTGGTTCAACTATTAACTTTTTCAAAACCTTAGAAAGGAGGCAAAACATTAATTCTTGCTAAATCCAATTCCAAAGATCAATAACTATGTATTTGTGCCTCAATTTGACCTGGAATTGTTACAGTATTTCCTAGCCTATTAGTGGATGTATCCACCCAACAAAGACATGTCAAGTCGCTCATACCATAGTTAAGAACAAATAGGCTCTAAACTTTACTTTTGATACACTGTTGGACAATAACAAGAATCTCAAAACGCGATTCCTCACAACCCATGAATGATATTGGTTAATAAGTGCATATTTTTATAAAAACCACTCAGAAACAAAAAAAAATACACTTTCTCTACCTGAACAACATTCATGAAGTCATTATAGCTAGACACCGGTAATATTCGAAATAAATAATTAAAAAAATCTGCTGGATCAGTATTGGCCGAAGCTCTGTTAAACCTCTAGAAAAAAAAGACATTGGGGCTTGTTTCAACCCCATTGAGCACTCTGTTCAAGAATATAAGGGTTGAAAAAAACCAAAATAAATTAAAAAAAAAAAAAAAATACTAACCAATTCTGTAGGTTCAGGATAAGCTTGTTGTTGCACCATAGCAGGTTTCCCGTACAAACTTTTTGGTCTATTGGCAGGTCTAGAAGATTGGTCTCCAGATTTGATCATCGTCGGAGGCACAGCGGCCACGTCTTTATAAAAATCAGGATGTTTTGTGTTTATATAAGCTAATTCTATGGCCACCAAATTTTCAACCATCGAATTGGTTGTAGGCAAACGACGTCTTAATACTTGAGTAACTACGTCTACTATAGAATCGTACAGTTTTGGAAAACGGAGCATTTCTTGTTGCACTTCATTACCACAATGCTATAAATATTATATTAAAACATTAAAAACGCCATTACAAAAATATTACCTGAATAATCCTTTGCATTTCTTCATGAATCAACTCTACACACCTAAGTGAAGGCTCTTCTAGTCTTCTAATTTGCCTCTTGACAAGTAACTCAAAAGAAACTTCAGGCACAAATAGCGCAGGGCGTGGTCCATTCGCATTCCTTATTGCTGTAAGAATATCCATTTTAGTCAATCCTGCTAGAGGATGTATATGATCTAAAGTTCTTCCAAAAGTTTCATGGAAAATATAGCAAATCCTTGCACCACCACACAGTTCTGTAGTTTCAATGTTCCTGGAAGTTCCTTCAATAGTTGAACAATAAGCCGAGGCGAATTTTGTTATTATTTGCAATAACGTTTTGCTTTTATCTGAAATATCTTCCCCATAAGAGCTAAGCAAGGATTGAAATTGTGACATCATTAAATTGACTCTAGTTTTAAGATCGGGCAGACAATCTCTAATATGATGCATCAACAATCTGTTCAACGTCTTTGCTAAATACGGAGTACCATTTCTAGCCGCTAAAGTAGGATATTTTGTTTGTAGAAATGAGGCTTCATCTTTCAAAGAATCCTTTATAGTTTTATTGTTCATTATATCCTGTTGAGATCTATTAACTACACCAATAATGCCAAGTTTAACGGGTATAACACGGCCGCATAAAATATCAATTGCATCAGTGCCAGCGTCCATCAAGTCAAGTTTAGTTACTACAGCCAATGTTCTTCTACCATCCGGGTCCACATCTTTGGCAATGGACAAACTTTCTGATGTTGCCATGTCAGTGTTGGCTGTAACCACAGCCAATATAATTGAGTTGGGATTGGCGATGTATTTTATAACTAATTCGCGGATTTGACGTTCAATATCTGGAGGTTGGTCTCCAACAGGAACCTAATTAATTAATTTATTGTATTGATTTTTTTAAAATTAATAATAATGATTGCTTACCTTTGTGATACCAGGTAAGTCTACTAAAGTAAGATTAACCACTTTGGTTGAGAATATTTTAAGATTAATAGGTTCTGGACAGATTCCTTTATTGCTACCAGCAATTCGATTGGTTTCTTCTTCAATTTCCATACGGATTTTTTCAAAGTCTCTGAATATTTTGTCTTTAGTGTGCAGAAAAGTGCCCCAGTCATCAACTTCGACTGTTCCTGGAAAAAAATTAAGAATAGAATAGAATTTTATCTAGGGACATTTTACAGTACAATAATTCTAGTCTAACAATTTAATTATGTGTAGAGCAAATCAATCATATTGTAATAAAAATCTGTAGAGTAGGTAATTTATATTTGAAAAAATATATCCACATGTGGTGATGTTTACACACAAGAAAAACCAATAATAAAACAATCACCAGACAGATTTAATTTGACTTTCCAATCCAATATTGAAAATATATACGTATATCTACATTCGATTTGTTTAACACAGCATTTGCCAGTCTTAAAAAGATTAGTTCTTTTGGAAAAATGGGAATTTTATTCCTATTTAAAGAAGTTGTTAATTTATGGAGTCTATTGGTCATCATCAAATGGCTGATTTAATTCCTCCGAGTCATCATTTACAAGAACACTGCCCCAATCAATCATTAATAATATCGGCTCAAGTTCTCTATGATTGCAAAATTTGAAATCATAATACTAATAAGCAAATGATATGATAACCTCTCTATGGCAATTATTCTCTACCTCAAATTCTATCACTGGATGTGGTTTGTGTGGACGTATAGTATATTAATAATAAGGTTGGTGATTAACACATTTTTTAATAATAATCTCTGCATTTTATTTATTTTGATACTAATTTGGTTTTTGATTGTGATGTTATATATTTTTAAACATTTAACTTATGAAAGGAGAAATATTCACAACTTATAGTCCTTGTAATGACAGGCATAGTCACATGTAGACTCTATTCACATAAAGCCCAAATGTTGGACTTGAGCTTCCGCTAACCAAAAGGCCTGAGAACAACATATAGAAGAGCTAATACTAATAAGGCTACGAAAACTTGACACCAGTAGTGTTTATCACAAAATAAGATGCCACCAGGGTATTGAAGCTCACAGACCAGAAAAAAGGAAGTAAAATTCAACTAAAAAGCAACTTTCTAGCATAAAAAGTTACAGGAATTAAAAAATAGATAGACCAAGAAGAAAAGAAAAGATACCTGCAAACCACATACAGGGTGACAATTTGAAAAGTAGCAATCGGGAATATTTCTTAGACAAAAAATAATATCAGGAAGATCTCAAATATGTATCGGGGAATTGAAGGGGAACCATAATGAAGCACTTTTTGAGTCACCCCGCCTCCCCCCTTAGGGAGTAGCTACCATACCGTATTTTTTAAAAATAAGAACCTACCTTGTGTTGTACATTGTTGGATAGGTGGTTGCTTTCCCTTTACAGTCTTATAGAAAAATCCTAAATTGTACCTACGATTAGTTTTCGAGATATTGGTGTTTAAAAGTAAGCACATTTTGAAAACTAGTAATTTTGACTAGCATTAAATAGTAGTAGTATAATAGTAATAGTACCTACTCTATTGAACTCTCTGTCGTTTAAGGTTTCCGAGAAAATCGAGTTTGAAGTTTTGGATAAAATGTCGACCAAATTTCAACTTTGAAGCTCAATATCCCAGAAACTTCACAAGTTACAAAAACCAATTTTGCAGGGCTTATAGAAAATTTAATACTCTTTTTAATGATGCATAATTGTAGGCAATTTTCTCAAATATCATTGAAAATATGAGCAATTATTCATGTCAAGATTCCAAAAAATGTTAGCCAAAAATTAGATTTCCTTTTTGGATTTTTTTTCTCATCGAAATTTTTGAATGTTACTGATGTTAGAGTTGTTTCTGACTAATTTGGTCTCGCTTTATCGCTCTATTTAAAAAGTCAGAATTGAGAAAAATCCAAAAATAAAAATTTTCAGTTTTTTGGTACTTTTTCCTAAGGGTGTACCCCATTTGAATTTTAATTTGCAAATCTTCAAACCTGAATATCTCAGTAACCAAAAGCGTTACCGGAACAAAGTTACCTCTAATTGTAGTGTAGCTCTCAATAGTGCTTCAAAATGGTACTTTACCGAAATCTCTATTGTTTACGGTTTTTGAGAGTTTCGCCTTTCAATTCCCAAATTTTTGTCTATTCCCGGTTCTTCAAGAGCCTCTTAATACATATAAGAGCTGGTTTATTCGCTTTCTAATGCCAGGTAATGCAATCTGGCAAATAAAAACGCAATTTGTATCTCATTGGTCAACCAATTATCTAGTGAACAACAGGATTATAGATCTGTAAATTTATCTTGCAAATAGTTACCAGCAAGTTTACCTCAAGATTAATAAATTGGGCCTAAGATAGAGAACATTGGATGTTACCGAATATAATTTTAATACAAAAACAGATTTGCGAAAAAGTCGTCTGAACGATGTTTTCCAGCAGGTCTTCTTTCTTATTCCAACAAACATCTCAAGCAGCAAAGATTAGTCGTTATGACGTCTATTTTAAATACCTAGATTTACGTTGATTAACCAAAATTTGATGTCCGAGAGAGGCTGCAAAATATTACTTGTTTGTGACGTCACGTAGTGGACGTTTATTTGACTATTACATGAACCAACAGAACAGGTTCAAAAGTTATTATGTAAAACCCAATATGACCCATTCAGAAAAAATACCCTGTATTAAGACGTCTATGAAGCGTCCATTTGACATCGTTGAATTGGACATATATTTGGTCAGCGTGGATGGATTGAAAAGTTACATATCTACATAGAAATACCAGTACATATTATCTGATGCATAATAAGTATACAGTAGGTACCGAGGTGGGTACCTACATAAAAAAATGATAATTGTTTTGCACTAAGTAGTTTTGGCAATTTTTGCCACTCGAATAATGATCATTCTCAAAAGGTTTTTCATCACATTTTCGAAACAATCTGAAATTGGTATTTTGTGCATTTCAGCGAATAAAGATGGAAGGATTTGTTTATCTCAATATTATTATACCTAATTGATGAATCATCACTGAAGTAAGAAAAAAAGGGACCAGGGTAATGTAAACAAGATATTGTACCTTTCTTTTCTTATCTATTTTCATATTGGTCATTCAGCAGTAGACTATTGTGGAGGAGTAAGCTATTAAAAAAATAATAATTACCCAAGCTATGATCCTAATTGCCCTTCAAATGAGAATTTTGGTAAGCTACTTCTAGTTGAGCATGTTTGGTACTAGACTTTTTTTTTTGAAAATCGTTTATTTTTTAAATCATTCATTACAATAACAATAATACAATTTCTGTAAACTTAAAGCATTTGGCTGTAGATGTTTTCAATAACTTCCACTTAACAATTGATGTTGCTTTTCACTAATATCCAGGGCATCAAATCATGGTTTATTTCTTTTTGGTAATTGGTGTCCCCCCGGGAAGCCGTCCACCATAATAGGTTAGGATCTCATTTGTTACACAATTATACTATTAAAGGTAAGTGTAGAAGTGGGGCACTACCGAATACTGGCGAGAAATGGTTGAATTATGATTTGCTGTTGGGTGTCAGTTGCACAACGTAATTTCAAGTGAATTCAGCCTAATGAAACTTTAATAAAATGGCTGAAGGCTCTTCAACTTTGCCAAGCAAAATTGTTTTTGTGCTTTCCAGATGAAGAGTCAAGTGATCATGTTCTATATTGTAGCTGAAATGAAATGGTCGCGCCTCTAATAAGGAATAGAAAACCTTTCAAAGGAGGTATAGTCCGACAAATACCATTTAAAAGTCAGGTGATACTGGTGGCAAAAAACGTATGTCCATTGATTATGCCGTTGATATCACCTACAAAAAGCTACTGGTGGGTAATTACTATTGAATTTTAATATATGTTCCCACTAGCATTTTACAAACGCGTTTCTGAAGTAGTATTGACCAATCAGATGAGAATTTTAATACTTGCAATTGTTGCGAGACTCACTTTTGTCGCTTCTGCTGCCCCTTGTAATACATTCTGAACTTGAATTGGGTACCCGTTTTCTATTTGCTTCTTTTCCAGTTGGAAAAAGGTTAATATAGTCAAAATTATTAGCTGTGTTTGCTCGTTGTATTATTTTCGAAAATAACGTTGACAAACTAATTGATGACAGTGACGGATTCTATTTCAGGTAAGAATATTATGAACAATAATTAGACAGCAATTTTTTTGTCAATTTTACTATCACCGCTGTTTGTGATGTATTCAACAAGGATAGAGAAAAATCACGTGACTTTAAAATGGTATTTGTTGGACTATATCACACGGGGTAGTTTCTCATTTTAGAAAAATCATTAGGGGGGCAAGCCTCCAAGACAGGAGGGGTAGAATTTGTCAATCACACCAAGTAGGAAAATAGGTACCTATGTCAAATATTCTTGAAAAAAACACGTTTAATTTATTCCTTAAAATAATACAGTAAAAATTAATGAACTAAAGGCAAAAATTGACAATTTAGCTACCTAAAGGCCCACTCAGAACTTCAATAACATAGGACTTACGGAGTAAAACTTAAGAAATATGTAAATACCAGGTGTTTTTTTTATTTTTGATATCATTTTGATCACCTGTGTACATAAACAATGATATCAAAAATAAAATACAAAACAGTCTACATATTTTGAAAGCATATTTTCTATTTATTTAAGCCCAAAGCAATGCAAACATTTAAATAATACCCAAATTATATTTGGTTACAAATATGTATTTCAATCAACTGAACTGAATAGTACGGGATACGAGGCCTATTTCATCAAATCATTTTACACCGTCTTGCATTGTTATCATCAGTTAGATAAAATGGTACTGAAACGCACTTGTGCAGGGAAATAGATGGGAGTGGGGGATTTCGCTGAAAAAAATGTTTCAGAAAATGTCGTCATAAATTAGGAAAATATATAATTATACACCGTCTTGCATTTATTTATTGAGTCAGTTTGTACACAAACAAAATTGAATTACCACATGCAAGACGTTTTTATGGGGGTTTTAGGGTTGCAATAGAAGATGGAAATTGTCAATTTGTGAGAGGGGTGGAAAATCATTTTACACCACTCCATTGTTGATTTAGATTAAAGCTTGAATGTAGAATAGCTACTGGATACTGATACAAGACGTCCTGTGGAGGGATAACGGGCTGCAAGACGGATGTCAATGCGTTGTCTCATGAGGGAGTGAAAATTTATTTTACACCATTTCATGCTTATGTCCGCCGGAAGAATATATGTTAAAAAATGGTAATACATCAGTCCAAGACGTTTTTTCGGGGAAAAAAGTTAATAAATCCGTTTTCTTTTTTTACTGAACTTTTGAGTTATTTACTGAACCGTTCACTGTTCATTCTTTTCTAAATCATACAGATGGAAAAGGACAGTTGACATAGCAGCTCAACAGGGGAGTCTGCTGAATACAGGAATTATAATTTCTGTTTACAATTCCAGGCAGATCATTTTTTTGCTGCTTTAAAATCAAATTTCTCAAATTTACCTAATACCTACTTACAATCCGTTAGGTGTTATGACATATCCACCTCAAAAAAAAAATAAAATGATTATAAGCTGTCAGAAAAAGAACAATTTTCAACCTTTTTTTTTTGATGTCCGTAGAGTCATTCAAATATACATATTAAGAGAATTTTGCAAAATAGAATTATTCTACGTGGTAAAAGCAAAAATATCTAAAATTATTGTGCGTAATTTGTAATTTGGAGTAGTATTCACATTTGTACCTGATGGATTTACCCCCGTCAAAATTAGTCAACTTCATCACCGTCTTGCAGTCCTTTCTTTCCATTTAGAACGTCTTGTATTTTTTAAAATGTTATCAATGTGTTCTGTTTTTCCCATTAGTATCAGTGCAAGACGGTGTAAAATGATTTCTCACTCCTTCATAAGACAACACATTGACCTCCGTCTTGCAGTCCGTTATCCCTCCACAGGACGTCTTGCATCAGTATCCAGTGGCTATTCTACATTCAAGCTTTAATCTAAATCAATAATGAAGTGGTGTGAAATGATATTTCACCCCTCTGAAAAATTGACAATTTCTATCCAATATAACAACCCCAAAACCTCCATGAAAACGTCTTGCATGTGTTGATCCAATTTTGTTTGTGTACAAATTAACTCAATAAATAAATGCAAGACGGTGTATAATTATATATTTTCCCTGTTTATGACGACATTTTCTGGAAATTTTTTTTCAGCGAAATCCCCCACTCCCATGTATTTCCCCGTACAGGTGCGTTTCAGCATCATGTTATCTAACTGATGATAACAATGCAAGACGGTGTAAAATGATTTGATGAAATAGGCCTCGTATCCCGTACTAGAAAGGGAATTGAACTATACAGAAATAATAAAACAAAAACAATCAAAATACTGATGCCTGAAGTCAGTTTCTTGGTCCGCTGCTTACGAAACCTTGCAATCCTTAACGAAAACTTAAGCCCTAATGTAAGAAATAAATTTGGATCATTTCACGGCCGGATGTAGCACTATCAATTATCGTCCCTATTGATTTACATGGTGTTTTTTTTTTTTTTTTAAAGTGTTTTGGTTTAGTCTTAAGTCTCAGAGAAGCTCTGAATCCAGCTTAAAGATTGAATCTTAAAAATCCTCCAATGTGTAGTAGAGATTTACAACTAATGGGTTTTCAAGTTTTTCAAAAAAATCTTGGTAAATTTAACCTTACTCAGTTGTAGTGATAGATGATTGTAAGATAGATTTTTCAACTATGGTACTTTTTGATACTGGCAGTGGTACTCTGTGATATGATCTTTGGTTATTTCAGGAGAATGTACCTATATCTTTCACATATCATAGTAGCTGTTTCTAATATTAGTGAAAATGTCAGCTTTAACAGTCGTAGCTCTACAAATAATGGTTTGTTCAGATATGTCTGACTAGGATTTGGCAGATTAGGGCTCTATTCAGATGGCAGGTACTGCAGGTAGAACAAACTCTTACATCCCATGAAAAATTTACTAAATGTTCCAAAGAACATAAAGGAATAAAATAACATAATTACTGGATGAAATACAACAGCACACCTACCTACATTTTTATATATAACTATAACTATAACTATGTGCAATTTTAGTATTTGGAATTTTCCTCGGAATTTTCATTAACTGTTTTTTTGAACCAGTCAATAAAACAAGTTCCCAACGGGAACAACGCATACAGGAATGCATATCTTGATTCAATTTAATATGCCACAAGCACATCAATACATTACTTACCATCTTTGGCATTTCTATGGTCCTTATCCTCTTTTGGGCAATAGACTAACTGTAAAATCAGTGGTCGTCTTGTAACAATTCCTGTGCCCCTTGGCAGGAAACTTTTCCCTACTAGACTTTCTATTACTGAACTTTTTCCTGAACTCTAAAATAGATAGAAAGAATATATCAATATATCAATATAAACGGATCTGTGATCAGATACATAAGATAGAGAAACAAAGAACAATGGACATGGTAAAACTAGGGGTCAAAACAATGAATCTATAACTTTATGCACTCTAGCTGATTTTCATAAGCCAATTCAAGTTATCTTTTACACACAGAAGATACATAAACCACTAGGGGAGGTCCTAAACCCTAATTTTAAAAAGGTTATTATGTCACCAATTGAAAAAACATAAAATTATCACATTTACCTGGGATCCCAGTACAACGATTTGCGGTAAATGGATAGCATCAGATCCAACGGTATTAAATACGTCTTGGAGTTTATTGATAACCGGAATAAGGGCCTCCATTGTTTAAAAATAGCCTCACACAAATTGATGGAAAATTATTGATTTGGTATTTTCTCTATGGGTTGTTTGAAAACTGCAGCTATTTGGTGTTTGGCATTATTCGATAATACACTTTCACTTTAGGTGGTTTTTATTAAAAATTGATTTAAGTGAGTTATAGAATAATAAAAAGATAGTTTCAGATTTTATTGGCTCTTTTTGTGGTCGTTCTCAAAAAAAGAGAACTGACTGAGTGGGACACTGACAGACTGCTGTGATCTGTCTTCTTGTGACATCATTTGACGTTTATTTGACAAATATCTTTAGAAGTGAAGTTGGTGCATACCAGTTTCCATCTCTTTTTATCTCATTATTAATGATAATAATAAAGGACGCATATATAACAACTTCATACGGAAAGACCATAACCCTACTTATTTGTGAACTGATAATGTGTTGTAAACAAACATAAACTACTTTTTTCAGAAATAAAAGAAATCATGATTTCCAGACGAATACCGAGACTAATTTGCACAAATAAAAGATACTACTCATTAAAAAAGGTTGGCAATCTATAATTACACACAATAAATCAATGACAATGTTTTTTTTTAGTTAACATGTGAAGAACCATATCCTCCAAGAGTATTTTCAGGCATACAACCTACTGGTTCAATACATTTAGGGAATTATTTAGGAGCTATTTCGCAATGGATTAAATTACAAGATCAAAACGAAGATCTTATACTGAGCATTGTCGATTTACACTCAATAACTTTGCCCCATGTAAGAAATCATATTTTAAAAGCCAATATAATAATACTGGTTCATTTAAGGATCCAAAAAAATTATCTAGAAACATATTAGAGCTAACGGCAACATTATTAGGCTGTGGTTTGGATCCAAGTAAAGTAATTTTGTTTCAACAATCAATGGTATCTGCTCACACGGAACTATGCTGGTGTTTGGGATGTATATCTACAATGGCACGATTAGCTCATTTGCCGCAATACAAGGAAAAATCTGCAAATTTGAAAAATATACCGTTGGGGCTATTTGTTTATCCTGTTCTTCAAGCTGCTGATATTTTGTTGTATAAGTGAGGACCTTTTATTTCACCAAATTCAGTCAAATAGTTTTGTTTTGCAATAGACAAAGTGTGTTTTCTTGACTGCAAAGAATCTAAGAATATTAGTTTCCATAGAACATTACAAAAAAATATAAAAAACTGAAACTTTACAATAAAAGAGTGACTAGGCTAAGAGCAAGAATGTTCAAAATACGTAAAACGTCACATCGTTAAAGAACTATGTAGTTCAAACTGTAATACACTTTACCTGTCAGGAATTCCTTTACCTCTATACGTAACCCCCTTTCAGTGCTGAGTCTTCTAATTTTTAAAGGAAGTTTATTAGGTAAATATTTTTTTCCGTTCTGAAGCTCTCAGAGTATTGCCACAGAAACGCCTTATAAGTCAAAACGGTTGAAGATATCAAAATGGGGTTTGCACCAATAAATATTTCATGAAATTTGAACCCCAGAGTTGAGTGTTAATTTTATTGAAACTCACTCAGAAATTTACTTTTCCCATTAAAACTGTCCAAATTGGTCCACCCTGTACAAGACAAGCACTAGCAGTTGAGAAAACATTCTGATTCAATCAATAATTGAAAATTTCATATTCTAAAAACAAGTCTCTACATTTTATTTTAGGGCAACCCATGTTCCTGTGGGTGAAGATCAGTTACAGCATATACAATTATGTCAAGAGTTAGCTAAGATTTTTAATAATAGATTTGGACAGACTTTTCCTATGCCACATACGCTTAAGATATGTATGTAGACTAAATCTTGAAAAAAAAAAACAATATTTTAAACGATTTTTTTAGCAAACGAATATAGTAGAATAAAAAGCTTAAGAGATCCCTTAAAAAAGATGTCTAAATCAGATCCTGATGAGAAAAGTAGAATTTGTCTTACAGATACTCCCGATACAATTGTTAGGAATATTAAAAAAGCTGTGACAGATTTTACTTCAGAGGTAATTATAGCTATTTATTGTCTTTTTGGCTGTTAAAATATTATGTGTAGGTTACTTTTGATCCAGAAAACCGCCCAGGAGTATCAAATTTAATCAGTATTCATTCATTTGCTACAGGCAAAACTGTTGAACAAATTTGCAAAGAAGCCGAACATCTAGACACAGGAAGGTGAGTTTCATTTACACAAAATATTGTCTTCAATAACTCATTTGTTTGTTTTTAAGATACAAGTTTGTTGCTGCTGACGCTATAGTAGCCTATATTAAGCCAATTCAAGAATCCATTGCCCAATATTTGGACGATAAGGGTTATTTGTTGAGTGTTTTAGCGGAAGGTGGCGAAAAAGCTTCAGAAATAGCCGAAGTTACCCTGAAAGAAGTTCATAATAAATTAGGACTAAGGGTTAAATATAGAGATAGCAAGACGCATGCTAAGAGTGTATAAGAAAATTTAAAATAATACATTAAATTTGTTTGTTGATTTTTTTGTTAGAATAATTGGAAATATCCTTGGAAGTATCAATTTACGGGAGAAGGTAATAGTTCATCAAAAACGTTACAATGTGCTCATAAAATGACCATTTATTGTGTCAATATACAAACCTAGAAACTTCAAGGGTGTAAGTTTCATATAAGCTGCATTTAAAAAGGCTAGAAATCATGTCAATGCTGCTAGACATTAACAAACTTTCACTTGTCGGTCCCTAAAGCACTTGGCACAAAGTATTATAAGTAATTTCGATCGTGTGGAGCATTTTTAATATTTTAATACCCGGAGACAACCAACTTTTGTCTGTACAGTTCTAATCATAGTATGGATTAGGTTTACGGAAACCTGACTGAAGTAATGAAATAGTCAGCAAGCACTCCTATAAACATTGATTACCAAAGGTTGAGTTAAATTTTTATTTGAACAAAAATTAACCAGCAATAAAAATTATAAAAACAACTTAATTCCTATACTCAGTTAATTAGCACTTCAAGTTTCCTTGTTGTATTTGGCTAAATCTGCTACTGTCAATCGCACCAATTTACCATCTTCTAGTATAGCAGGCATCAGAAGTAACTGAGGTTCTTTAGAATGCTCCGGTAAGCTAGGGGAAGATTCTTCAGATTCCTGTGAACTTGAATATTCTTGACTTGACTCATCTTCATTTGAACCTTCCTCACTGGACTCATGTGGATGTTCTATATGGGATTCCTTTGGATGTTCTTCATTATTGGGGTTATTTGGATGTTCTATATGGGATTCCTTTGGATGTTCTTCATTGGATTTATTTAGATGTTCTTCATTGGATTTATTTGGATGTTCTTCATTGGATTCATTTGTATCTTCTTCACTGGACTCACTTGACTCTTTTTCAGTGGACTCACTTGACTCTTTTTTACTGGACTCACTTGACTCTTCTTCACTAGATGATTTGCTATTTGAATCACTTGATTCTTCACTTGAGCTAGAAGAATCTTGGTCAGAATTTTCAGTTGTGATTCCAACTTGACTTAAGTCAGATGAATGTTCGTCCGATTGTGAAGACTGCTCCGAATTCTTGTGGCTTTCTTCTGGTGATGATTCTGAATTGTCTTCACTAGCATCAGAACTATTTTTTTCCGTTGTAGTCACATGAGAGCCTTCATTGCTTTCCTCGGAATCAGAATCAATACTTCTCTGAGACTTGCAATGTTTACACTTGTCTACATTTTTCAAACAAATTGGTTGCTTTTGGTTGTTCACAAGCTGAGTGAGCACTTCGAGCATATGCCCTAATAAACAGGACTGCTCTGAAGGTGATACAGTGAGCCCTTTACACTTGGCTTTTTTATCAGCTGGAGCTGATAGAACGAGACTAACTGCAACTGTTAGAACTAAAAACCAAGTAGTCTTATTTGGCAACATTTTTTAGGTAGCTAAGTACTAATTTCAAATAGTTTCTTGATGCAGCTTTTATATATTAATTATTTTAAACTGTTTACAATTGAAATGCGGTAGTTTTGGGTTAGATGGAAGGTCAGGGTACTAATGAAAACATGTTGTTGGTATATTGACCCCATAACAATTATTTTCCTATAATTTGTTTATGGTGTGGTATCCAATTTTAATGGGTTTTTATTGCTTATTTAGCAAATATGTTTGTAGAAAGTTGATTTTTTGCTAAATTTTCATTGAATTTACGTTTGCGTATCCTTTAAAAAGTTTAATGAGGAGTCCTTAACTTTTATTTTAAATTTTGGTAGTTTTTTAACAAAATCCGGTCGGCTTCAGGAACAAAAGAGTTCATCCTGACTCTATTGAGAATTTATTGTATAGGTAGGTACCTACTTTTAAGTAATTTTTACAGTGATGATTTTTAAGTTGTATTATGTATTGAAATTTTGAACTGGATTGTGAAAAAATATATCCGAAGAAAGTCGCCAGACCTTACCCCTTTACTATTGTGGACTCTGGAGAGTGTCTATGAAACACCTCAAGACAGAAAAGAGCTCAAAAATTGGATGATGACTGATTGTGAAAACCTCGAAGCGAAGGGCATCATGAAGATCGCTGATTTGAAACTAATGAAAAAAGTTTCGTAACTTGAGTTTGGTTGTTGGAACGAATCACAGAGTTTTATTTAGACATTACTTTTGATCGGAACATAAATAATAAAACATTTCAAAAATCGCCGTTTCCAGAAAACGTAAACTACTGACCGCCCTATACAATAGGCAATGTCAGTTCAAGTTAAGCCCTTCGGTGTATCAAAGAAATCAGCCGAAGCAGAATCTACCGAGTTAGCCTTAACTTTAATAAATTTTCACAAATTACGTTATGACATCCCTGTTTTGAGTTGACTCAGATAAGATAGATAATTAACGAATACTGCTTATTTATATAGGTTGTACGTTACGAGACTTCGATTAATAATAATAATAATTAACGTCTTTATTGCACATACAGCGTACATGAATAGGTAACGATATATGTAAATGTATATACGCATCAAAAAGGACGCAGCTGGCGAAGTTTAGCCACACAGGGCCATTCTACCACTTATTCAATTACATCCCGAAAATTACAAAGCAAAGCAATCCTAACTACAAAATAACAAAGCCAAGAACATCTCGGATCAAGCGCATTGCATATAATTTAACAAAATTATAAAAGCAAGATTTGCTGGAACTATAAGTACTGAGTATCATCAGCATAGGCTTGGATATGTTAATGCAATGGAATAGAAAACATATCTGTATCTGATGTATACACAACATAGAGAAGGGGGCCCAATATTGACCCTTGGAGGCACTCCTGAGATTACTGAGTTCAGGTTGTGAAATGTTTTTCCCAATTCGAACCATCTGGTCTTCTGTTAGACAGATAAAATTTAACAAATGAAACTGAAAACTCATCAAACCCATGAAATAACAACTTAGCACATAAAAGTGCGTGATCAATTACATCAAATGCCTTTGAATAATCTAATAATATTACAGCTGCAGCTTTCTGTTAAGGGCTGCCATAATAGATAGTGTCAGTCACATTTAATAGTGCAGAGGTTGTGCTATGATTCTATCTAATACCAGACTAATGTGTCGGGATCAAACCATGACTATTCGAATACACACTCTGCAACCTGCAAATGAACAACCTTTTTCAATATTTTTGGATATAACAGGAAGAAGACTTATCGGACGTAGCTCATTTATACTACTTGGATTTTTTTTTTGAGGAATGGGACTAATCACTGACTTTTTCCAAAACTGAGGAAAATAACCACGTTCGCGGCAGCAATTTATGATGTGTGTAATATGGCTAGAAATAGTCGGCAAACACAACTTAACCATTACGAACGTTATTTACAAAAATTGGATCCAATAGAGTAGTACAATTGTCAGTGATTCTTGTAGGTTCACCTATCACCTTGAGAAAAACCATATTATGTACATCAAAAAATTCATCAATTGGATTTAAAACATTTATCATATTGATATCCATATCTCCAACATCTACAATATAATTATCACGAGGTAAAATCTCCGGTAACTGGGCATCCAATAGACTCGCACACTTTCCATAACATTATTTGCCTTACGATATATAGCCCCCAACGCCATTGTTATACTCTTGTATAACTGGTACATACATGAAATCTAGATTCACGCTGTAAGTCAGATCTAACATAAATTTTCTATGCCACCTCCTCTTCTCAAGCCTCATCAGTCTTTCCTATAGAATTTGTAGCCTGGCGTAACCACATCCGATGCTATATACCCTCATTCAACTACGTTTCCGTGACACCAACGATATCAAACTTGCCCCTTTGCACTAAATTTTTAAATTCACAAAACCCGGTCACAATCTCCGGAAACGCTTTGTTTCCAAGATACAGGGTGATACGTTTTTCAAAATAAAATAGTTTTTTATTAGTAGCCCAAAAGAGCTTTAGCCGATTTCAATGAAATTTTCACGGTTTATTTCAACCATTATTAGACATCTACTGGACCAATTAGATTTGATCCAGAATTCCCAGGGGCGTACCCAGCAACCAAGTCGGTTGTTTTTGTGCAGAAAAAAATATCACTCTGTAGTTTTTGTACGATTTTTATTGATTATTCAGACAGACACACTAAAAATACAACATTTTTGTCTCTTAAATTTTTCAATTATCTCGCTTCGCTTTCGCGGAAAAATTACAATATCATACCTCGGCAAGTCTCTGGACTCCATAAGGAAAGATAAAAATTCATAGGAATTAAGGTACATCACCCATTCATTGAGTGACAAGGACATAAATTCTATTTGAGGTTTTTTTTTGTTTTGTTTTCATAAATCAACAAACTCCTATAAATTTTTAATCAATTCCTAAGCATTTTTATTTTTTCTTATGGAGTTCAGAGACATGCCGAGGTATGGTATTGTAATTTTTCCGCGAAAAAAAAGCGAGATAATTGAAAAATTTAAAAGACCAAAATGTTGTATTTTTAGTGTTTCTATCTGAATAATCAATAAAAATCGTACAAAAACTGCAGACTGATATTTTTTTCTGCACAAAAACAACCGACTTGGTCGCTGGGTACGCCCCTGGGAATTCTGGATCAAATCTAATTAGTCCAGTAGATGTCTGATAATGGTTGAAATAAACCGTGAAAATTTTATTGAAATCGGCCAATGCTCTTTTGGACTATTAATAAAAAACTATTTTTTTTTGAAAAACGCATCACCCTGTATCTTGGAAACAAAGCGTTTCCGGACCTATATCCATAGGAACTTTTTAAATTATTTTCATGAATACTCTGCAATTGAAGTTTGTAACACCATTTCTGAAACACCCTGTATAACGATATCGTTGTAACGACTGACTTGGTAAGGACAGTTTTAGAAAAGCTATTCAGTAGCAAAGTTCGTTGTTGTTCTCGACTTAACGACTACAAGTTCGTTTCATATTTCCTGGATAGCGTGCATTTATGGCAAGGATCTTCAAATTTACATCACAAAATAGCTGACAATTGATGCTTTAAAAAATCCTTATGTTCATGAAGACCACAGCAGTGTGACCAAGTTGGAAATGCGTTAGTGTAACAATTTTGATATGACTACCGTCGACGCAACCAGCTATTCCTGGAATACCAAATTTTGTAAAAAAACCCATGTGTTACAACGGCTGCTTTATAAGCATTCTGAGGAAATCGAATGGTTATACAAGTTCGCGAAAGTGTCTACAAGTGCATATAGCCTACTACCTCATGAATATAGCGGCTAACATACCCATTATTGCTTTGTGATGATACTGCAAATTGAGTAGAGAGTAGAGTCAAGTGGTTACTGGAAATACTTCCTTGTGCCAAGAACAAGAAACAGGTGAAGAACTTTACAATTGGTCGTCCTAGTCCTTGAACCATTTTCCAGAAAATGCCACAATTTGGTGAAAATATTTTGAGCAATTTCGACGTCCAGTCTAAACATTTGACAAAAACATTCCTCTGGCAATTCCAGGGTATTGCGTAAATGTTTATGGAACAACCTCAGTTGTTGTCTTAACAAAATTATCAGCCAACTTCATCAAGATGAGCAGCTTATACTAATTCAGGATCCATTATCAATCAAAATCGCCAGTAAAATATAGTACAAACACTGCCCAGTATGCAACTGCGATCGTTATAGGTACTTGTAACGACGGCCACTGGGCTATCGTAATCCAACGACACTTTTGCGTTTGACCACCGAAAGTTACTGAGTCGAAGAAGTCGTTGGCTAACGACAATCGTTGAACAACGAAGTCGTTACGAGTTACAGAATAAGCCTCTTATTAGATAAGCAATAATAAAGATAGTAGTTTTTGTAGTATTATTCATAACCATGATCCATAATATAATAATTAATCCTTCTACTAATCAATTGAATAATGTTTATTCTGCAGGGACATGTCCTATCACAGTTACAACATTTGACTTTGAGGATTAGTACCCGGTGCGGGTTGGTGCAAGAGTTGACCTCTAGGCCGATTCTCCTGTATGCCTGGTTGAATGCATTGGTAATAATTGCCTGAAGATCTGCCTCTGTATTGGCCATCACGGACGTTATCATCCGCATATTTAAGTTCAATTATCGATATCGTCGATACTTCAAATCACATCAAATCAAATATGCTTTATTGTCAGAAAATTGTTAATATTTCATTGACAAAGCCTAATTCTTAACACTAAAAACCAAGAACAAGTAAATAAGTGAGTATATAACACTGAGAAAACAAAAGCCTTATGAAAATAAAAACAGTGGTACTAAAAGTGGCAACAGGCAAAGTAATAGACAATAAAAATAGGATGACTAAATATTAGTGAATTTGTAATCTTTTTTTTTTTTTAATTTAATTTGTCAGTCACAGCTAGAAAAATTTTCGATCCATTATTAGCTGTAGTCTCTAGGAGGAGGGAGTTCAAAATTTGATTTGGGTCGTGCAAAACTATGACATATATTGTTATAAGATTGGGGCGGGAGGAAAACTTGACTGGGTATCCTCACTTACTACTTACGGCAGTCAAACATGGACATCAACTGCGAAGACCAACAGCTAGAGAAATTGCCAAAGACTCAAAGGGAAATGGAAAGGGGAATCTTGGGAAGTAAACTTGAAGACAAAAAAATGGAAGGATAAGGGAGCGGGCCATGTTGGAGAATGTGTGGAATTTTGTGGTCCATAGATATACCTATAAGACCAAAAAAAAAAAAAACACCTCCGAATCAGATAGAGTGACGATTTTATTATGGTGGACTACACTGGACACGTCCTGGCACAAAACAGGGATCTGCGGTGAAATTGGGAGAGGTCTTTGTCCAAAGATGGACTAGGGCGGCTAATATAAGAAGTAGAAGAAAAAGAAATAAAACTTACTAAGTACATTATAAGACAAAACAATTGCAAGTGTGGCGGATTTATAATTATTTGAACACCACCACACACAACAAAGTGTAGGTACATTCGATTATTTCTTGTAAAAAGCTTAAAATTTTTCTATAAAGTTTAAAAGTTTGAAATGCGTCTCTCCCTTTCCCTTTATATAATAATTATTATGATTAAACATTGTAAAGAAATCGACGCTTGTTATAGGCGTCGCGACGCTTGCGCTAGCTGCGCTGACATGGCGGCTCGACAGAGATCCTGGACGAGCGTCCCGACTCCCGATGCCCGTTCCCAGTACCGCGCCAATCCTCGCCTGGAATAGGTCGACTTTTATTATGCCGAGATGACATTCTTTCCCTTTTTACGACAACGACGAAGACGACTGATGATGATCTTATTGACACAGATTACGACAAAGTGTTGAGTGGTGCGCGATGCAACAACAGCAGCCGGGCGGTGAAAATGGTGCGCCAGGCGGTAGCCCAGCCGCAACGGGTGCTACGGGAACGGCCGCTGCCCGTAGCCATGTGAACGGGGGCCGTTTCGACTTTGACGATGGCGGTACTTATTGCGGCGGCTGGGAAGACGGCAAAGCGCACGGTCACGGTGTGTGTACCGGCCCTAAGGGCCAAGGAGCTTACAGCGGTTCCTGGCACTATGGATTCGAGGTGTCCGGAGTCTATACTTGGCCAAGGTAATCCTAGATCGTTCGTCTGGGGACTGGCGCCCCTCGACGCATTGCGAGCCATTTTATTTCGAGATCTCTCACTCTCGCTAAATATTGCGCACTGATGTCCGAAACAAAAATATATATTTTGCACTGGCCAACAAAAATTTTATACAAGAGAAAAGAACAAAAATCGTATTTGTAAAACCTACATTTGCTGCATGGGAAAGTAAATAGAGCCCAATCAGCTGCTCTTTCTATGCTCAACACCGCAGGAATGTCATTCAAAATAGACGCATTTGGTAATGGGGAGGGGTGAAAACAAATGCATAAATTGCGCATAAATGGAATTTTTAGAGGCAAAATAGAGTCAGTAGGACAAAATACCTACATGCACTGCTTTGGACTCAAATATACCAATCTTGAATTTTTAGTGAAGCCAGTTTTTGACTTTCTTGACCCATGTATTATTTTATTCAACTACCTACTTAAAGGACAATAATTTTTGGAAAAGCTTAGTATAAATGAAATTTTGTATCCTAATGGTCCTTTGAGATCTCCCGAATTCTATATACTAAATTATTCCGAGATTTGGAGCCGGATTCTAGGAAAAAAGGCACTCAGAAAACTTGCAAAATTAATAAATCACCCCAAATTGCTTAACACGATTTCATTTCTGGAACTATAAGTCCAAATATACTGAAATTTTCAGGGATTGTAGTCCTCTACTAGGATAAGATTCGCTGAAAATTTCAGCTTTTTATCTTTAATGGAAAAAAAGTTATGACCTTTCAAAGTTTTCCAAAATCTTAATAATTTCTTCCTTCTCAAACGATGAAATTTCAAATTTTGTTGTTGTTGAGATTTTATGTTCCAATGGTCCTTGGGATTTCCCAAATTCCATACATTAAATTATTCTGAGATTTGGAGACAGATTCTATAAAAAAGGCACTCAGAAAAATTGTAAAATTGATAAATCACCCCAAATTGCTTAACACGATTTTATTTCTGGAAATGTAAATCCAAATGAGCTGAAATTTACAGGAATTGTAGTCCTCTACTGGAATAAGAATCGCTGAAAATTTTAGCTTTCTATCTTTAATAGAAAAAAAGTTATGACCCTTCAAATTTTTCCAAAATCTAAATCTATCTTATCTAAACCTTCTTACTAAAATGATGAAATTTCAAATTTTTTTATGTTAAGATTTAGTCTCCTAATGGTCCTTTAGTATCTCCCAAACTTCATACACTAAATTATTCTGAGATTTGGAGCCAGATTCTATGAAAAAAGGCACTCAGAAAAATTGAAAAATTGATAAATCACCCCAAATTGCTGAATACGATTTTATTTCTGAAACTATAAGTACAAATGAGCTGAAATTTTCAGGGATTGTAGTCCTCTAATGGGATAAGAATTGCTGAAAATTTCAGATTTCCATCTTCTCTCTAAATTATTATTATATCACTCACTCGTTTAGAAATTTGGCACTCGGCTATCGCCTTGTCCATAGAAATCTTTACTCGTACTTCAATAAGTTACTATTACCATTGTATGTATATTAAGAGTTCAATGCTATTACATAACAAGTTCGGAAAGAGTCTTTTGAAGTAGGTACCTACGAGTCTAGATGTTTGTCCAAAATTTCTAAACGGGTACCTACTTATTGTATCTAATGATGAATACAAAAATTTCTATGATACAATATTTTATTTGTTTCGGATTACCTACCTAACCTAGGTAGTACTTATTTCATACTGCTAATAGATTTTCTGTTAATTTTTTGTTTACCAGATATGGTACGGTGGTAATCCAACTTTTTTCATGTTGCCCTGCTCTAGGAGTTCGGTGATGTTACTTTATTTTCATCCATATATGTAATGTTGACATTACTGATAATTTAAAAATTCGTGTCAAATTATGTAGGTACTTTCTTAGGTACTCTCCTCTTTCCCTCGCCGATTTTCTTAAGATGAAAGTTAATATTTGTACCTATATACCTATAATACTACTTTAAGATGCGTACACAATACTTGTCCGGTCTAAAATGCGTGCGGAAAAGTGGGATTTCACGCACGCTCATTGAAAAAACAATAAATGACATTTTTTGCATGTGTACCTACATATTTAATTTTTTCCTTATTGACAAATTAAGCATTCGACAGTAATAAAATACTCGGTATGTAATGTACTATTTTAGGCCTAGTGACAGAATGTGCCATTTCCGAGACAGAATTAAAATAATGACGTACTATATAGTATATGCCGGACAGTATAAAATAAAAAATATTATTATTATTATTATTATCAGTATAGCAATAGGAAGCGGTTAGTGTCCGATGAGTCTATTGCTTGAAATTGTCTGGGTTTTGGTCTTATGTATGAGAAGTTACAAATAATGCACTGTGGCATTATTCAACATTTCTAGGTTTTTGTCTAGTCTATTTTTAAATACATTCTTGTTAGGTGCACTTATAGTTTCTTAAAGAATTCCACTGGTATACGACGCGGTTGCTCAGGAATGTTCCTTCTTCCGAGCAGTAGGGCACTTTCTCTTTTTAATTTTTGGTGGTGTTCTCTGAGATTGCGGTTTTGATTTAAATTTAAATTTTACATATCTGATATCACAATGTCCGGCGAGTAGTAACCGCTGAGAATTTTGTAGGTCTCTATATTAGGTCATCTCTTCCTCTTCGTTGCTTCAGTGTTGTTAAATTGAATTTCTGTAGCCTGGTCTCGTAAGGTAAGTGTCTAATCTCAAGTGGAATTTTAGTTATTCTACGTTGCACTCGCTCTAAAAGTTCGATGTCTTCAATATAGTAAGGGTTCCTCACTATTCTAACTTGGGTCTGATGAAAGTAGTTTAAAGCTTTTTTATCATGCTAATGAAGTGGTTTAGAAAGGCTAGTTTCATCAAGTAGGACATCTGGTTGGCCTTTTTTACTATGTGTCCTTTATGTGTTTCCCATTTTAGATCGTTAGTTACATATACACCTAGGTCCTTCTGTTCTTTTAAATTTTTTAATTCTATGTTTTTGATTTTGTACTGAATCATTGGGTTTTTGCGTCCGATATGGAGCATTGTGCAATTTGCCTCGTTGAGCTTGAGTTGCCAGGTGCTTGTCCATTGCTCTATTGTTCGCAAATCTTCTTGGAACAGGTGCTTTTGTATCAGTGGGTTGCAAAAAATTTTTTTGTCATCTGCAGAGGCTTCGATGTTTGTTCTAATGCTTTTTGCCAGGTCTGCTATGTAGATCAAAAAAAAAAATGGAAGCTATGACCAATCCTTGTGGTACTCCACTTGTGACTCTGTAGAGGTCTGAGTAGGTTCCATTTGCTCTTACTTGGAAATGACTGTCTTTGAGAAAGTTCTTGCTCCACCGTAGGTAGGGGCCTCGGATTCCACAGTGATCCAGTTTGTATAACAACCTTTCATGAGGGACAGTATCAAATGCTTTTTGGAAATCCAAGTATAGTATCCACTGGGTTTCTCTCATGAATTTCTTTAGTCCGTGCGGTTAAGCAATTGAGTAGATTTGTGGTAATAGATCTACTTGGTAGAAAGCCGTGCTGTGAGGAACATGTTCATTTCTTTGACAATAATTTTTTCCAATAACTTACACAGTGTGTAATAATGCATGTATTCCATCTGGTCCTGGACTGGAGTGAGTTTTCAGGTCTTTTGAAGCTTCAGTGGTTATGATTATGTTTTTTAATTGGTCTTTGTTTCGTGTTTGTTGCGGCAACGAAGGAAAGTTGGATAAAGATTCATTTGTGAAGACTGATTCAAACTGACTTGCCAAGACGTCTGCAGTGTTTTTTGGGTCCCTTCATATTTGTTGTTCTTAGCATAGCAGCAAGCATTCCTATAAACATTAACCATTGAAGGTTGAAATAGATATTCAATTTGAACAAAAATTGACCAGCAATAGAAAAATCAGTACAGTATAAGCATATATTAGGTTAATAAATTAAATTAAATTATTAACAATTAAAAGATTTGTGATTCACAAAATGCGATATCGTCAATGGCATCACTTGATCATTGTCCAATCTAGAAGGTACTAGAAGCTACTGCTTTTTCTTTGACTCAGAGCTATCTGTCGATTAAGGTGAAGATTCTTCAGACTTTTATGAACTTGAACCTTCTGGACTCGACTCATCTTCACCTGGACCTTGTTGGCTTGATTTATTTTCATTTGGATGTTTGCACATTTTTGCTGACTCATTGAATTCTAATATTTGACTCGAGTCAGATGAATTTCCGCCCAAATGTGAAAAAAGTTTTAAGCATTTGTTGCTTTCATCTGATGACGATTTTGAATTGTCTCCACTAGTATCAGGACTATGTTTATCGTCTGATTGAGTATTTACGAGCTCATGGAGCACCTCGATTTGAGGCCCCAATACACCTGACTGCTCTGAAGATGATAGAGCAAGCCCTTGATCCTTGCCTTGATTTTCAGCTGATGTTGTGAGAACTAGAACTGTTAATACAAAAAAACAGGCAGTATTTGTCAACATTTTAAGGAACTAATTTCGAATAATATCTCGATGAAGCTTTTATATATTAACTATTGAACTGTTTATAATCAAAATGCGGTAGTCTTTGGTTGATGAAAACATGTTTCTAGAATGTTGACCCCATAATAGTTACCTTTCTATGATTTGTTTATGATGTACTTGTAGTATGAAATTTCAATGGCTTCTACTACTTATTTCTAGAATATTTTAATTTTAAAAAATTTCTTTACATTTCGCCTTTCAATAATTCATAGACTTATATTTTTATAGTGCTTTCCAGAGGCTACTAATGAAAATAAATTTAATACATATAAAGTTTGTACCCTAGTAATATAGAGATTATAAATGAGACAAAATCATCGTCCATTTTGAAAAATACAGAAAACAGATGCACTTTCAGGGCGAGAGCAAAGCAAAAATAGAAAATGACCTGCTTTAACTTCGTTTTCACTCTGGGCAAATCGGACACGTGGTATGATTTTGGGAATACTACACGCTAAAAATAGGTCCCCGCGGGATATTCGGGAATGCTTCACCTAGAATTTGCGTTCGAGAGGGGCCTATTAAGAAAATGTCTTTTCCCTAATAGGCTCTTAGGCAAATTGGTCTTTTTCATTAACCGATTGCTTGTAATTAATACTCACCTAGAGTCAAGGTTAATATATGATTGTGGCTTTATTAATTTAATGAAAAAACTAATATTCAAATGGGGCAGCAGGGACAGTTTGAGGTCACGCAATGAAAGTTTCACTTTATTTGTGTTTATGTGAATGTCATGAATTAATGTTATAAGTTCGGCTATTTATTATTCATTTGGGATTTGGAGTTTCAAGGGTGAAGGATTTCATGCACTTAAGGGGTTTTGTGATAAAAAAGAAAAGCTTTACTTTAGGGATAGGTTTGAACGTTTTTTAAGGTACCTAATAATTTGTGAGAAATCTCACAGTACTTTTGGTTTGAGTCTTTTTTTAACAGTTCAAAAAAAGAATTTTGTTATTATTATCAAGCAAGGGGATAATATGTCACATTTCAGATATACAGGGTGATTCCAAAATAGCACATAAGCTCTCCACGGTCTACTACGCCGTAGGGGACCTTTCAGTAAACCCTAGAAAAATAGTGAAAAAAATCCTTCTCTACCAATCTTGGTGATATGAAGGAGTTAAGTTGAGAAATCAACTTCTTTATTTCAGATTTTTTTTTAAAACCTGCGATATTCCCTATAAAGTTCCAGATGTTTTTTATTGATCTATGACAAAAAAGATCCCATTAGTTGGATTTTACCTTTTAAAATGAATTTTGCAAAGTGTAAAATCTCTGCCTCTAAATCCAAAAATTGAATCTGGCAACTAAGGTAATAAAATTAAGACAGGCACAGTCATTAGGCACAATAAGGTTCATTATTAGAACAGAGGTATAATCCAATATAGGTGGAAGTATTTAGGATGTTGCCAATTTTACCACTCCGTGTTCTTCTAATAATTTTGTTAATGAGAGTAACTTAATTTCAACATTATTTCAACTATTTTTATGGGGTTCCTTGAAGGGTCCCCCAAGACGTAGTGGGAACTTATGCGCCACCCTGTATAGCGTTTCCATTTGGGTATATTTATATTATTGCAAAATCTTAATTTTGTGATATTTCTCTATCAGTTTTTGGTTTTCTCTTGACTTTTAAAATGTGAAATATCAAAATTCACAAACCATCATCATTTTTATACCGATCCCAACTACATAGGTTCAAGTGCAAGGTTATTCTAATGGACTAGTTTACTATTTGTGTGTTTTTAATAACATCCATATGATGTTATGTTTCCGCGTTATTGTGTCATTGCTAGGTATTAAAAATGCATTTTCAATTCTGTTCTGTACCTACTCTGGTTTATTTTTATTTTTTTCTCGATTTTGAGTTTGGGTTATATTTGCTGAAACAATAAAATGCATTTGCTTATTTATTTATTATCTTAAAATGACTAAGATGCTACACAGAAATAGGTACTTATTTACAAAAATATTTCACGACTGAAAATTAATAGTTTTTTCTATTGTTAAGCTTTTCTGACTCATTTAAAAATATGTGCCAGAGGTTAATTTACATAATTTGCTATTTTGGCAAGAAGCTTTATGTGATTAAATTTTTCGAAAATATCAGTTAAAATTTTGGAAATTATTATAATACCTGCATAGTTGAAAGTTTTGTGAGAACTTCATAAAATTACACTGTTCGATAGAAATTTATTCTCAATTTTCCAATAATATCTATGTTCAGCAGGCAAGTACTTTCTGCTGGAAAGTATTCCGAAGTTAATGATATTTTGGTATGTCATTTGTGAGTACTCTGTGGAGTAGAATCTGAGTTTTCGACCTCGAAGACCCTGTGGGGGAGTCAAAAAATCACGAAATTTTCGGACTTTTTCGGTTTTTTGCTTATATTTTCTGAACCATGCGTTTTAGCGAAATACATCTAGTTATAAAGTTGAAGAACATTAAATTTCCTTCAAATTTCACTAGTTAAATGTATTATTAAGCGCAATAGTAACCGAGATACAGTAGTTCAAAGATACAGAAAAGTTCTCAACTTGTCAAAAATTTCTTCCGGCCAATCACAATTCAAACCAAGCATGGGATAAACATATTTTATCCTCATCTCTTTCACGTGCACCCACAGACGATATATCCTGACCTGAATTATTTTCCTCGTTAACCGCAACTAAAACCTCGAAATTATAGTTTTTTGCTTATAATTTCTGAACAAAGTTGACGAATTTCAAATTTCCTTCAAATTTCACTGGCCAAAAGTATTTGATTCAATAGTTACTGCGTGGTTCAAAAATTCAACTAATTTCTCAGATTATCAAAAATAGCATAGAAATGCGAGTTTTTGCCCTATGATTTTGAAAAACACAAACTTTGACTATGAGTGCAGCCCAAGATCGTCGATATCGTTCTACTGCTTAAGTGCTGGTAACTTATGCCAACAGGATATCCATCAAAAACCACTATAGCATTGCTCCCGAAGTTTCTTTGGACATAATTCACGTAATTCTGGCACACCAATTCAAATGTCGTATCTCTTAATTTGCTCCACACAACCTTATGTAGCAGGTACCCACCATCAATAACTGCGCATTTGCTGCTGCCGAAGTCAGTTATACTGGTTCTTGTATAGGAGTGAATGCCGCATAAAACATTGACTTATGCATGCATACCTCCCTCTGTGAAGAGAGACATCAGTGTTCCCAACTGCAGGGAATTTTCCCTTTTTAGGGAATTTTTGTCACCCAAAAGGGAAAAGGGATTTTTTTAAATAAAATCGTCGAAATGAGGGAATTTATGAGAAATAGAAGTTTGGCATCGATGAAGATAGAAGTTGTGTTCAGCACGGATTTGGAGTGGAGTAAGCGATGTCACTCTACCTACGCCGAAAACAATACTCGAACGCCTGGAGTGGGTACGGAGTTACGCGGAGTGACATAGCCGAACGCAGCAAGGTTCGGTTTCGGGGGTTCCCGGTTGTATTTATTTTAGTGTTCATGCTTAATTTTTGCAATTTGTTTGTAATCCATTTGATCATCCAAACGACTCAATTTTTTGTTTTATTACATACACAATAGAAAGAAGATATTTTTGGTTTTGATATAGGTAAAGTCATTCGGCATTTACTTAGATGTACTCGTAAGGCTTTTTCGGAAACACTGATCCGACTAACCCGATCACCAACTGTTTGTTTTTTATCTTTCTTTAATGAACACGATTGAAAAAAGACAAAGTACATCAGCTGGTGATCCGGTTAATCGGATCAGTGTTTCCGAAAAGGCCTATTGGCAACATTGAAAGCAGGGAATTTTAACTCTAAAATATCTTTGGGATCCATCAAGGGAATTATTAATCTGAGAGGTTGGGAATTGGGAACACTGAGAGACATTGGGAAGGGAACCAGCTCATATTCATAAACAAGTTTCTAAGGTCATCATCTGATCTGTTTTATTATGCGAATCCGTTGAAAGAGAATGAGAGGGTCTATTGTGAACTTTTTGTCTTTAACTTTCACACAACAGGAAACAGATGCTAAAGAAACAACCTTATCTTTCGGCTTCAATTTCATGTCTTGAAAATTATCTTTTTCCAAACAGGTCTCTATACAGGTGATACCAATAGTTCGAGCCTCAGAGGTTCGAGCTAAGTGGCAGTTCGCAACTTCAGGAGCAACAGCTCCTGTGCCCATTGAGAATAGCTCTTTTGTATACAGAAAAGGTGGATGGTCAGTAAATAGACGAGTTCAGCACGAATGACGTCAAAATCAAAATTAAAAAAGGGTTATTTTCCAAAAATAATTACCTATTAAAATAGGATACAAAAAATAAATAATTCAGGGGCACAGTAGACTGCACGTGAGAGAGACGATGATAAAAGATGTTTGTCCCATGCTTGGTTTGAATTATGTTCGGACTGGAAGAAATTTTTGACAATTTGAGATTTTTTTTGTATATTTGAACCACTGTATCTTGGTTTCTATTGCGTATAAGACTTTTGGCCAGTTAAATTTGAAGGAAATTTATTTTCTTCAACTTTATAAATAGGTGTATTCCGCTAAAAATGCATGGTTTAGAAGCTATGAGCAAAAAACTGAAAAAGTTCGAAAATTTCTAGGTCTTTCGACTTCTCCCCAAGTTAGCGCAAGGTCCACGAGGTCGAAAACTTAGATTCTACTCCACATACTATCCAAAAACGACATGCCAAAATATCAATAACTTCGGAATACTTTTCAGCTACACCCTTTATTTATTACTTGCCTGCTGGCCTAATAATCCGTTTAAGTAATATTTTTTTTTCAATATTCATCTTTACTTTTCAGTGGTAGCTGCTTTGAAGGTCAATGGCAAAACGGCAAACGACACGGATTGGGAGTGGAAACACGAGGAAGATGGATATACAGGGGCGAATGGACGCAAGGATTCAAAGGCAGATACGGGGTGAGACAATCCAACACTTCAACTGCAAAATATCAAGGAACGTGGGCCAATGGATTACAAGATGGTTACGGATCGGAGACCTATGCAGATGACGGTAAGAATTATTTTTGTAATGTTTTAATTCGTGTCCCAAAAAAACATATAATCTGTATATGAGCTTTTATGTGTTGTACTCGAGAGGATTTAATTTAATGTACTTGATTGGAAAACAAAATTTGCTCAATTGAAAATAGAAAAAGGGTTCGATTTGAAATTTGGTAAATTGAAGATGAACGTTTCAGCTAAAATCGGCGCAAACTATTAGTTTTCCTAAAGCTGAACCATTTTTCAAAGGCACTTTTTGCTTCTACATGTTGATCTAAGGTAGTCCCACATTTGACCCTTTTGGTGGAGAAGCTCAAAATATCGTATTATGTTTCGTTGAACTTGCGATCCAAGAGTTATTATAATTATTATTATTATGAGCCGCTGAGACTACTGCTGTATTGTTATATCCTTGTTTTCACTGTTATGAGTCACATGTAATGCACAAAATTCAGTCTTGCCCTCTCCAGGTCCCAGTCAAGTCTGTTTTTAAATGCATTCTTTGAAGGAGCACTGACTATGTTTTCCTGAAGGGCACTCCATTTAAGACATATCAGAAAATTCTTTCTGATCAGCTTCGAGCATCTCTCCTTATCTAGCTTCTTAGTATGGCCTCGGAGTTCCTGATTAGTATTTAGACTGATTAGTCCAGTTGGAAATCTGGAGAATAATGGTGATTTAAGATTTTGTACGTCTCAATCCGGTCTCCTCTCTCTCGTCTAGCTTTTAGGGTTGTTATGTCGTATCTCAATAGTCTTTCTTTGTATGAGAGATTTCTGATTTCAGGGGGGAGTTTTGTCACTCTACGCTGGACTCTTTCCAAGATCTCAATATCCTTAACCAAATATGAGCTCCAAACCGAATATGCGAACTTCAATTTAGGTCTGATATATGTTTTATATATTTTGCTATTCATGGGGATGGATCTGTCACTAAAAGCTTTCTGTATGAGGTTTACAAAAAAGTTTGTCCTCTTGACAACTGAAGAAATATGGGCTTCCCATTTTAGGTGATTTGAGATAACGACACTTAGATCTTTCTGCTCAGTAACAGCCATCAAGGTAGTGCCGTTTAAGCTGTAAGGTATTTTTGAATTTTAAGGGCCAATGTGAAGTATACTTGTCAGGGTTGAGTGTTAGCTGCCATTCGCTGATCCATTTCTCGAGTGTTTTGAGGTCGTCTAAAAAGTGTGCTGCTCCAAAGTCCAAGCACGGATTGCAGTATATTTTTGTGTCATCAGCATAATAAATGATGTTTGTCTTCATAAGAGAATAAAGATCGCTGATGTATACCGTAAACAGCAGTGGCACCAACACCGGTCTCTGTGGCACCCCACTAAGGATCATGTATTCTTCAGAGTAATGCCTATTTGCTCTCACTTGAAAAGTTCAGTTTTGTAGAAAACTCTCTATCCATCTATCTATCTTCGATATTTCTTTAATCTAAGGGGATATTTATTGAGTCAGATACCTATTTATAGTCGATCTTTTAAAACTTATAAGTTTTCGAGAGTTTTGCCATTGAAGTTTTGGCTTTGGATTGAGTTTCAATAACTTAGAAGCTTAATAACCAAAAGTCTGTAAAAAGTAACATCGATGTTTAGTGGAATGAAAGGAAATTTGTACGAATGGATAACATATGATGGAAAATTCAATTTCCCTTATGTTAACTTTAACCTAAAATTTACTACTTTTCCATTCGCCTAGCGACGTTGTACATTTTAATTTTTTCGTTGGGCTTATGTAGAAGAATTGCTCAAAATCTGGATTTTTCCTCAAAAAATTTTGCCCTTATTTGGACCCTTTAGCCTTTGGTTTCCCGGATCCAAGTTGTATTAATTAATTCTTCAGTGAACACGGTTGTGTGAAAATATATAGGCACCCAGGCAGTACCTTTTGATTTATGAGGTATTGAGTCCTTTTATTTTTTGAAAAATAAAGAAACGAGAACCAGGAAAGAGTTGAAAGCATGTCAGGATAGAAATTTCTTTTTCTCATACAAACATAAGTTAAAACCTTCTTGAAGCCAATACGGTTTCCGACTAATTTCTATTGTGTAAATTTGAAAATTAGCAAAGAGAAGTTTACGCTTTCAATTTCTGTCGAATTATTAAAGAAATGTGTGGTTTTGCTTTCCTAACATAAAATACTTTCATTTAGTTTGTTCATAGGTTATGGGAAGGAGGAAAGAAACCACTTATGTTACGGCGAACGTTTGGTATATTCATGTATACCTACTTTTTCATGCCTCATAATCAGTTGAGTTGCTTAACCGAGTACCTACAAACCTATTTCTGAGGCTTGAAAAAGTATACATGAATATACAAAACGTCGCCGTAAGATAAGTGGTTTCTTTCCTCCTTTCCATAACCCATAAATAAACTAAATAACAATGATCCAGGGAAATGAATATACACTTTCATAAAATACTGTTTTTAATTTTCTCAATACCTTGACAAAAAATAAAAATTAGCCAGATACCCTAATGCCAAAAATCATCAAAGAACCTATTATCCAACACTGGAGAAGGGGTGTCGCGCCGCCATTGATCGTCCAAAAGGACGTCGCGGCGTCAAGGTGCGAAAGTGGGTCAGGACAATATCCAGCCGGCAAATAGAGCCGGATATCAATATGGATTTATTGCGGTAAACAAACTGTTGATTCATCCTTGAGAGGGGGACGAAGGACGTTTCAGGGTTGATATTTTGCGTCGCGATTTCAATAGAACGCAACCTCAATGGTTTTCATTAATGAATTTTCTATTATACCTAGGTACTTGATTCTACGTAACTGAAAGGGCTTTCTTGTGATTTCAGAAGATTGATTTTCTTTGTCTAGCTGAATTTTGTGGCCTAAGTATAGATATATTCCAAGACAACTTCTAGGGGTTGGTCGTTAAGAGTTACCTGGATCTCTTCAGTGCTCATGGTGTCTCTTTGCCTTACTCCTCTTTTGATTGGAATATTGTCGGTTTTGAAATCATCATCTCATCATCTATTTTTACATGAATGGAAGCTTTATTATTAGTCGACAATGGAATGTTATATTATACTCTGTGGCTTTTTCAATAAGAGTACGACGTGTCTGTAGGTGATCGATAGTACTAAACTCCTTAGTACGGAATCCCTTGCTTGTTTAACTGATTGGTATGAGTCCATCTTGTTCGTTAACCAGTTGGTTATTATTTTCATAAACAGTTTATAGTAGAAGTGCGATAACATAAGCTGATAGGTCGATAATTATATATATTGTTTCTGTCTCCTTTCTTGTATAATAGGATGACTTCTGCATTTTGCCACTTACTTAGTTGGGATTTTACCCTCCAATCAACATTTATTTAGCAATAATCTTACATATTCCATGAGCGTCTCACCTCATATTTTAATCATTACGCTCGTGATTTGATTTTCGCTTGCACTATTTCTGTTTTTCATTTGATGTAGTGCCTGTAGTAGGGACTTCTTCGGATCCTACATTCTGTATTATTTTCCTCTGATATTGACCGCCCTGGACTCTAGAACTGTACAGGTTTAAAACTCTGACATCCTGATAAAATATATCCTTTCTATTCGTCAGGATAAAGTAAATTTCATACTTAACTTTACCGCATGAGCTTCTCGAAGTCCATCTTCTCTGTAGAGGCTTTCGAAAGAAGGAATTCATGCAGTATACATTTTTAATATTATTCTGAAATAAAAATATATTAATTGTAGATAAGTGAAATTCCAAAACCAATTGTCATCATTTTTTTTTCATGATTCTCACCTACCTACATAGGTTCAAGTGCAAGGATATTATAATCGACCGCCGGTGTCATATGAGTATTTTTCATTACCAACATTTATATTCCCTGGTTGCGGTGTCATTGCCACTGAAAATATTTTATGCACTTCCAGTTCTGAATTCTGGTCTATTTTTTCCTTAATTTTGGTTTTTTTTTTTCGGAATTCGAATTGCAACTCAATGAGAATGGAACGCTTGGGATTATTTTTTAAAGGTAGATGTGAAAGCTTGATCTTGAACTGAAATTATTTTTGTTTGCATAAGCTGCTAACGACGTTAAGCCCTTGTACCTATTGGGTTTTTTTCAAAGCTAACGAGGACATACTCAACAAGGATTATTTTAAATATCAATAAATACAAGAATTCTTATTTAAAATAGGTGTATGCCAGAAAACTAAATACGTGATGTTAATGAAATTTCACTAGTCAGATGTAAATAATGATGAACTTTTATGAACAATCTACAAAAGTAATGTATGTTTACGTATAGAGGTGAGATTGTACCTTAATTTCTCTTAACAGGCTCTGTAATTAAAAATCATAGTAAATTAAACATATTCTTTTTAATAACAACTGCCATGACAAGCTATTTTAACAGCCTTTGGGATTTAAACGGTCACATCTAATTATTACAAAATCGCATATAACCAGTTCTCGCAGACCGATTAAATTTGGCACGAGTTCAATGGCAGCATATTGAACTATAAAAATACACTGGAGAGAAAAATGTCAATTTGAACTATGAAATGCAGCCTTATTATCGGGAATATTCATTGTTCACGGATTGATTTATGGAATGTATTTAATGGTTCAAAATCGTTATGTTTGGTCAAAATAGAGAGAAACAAAACTATAGGTAATTAACAACCATTACAGCTTGTATTAATATCAAATTAACAGAGAACTATTAGAAAAGTTTTACTAGTTAGGTAAGTGATCATAATACAAAACAGATATGTGAATCCAAATGTAAATGGAAGTAATACAAACACCCAGATGCTTAATTACATGATCATTTATCAAATCCATTTTCAGCCTTATTCTTGAAATGTGTGAAGGATTTGAAAAATAGGTTTGCAAATTTTAACAAATATGGTAGAAAAGGTCGTCAGATAGTGGACATAGATTGAGGTGCCCCATTTTCGCATACAAGAGATTTGAAAAGGACATCGATGTTTAGTGGAATGAAAGGAAATTTGTACGAATGGATAACATATGATGGAAAATT